TTGCCCCCCCCCCCCCCTTCCGTTCTCCTCTCTCTGGCACTAACGATCGTTACCAATGCATCTGTACGTCTTGGTACAGTATTTTTTTTTTCTTACGAATTTGGATCAATGAAAAGGATATTGCAACGAGATAAATGCATTTTGTGAAAGATGCTCCCGTAACTAAGCTGGTCGTTCGATTGTGATTCTGTGATTATTTTTCTTAAGTATATCCGTAAGGTTCCCTGCACCTTGTGATTAGGATATGAAGCAGCTTTTGAGATGCATTGAATTCGTTTGAAAATGTATAGGCGTTTTTTCCCCTTGTGATATTTTTTCTCTTCATGCAATTTTGTCGTACTTATTTCTGTATCCTACGGCATATAACACTCGATTGAATAACTCCGATGTATTTTTTTTTTTTTTTCATTTTTCAAGATAATCTACGATTTTCATTCGTTTAAATAACTGTCGCGAATATTAGATTCGTAATGATTTTGGGTGTTGTGTACTTTGGTCGTGAAAGCTCGTGACGATTCTTATCTCTTCGAGCCCGTGAAAAACAGAGCAGCCCTCGTATGAAAATCAATATTTATATACAGTTTCAGTACTGCATGACCACATATGCCATAATCGGAATGCAGCTAGTAGCCTTACATTAAAAATTTCCCATAAATGAACCGTATCGTTATACATTAATGTGCCACTTTAAAGACCCCACAGGATATTATATCGGACCAGTCTCGAAAGAAATAAAAAATACGAATCAAAGTTACGAAGCGCGGAAGGGATGAGTATTCCATCGAAACGAAAATAAAAAGGGCCCCGTTTCGTGCAGGAAATCAAAATCCCTTCCTCGAAGAGTACTTTGGATTTTTGTTAAAAAAAAAAAATATATATCTATTGGAAACAATATAAAATCACGTTGAGCCGCGTCTTCTCCGCCTCTACGGCGAAAACTAATAATACGGGACGCAATGGTACGAGACACAATGGGAAGTGAAAATGTCCAAAGCGTAAAGCGAGTGACTTTAGCATCGATCTTCGTGCACAGGTTTACGTGGCCAGTTACGCAACCAGTGTTATTTTCGTTGAGAAACTCGTGTAGCGTCCGAGAAACGCGTAATTCCGCAAGCGTCGTCGTGAGCGTCCCCGCGTCGTGTGCGTTTCATCTAGCAGCCGAGTAGCCGACGTCTCCGTCGTCCGAGACTGTATAGCGAGTGGCAGCGAGGAGAAGCGGATAGGCCAAGCACGCCAATGGCAAGAGAGGAGGGGTTTGTGTCTAAGCTGGGCTGGTGTTGAACTGGCTTGGTAGACTAGCTGGGCGGACTGGCTGACTTTGTTGGCTTGGCTGGCCTAGCTCAGTCTCTCTAGTACACAGCTCGGGCGCTTGGCACGACGTTCCGGCCAAGTTGTGTAATACTTCTATCCCCTCAGCCGAAGCGCTGAATCCGCCGCGAGCACACGGATAAACTCTCGGAACTGGCCGCTAGCGGTAGCCGCTGCTGCGTTTAGTCCTCCCGGTATCGTCGTCTGGTGCGCTTGGCCGCCTGCTGGGACCCGCGCAAGATTGTGTAATAGTCATCGGTGCGAGAACTCGCGTTCAATCAGTTCCTAGATTCAGTCGGTAGTCGCATCGAGTATTCGGGAACACACGGACCCGACGGATCGGCAGTTGACCGCTCACCGAGCTCAAATACAGTTTACGTCTAGCCGCGTCGACGCCGTGTCCCTCCTCCGTTGTCGCTCGAAAATTACTCGTCTATTACTTATACGCGTTACTGCTTGATTTCGCTTGCGTTAAAACGCGCCTCGATACAGCTGACCACTATAGTAGAACGAGCCATTCCCGAGGGGTGGCTGGGTACCCGTGTGCTGCGGTATTTCGTCAAGAAGTACAAAAGTGCGAAGCGAAAAGTCACACTGAGAACTCTTACTGCGCGTAATCGTCGTGTCTTATTGTTTTTTTTTTCCGTAGTATACAACGATCGTCGATCGGGTTTCAAGAATTTCGTCGATTCCGCGTCCAAAGTCGAAACGAAGGTACGCGAGAGGCTAAGCGCACGCGCATGCGCACCGACGTCTCACGCTAGCAGAGAAACGTCTGTTTTCACGCTGCCAGAGTCGCCGTCGTCTCCTCTCTCCTCAGTGGGAAGCTGACGCGCGCCACGAGCAGTTGCGTTTCCACGCGCTACCCTCGCGTTCCCTCGTCGTCAACGAGGACGGGCTTACCGAATAGATAGAGGAAGGACCGTTTGTCTCGGGAATAAATCTACGTCGCGATACGCGCTTCGTGACCTGTGTCGGCTTACTTGGCGATCTACTGCACCAGGAAGACGCTCTGCCCGCTATTATTAGGGCGTCGCCTTGAGGCTACTCTCGTATATCAATTTCGATCGCGGGATATCTGGATCGTATGGATTCGCATAGCTCCGTGATGTCTAAAGAAAGTCAGCTGACGTTATACTTGTCTCATTATATCTCTGTCTCGCGTACGCTAGTCGGTCGTATAACTATATATAGCGGAGCATACCGAAGGTACTACCGAGCCCTCAAGTCGTAAAACCGTTATTTTTCAAATTTAAATCGGCGCGATTCGGGTAAAAATGACGGTTCACGTGCCGCGGCCTAACATGATTCACCGCGAAGGTTCCAATCAGCTGTTCGACTTTTTCGTCGGGTAGACTACCCGAATGAAACAGCTGATCGCTGGTCCTGCCTCTATGTAGCCTTTGCGATGTGTCGCGATCGCGGTCGGTAACTGTACGTGACGCGTTTCATGTAAATTATAACTCGTATGCAACGTCTTGCAGTAATTCTACAAGGTCGATTCTCAAGAGAGCGGAAGAATATTTCAAGCAAGGAAAAAGTCGATCGATATCCGACGTCGTGTCGAAGAACTAACCTAAGTCTGCCACACTGTCGCTCGTTGCAAATCGCCAAGCACTTTTTTCTACCATTCGTGTCTTCGTCGTCAACACGCAGAACGAGTCGAATAAAAACCTACGTGCAGCCATAATAGAAGACCCCGTGTTCGTTCCCAGCGACGAAAACTCGTATAACGTGCCAGTACCGATGCCGATTCGTAAATTCTATTTGCAAGTTAAGATTATTGAAAAAGTGGGCAGTTGGGGCTCGTGCCAGATGCGCGTTTACACGGGCCCTGAATACTGTAAATGCACTATCTGGTACGACATCTCTTCTGTCACTGTCACCATTGCGTCTTCGCGGCTTACTAGTGACTTCATTTGTTTCCTTTGCTTCTTTCCCTTTCGAGATTTTCTTAAATCGAGAGAGAGAGAGAGAGAGAAGAATAAATTTTAGATCATATAGCAACAATCTTCCTGGAAAACAACAGACACCTCGTCTTCTGTTTCCTTCGCCAGAAACCAATGACACTAGACCCGGCGACGGTGCACGTGCATGTCCTCCCTAAACATTTTGAGAAGTACTTTCAAAAGCATATTGACATATAATTGCCTGCATGACCAACAACGCAATTCTAACTACTTGCTTATAAATTCGTGAGTGAATATTCTCTGGATAAAAGGTCACGTTCATCAGCGCCACAAATAATCGTAGTACATACCGTGTCGTCCCTCTTGCGTGTCATTAACGTACTAAGTCCAGGTAGTACCAAGAACAAACGACGCTGTCGTCCCGTACTAAAAACATCGATCTGTTATGATTTCACGAGCTCTTTTCAAATAACATTCACTTAAACGCGTAGACATGTAAATTCTCTCGTGCGCTACATAATCTCCTAATTGTTTTTCCTCTTGTTTCTGAATTTTATCTTGGCATCACGTGACGTTTGTCTAATTGTTTCGTCACGTGGACGCGCGTTCAAATCAGCCAATTCTGTATCTCTTTTCCACTCGTACGACGCTCAAAGGCCATTTCCTTCCTTGGAGACGTAGCGACGACTATTTTCTCCTTACGGCATTGTTAACCATTCTTGTTATCTCTACCTCGGCCTCTCTCTCTCTCTCTCTCTCTCTCTCTCTTTCTCCTCTTTACTCTCTAATGCCTCGCACTCGTTTCAATGCACTCTGTAAACCCGTACCTGCACCCACGTTGGTTCAAATGAATTTGCAATAAATCGTTGTCACTCCATGGATGATTACCTGTTGTCAAGACTCGGTATAATTCATTTTTCATCTTTAACATTTTAACAATTATTATAAATCATGTCTAGTAAGCATCATTATTTTTTTTAATTCCCGGAGACAACTTCTATGCACGTACTGCTATGTCTAACTGTGTATTCTCCACCTCGCTTACGTGTGTTCTGAAAATTATTTTCTACCAGATCATACACTGCTACCTATAGTCTACTCCTCTCTCATATCCTGGCAATGCAGGCTCGACGGGACTGACAGACGAATGCCTTCGTGTAACATCAGCTTTTGAATTAGCAAGATCATCTTAACGAGCATGACGCTTCTGCTGGCTTCTGCTGGTATAACGCCTCTATGGAATACGTGTATGTCATTGTATGTATATATATATATCGGCTAGACGACCCACCTTGTAATTTAAAGGCGAATATTCATAGCGCAGGAAAGCAAACAGGCCGAGGAGCTTTGAAGAGTTTTTGCAACACGTCAACCATATTCAACTTTGAGACCAAGTATAAGTGTGCACACCATTATGCCCGAGAAGAATTTTCGTATTTCCCGCGCTCTGTGCCTTTCACGCATGCGTCAATTGTTTACTGCGTAGCTACGTACACGTGCGTTACGTCAATTTTCCTTCCTGACGAAGACAGCCTATCTTCTCTTTATATTTCTGTTGTAATTTGTATTTTTCTAGATGAAATATTACGCGTCGATGACGTCACTCGAAATTACTTAAAATCTACGTCCGACAGTGCTTCCGATAGAAGGAGGCCGCGTGTTCTATGTTAGGAAAGCGGAAAATTTGATTACGTTTTAAAATAGACTTGTTCCCTTCCTATTGCGCACCTTCGAATACGTCAAACGTCAACCTTTCGCCCGAGGCGTCAGCCATTAGCATAATGGCCCGTATAACCGAGTGAGTTATTTTTCTTTTTTCCGTCCAAGAGCATTGATCTATCAATACTTCGACTGAAATTCGTCAACTACGTTTTTCTATGGTAGCAATAGTAGTATTAATGATAGTCGATCGTGGCAATAATGTAATAGTATTGTAATAATAGTAGGGAAGTTGGCATAAGTAATTCTCGTTCTCTCTTTCTCTTTCCTCCTTGTATATCCATATCGCTATGGCTCTCTCGCACTCGCACGACCAGCCTAAGGTACGATCTCTCTCGCGGCCATTATTCCGCAACGAAATTCCGAACCTGTTACCTGCGTGTGTATCTCGTATCGACCGCCATCTTTCTCCCACAGTATAAGAATGGACACATTGTAGATCGTAAAACCCACTACGTAGACCAGCTCCGGATTAGAATCAACGGATCTTCGCCTCTTCTCTCTCCACATTGCCTCCTGCGTCTGTCACGTGGCTAAGTGAAAAAAACGGAAGGACACGACATCGATATTTTTATTTTACGAATATCAACGAGACATTTTGTATCGATAATAAATACCATACTACCATTCTTCGATCATTTCATTTCAATCCATTTCGCCTTCACCGATCCATAGGTTACGTAAGGGAGGGTCTTTCTTTCTTTTTTTCATGTTCAAAGCTTTTCTAGGTTATGATAATAATTGGTGGTCGAACAAAAAATTGCACGGCAGCACTGGGTTTTGCTGCTCAGCACTGGCTTGCTAACCTAACCTAAGTCGATTTTTTATTCCTTTGTTCTACCACCAAGACCCTTCTTACGTCGATCGTCTCATCTACTGTCGTTACAATTCTCTACTGATCGAAGAGTCAGATAGGATTCAAGGCCCAGGGCCTCTTGACTCACTTTATGCTTATATACTTATTCTTGTTTACTGCGCTGTTGTTATTATCGCTACTCTCTGTGCTGCTGCCGCTGCTGCTCTACCTTTCTATTAGCTTCTCCTACGCTCTCTCCTGGGGGCAGACTGTGGCAATGCGTGTAGCCCACTTTGAGCATTTCTAATGCGACTTGTCGAATCTGACTGGCAGGACACTCGAAAGTCTCGAACCTCGCGCACGGCTGCTTTAGAGATTCTCAATCGTTAGGCTCTTTCTGTCTTAAGGAAATTAGTGTACTGGCAGATACCCTTGGGGGGTTGATTTTTTAATTTTATCTTGTAATATTATTCTCTATTTTGATTGCTTACAAAAGTCTGGAATCTGCTTTACCGACTGGTCCTAAGAAGAATAACAGTGAGTGCTACGTCAAACATGGGTTTTTGTTGATGAACCATGATTCACTGTAGTTTAACCCAGGGGCGGTTTGAGTAAATCTTTTGTAGTAGGAAAAGAGGTAGCAGGCAGAAATTTTCTTGCTTTACGTTAATGCGTTAAGCATTCTTTTATTATTATGATACAAAGACCACTGTATTACAGAGACTTCAGACAACATATGCCTGGAAGTGGAGCAACTGTCACGTTTAAATGTCGAGCCAAACGCGATCAAGAACTCATTAAAGTCGTGCTTTAATTTAAGGTTAAGGTCTGAACAGGTTGCAAAATGATCCTCTAGATGTCTCCGTTTGATCCCAATACGGATGATGTCGAAAGTGTCGAAGACTGGGGGATACTAGAAATAGTCGTAATTCTATGATGATCCATGAGCTTGTGACCTCGGAGAAATAATACTTAATCCAAAGACACGACACGGTCTTACCAACCTCTTACACAACTTGAGACCCTAGTATATTACACTATGTATGTATACAGGTACTACAACGAAACTCCCTAAGTCCTTTGTTTTCTTCCATAACGCCTCCTGATTTCAGGGCGTCGTGGATACGTGCGGAGTTCAATTTCACGTTGAAAAATGACTTTTGGAAAATACCTATCGTCGTGCATCAGTGAAATCAGCAAAGCACTGAGCGACCGGCGTGTTGGCAGTGTGGTTAGCTGGTTGTGTGGTTTATTGTGTACACGACCGCTATCGGCACTGCAATTATGACGGTCGCAGATCTCCTATTGATATCGAGAACAGAAAGAAAAATTAGCGGATATGTATGAGAGCAATGTAAAAAGAAAAATGCATCTTACGTCTTGTACTCCTTTTTTTTTCCTTTTTCTTCCTGTTTGCATGATTAAGAATTATCTAATGTTCTTGTATACTGAAATGGGATATTGAGGGGTCGGGATCCGTGTCTACTGGAAGTGTCTAAATTTGTATCACCCTTCTTTTTCAGATCCGCCTACGTCTCGTTCGGAGGGCTGCTTATGAGGTTGCAGGGAGACGCCAACAATCTTCATGGCTTTGAGATCGACCAGCACATGTACCTTCTCATGAAGAAACTGGCCTTCTGAAGATCTGGAATTCAGCCACTTAAAGGTCAACCTGAAAATAAACGGTACAACCTGGAAGATACGGAGAGGAGGATAAGAAGAAGACACGCGAATGAAACGTCCTGTAGTTTGTGGATCGTTAGTCATTGTATGGAAGATATAAGACGTGTAGTTGTACATGGAAGACCATAGTCGTTTATTATATTTAAAGTACAGTTAAAAAGTCGAATTTAAATAGATTCGACGAGACAATGGAATTTCTTTTCTAACCGTAAACTTATGGTTGAACTTTGATCGATCATCTGTTCGAAATTTTGTATTTTCATCTGTTTCCTTGTCAAAAGTGAATGGTGCTTCCGCCATTCATCATTCGAGCGATCATTGTAATAATGAAGTATCATTCCAAAGCCAATTTTATCCTAAGGGTAGTATAGAACTCTCGAGACCATTGTACACTGGCATTCTTTTGTATCGTTGTGAAAAAGTCATAAACTCTGTAATAAAGTATTTTTACACGATGTACATTACGCGCACGTCGAATTGGCTACTAGGTGAATCTTTTGGATGATCACCAACCCTTCTTCCACCACCTATAAGCTTACGGCTAAATGCGACTGCGACCTGAAAATAGGCGCCAGGCACACACGGCCAGCATCGCGACAGTCCGATCTGGCCGACATACGGATTTTGAGATTTACGTGAACGTTAACCGGGTTGTTCACTTTGCAAGCCACCGTGTCCTACCTATCCACCTTACCGGGTGAAAAGTCTAACTCCGGCATCACCGAGATACCTAATTTAAAAGTTATTGGAGCCTGTAGAAACACAAGGTTAACCCTAAGCGACTGTATGAACATATTTAAAAAAAATGTTTTTGGTATCGATCCGCTAGATGTCAGGGTTAGCAAGAAGATACTGAATTATCTTGAAAGATCAATAGAGAACTTCCAGTTCTAAGGGATATTTGTTTTCATCTGTTAGCATATCCGTTTAATCCCATACTGTTTGACGTTTTGAAGAAGCCTTTTTATAGATGATAATTCATCAGGAGAAAGGATCATAAATCATCATTAATTTATTTAACCTCTAGCTGTTAACGTTAATTCTACACAATGTGCGGCGTTCCTTTCTTCTTTGAGATTCTCAAGAGGTTGCGGCAGCAAGTATTCTTTTAATAGGGTGTGCGAATTAATAAATGTGACCGTGCTTCAGATCCTAATAACGTAACGCCAAAGATGCCATTTTAGCGAAGATTGCATTCTCAGCTTATAAAGTATCTAGGAGCTATTAACAGTCCAGTACGTGTTTGCGATGACTCCATCGATATCCAAGTGCACACGCTGCGTGGCTCGTGGTGTCCCAGTGGGGATGAGAGCGACAGAGGAGGCAGAAGAGAAGAAGAGAGGTAGCGCAATGTAGTGCAATATAATAATGTAGTGCAGTATAGTGTGGTGGCAACGTATAGTGGAGGCAGAAAAGCGGGAGGCGAACGGCTAATTTATGTAATTAAACTCGCGGCATTCGTGACCTTGTACGGCTGAATGCAAGCCGTGGCTATATGCACAATATACTCGCGTGGACTGCCAGAGACAAGAGCGAACAAGATGGCTGCCGCATTCGGTTGCGTAACGGCAAGATGGCCGCCACTTAATAAGAGGCTGATCCTAAATAGATTGCCCCAATGACATATAATTCGCTTTTATCTGCCGCCATTCGTTGCATAACTACAAGCTTTTTAAAATCGATAGGCCGCAACTGCAGTGCTCTCTTCGACGTACGTCGTTACTTCCTCAATTTATCCAATAGGTGAAAATTCTTCTAGGGATAGATTTTGCAGAACTTGACCACAAGGCTGCTTTTGAAATTCTTATCCGTGTAGCTATCTGATGTAGGAACAATATAGGTTAGACATTTAACGAATTACTTAGAAATGATGTAAAGATTTTATAGGTAGGCTTAGTTTTTAATACATACAAGATATGCGTGCCTTTTAAATTATTATATTACAATTGAGGCAATATAGTATACATCACTATGTACGCTTCCATTTTACATATCTTTAAATTGTATTAAGCTTTGTTGTAATTATTACACGAAGACACTGATCGAATGCCGTGCACACTGCCAATCCTTGCTTGTCAGGACTCCAGTCTAAGGAACTAACCGGCTGAGAAGATAAGGTACTATTTTGAAGGAGACTGACACTCCCCACGACACCATGCTCCAGACCATCAGCATCAGTTTGCTTTCTTCTTTCAGGGTAATTGCTGTGATCACAAAAAAAAATTAGAATACAGAAAATTATTCTTCATTAAAGGATAGTAGAGGATTCATACTATTTCCAAAGACACAAAGAACCTCCACCGCCGCAGGTCATGAATATCTCTCGGTTTTGCGGTAAGTGTCGTACCAGCCATACTGTCGACTTGTGTGCCTAAAACCATAACCACAAGAATTCCCATAAAATTTAACTTCCTAATACACTGTGTTGAACGGCACAGAGAAACATTATTTTCTCCCTTAACCTAAGAAACTACCGTACCTTTTCCGTCAGGTAAGCAAAACCTTTCTTTGGATGCTGAGTCTTCAAATCGAACAAATAATATTTGGATTCCAATGTCGTGGCGACTAACTTATTCATGGCTATGTCTTTTCTATCAAATTCCAACGAGCACACACCATTTTTCAAATTACTCTCCCATCTCAGCGTCATTGCTCTCAAGTCAAACATTTTGACATCTCCGTTGTCGTAACCAGCGGCTACCACCCTCTCTTCGGAATTATAGGAATTTCCAAAAGCCACCGTCCAACAGTCTCTACGCACTTCACCCTCCTTTGGCTCCATTACTGCCACCGGTTTGCCCTTTTGTCTTGGATCCCACACCTTGACACTCCCATCTCGTGATCCTGTCACTAATTCCGGAGCTCCACAACCCACGCTCTGTCCAGCTACGCCATCGATGCTGTTTATTATTTCTTTATGTGCGTTCGCCGTATATATCGGAATCGAAGGATCCTCAAGATTATAAATGTTCAGTCTACCCTGGAAGAGACAGTGACGTTAATTAATTAGACCGAATTAAACCACCAAGGTTTCCTCGATTACGACCAGCAGCGACTCGAGGATTAACTGTTTATCGGGAATAATAATGGAAAAAAAGGGTTTCTCAGCCATTGCCTCGAGATTTCCAAATTTGTATACTCCTCCCGAGGTACTGTACAATCAAGGGATCTATTTGAATTTAGTTTCTTCTTAATTTTATTTGCCGAGAACACACGCAAATCTGGTTCCAACGTTTATTACTTTCCTAAGTCAAGAAATCGATGTAAGTTTACATTTTGTAACTATAATGTATACATTTTTCTTCAGAGGAACAAACTGGAGTAAACGTCCAAGTCGTGTATGCATAAATGGCAGAACAAATGTGTAATAAACGTTTGCATATTACACAGAAAAGGTACCTTAAAATCTCCAGTCGCCAAATGTCTATCCCGAAGGCTAGAAGCTTTGAAAGTTCCGCATTTCATAGCATTTGAACGTTCAATGTCTTTGATTAGTTTCAATTCGCCACTGGACACCTCGTAGATCTGAATGATACCGGAACCACGAGGCCGTGAGCCCATAACCACAAATTTCGCGCTGCACGGTATCCATTTCGCATCGAACAGAGAATAGTTAACGGACTTTTCAATATGACAAATTATTTGTGGCTTTGCCAACTTTTCCATGACTATCAAGTAATAAGTAGTTTCTCTGTAGTTAGCACCTTCGATCGGAGCTAATTCAAAATAAATTCTGTTTCTATCGATACGACACAGAATGTTTGAAGTTTCCATAAACAAACACTGGCGACACCTCGTGGTTCGATTCGACGTTGCTTTAAGTCTCTGTATTTTCTCTACTCTAATAGCGGGTTGTGTGGGAGGAAATCAATAAAATATGTTACTATTTACGACAGCATGACCTTGAAGGTAGTACTCAATGAAAGCTGCGAACATACAGGAGCAATGTAAAAGAATTTTTATTCATATTGATACACTAAAGTTTCATACTAAGTATATCTAGAAATTGCTTATCGGACCGTGCAAATTCATCGTGTTGTCCGTCTTAAACTGGTTTTCAGATACGTGACCTTTTAATTTGTCAACATATTAGTTTTCTTTTTTAATTAATACATTCACCCATTTGTTCATCGTCGGTGTCGTTCTCTGAGTTCTCTTGAGTCTGATGATCTTGATCAACGTTTGGCTCGTATAAAGACATACGAAATTGTTGAACAAATTTCATTAAGCGCTTATCAGTCTGCTGTATCTATAAGAGCAAGATATATTTTTGAAAATTTAAAGTTAATACAGTGCCCATTTTTATAGCTGTAAATTCTTTTGAGATAGTTCACCATTTTCATGACGTTATCCACGGCCTCACGAATATCCTTATCGGTTCTCTCTTCCGCAGAAAGCTCTAAATATTTCAAGGACTTGATTAATACATCTTGATCAATATCGCTGTCAAGCTTAAGAATTTCCGCCAAGATGGCATATGTGAGATTCTTATGTGGATAGTAGGTCTGTGTACTGATTTTCTGTATGCCAGGTTTCGTCCAGCTAAGAATAAGTTTGGCCACCGCGTGGGGATTGATTTCCTGCAACGGACTGGTGTCCGGTGCATTGGCCAATGTCTGTAGGGTTGGCAGGAACGCCTGCTCCAGCATTTCCTGGCAATCAGGAATGTGTACGACGAAACTGTTAAAGAAGCTACAGAGACACTGGCGCAGGTAGATATCACCTTCCGTGATGGGATTGTGCCAGAGGATGATCAGTCGCGACAACAGAGTTGCGCTACTAATCCTTCGGTTAAGTAACAGCTTGCACAGACCTTCTGTCGCGATAGTTCGCAAGTCTTGATTCTGTCAAGTAAAAGGATGATAAAAATATAGTACTGAAGACTTTCTATTTTCACTATTATTAGTATTTTTCGTTATAATGTAAACAGAGCCACTCACTGCATTGTCCAAGAGGCCAGTCAAAATCTTAATAATATTCAAATAATTATTCTCCGTCTCGGACACTGTGGATTCAGGTATTAAAGTGTCGTCTGTGTTCGAGTATAATTTAACTGTACGATTCTTCGATTTGTTCGAAGACACATTCTCCTCCTCGTTTTGCATTATGTCAAAGTATTCCATGCCATAGAATAAGAGCAAATCGAAGATGGACTTGAGCGCCATAATCCATATATCCTGGTTATCCTGCTCGATAGAGAATTGCAGGAAGAACATCATAATGTGTTTCTTGGCAAGTTCCTTGTCCAGCAAGCAGCAAATGGCCACCGCTTTCAGAGCGAGTAGATGAACGGTATCATCGGCATGCTGAAAGTTTAAAATTCTTATGTCAACTCTTGCATAAAGTTTGTAATATTAGCTAGCGAGTAAATATGAAATAATAGATTCGCCATACGTCAAAACTTGGCAATGCCATATCTGTCATGAGTGTTCTTAGGTTTGGTGTCAAAGTTGTGACTGATGGTACTTCCATCATGGCGCACATGATCCCAAGACACATAATCATTGTCTCCCTGTCATTCTTCTCCTCGCAAACCGGTTCGTTCGTGGTTTCTATTGCTCCTGTTGGGAGTTCATTGATTTGCCTATTTATGTCTTCAATCTGTTCCTTCAGGGCTGCCGCCCTCATATAGTCCTTCTCATGGATCGCCTCATATTCTTCTTCATTTACTTCTATCAATTTCACTTTTAATTTGGCTCTCTGGAAATTAACATCGGTATTCGTTCAAAATGATTGGTTTAATGATCAAATTTCTTACTTACCTTCATGTTGATCGTGTGCAATTCCTCCTCTGATATTTGTGTTGTTACTTGCTGCTTTAATGGCATTCGCAATTCACTTATTATGTGTGTCAAAGAGTTTAGCCTACTGTCCACATCTGGTATGATAACTTCTAAATATTTAACAATTGATTCTGTTACTTGCTGGCTACAATGCTCTGTCATTAATGCGTCAAAAATCAGTTGCTTCAAGTTTGCTCGTCCACTCTCATCAGACAGATCGTAAATCTTGGCAATTTCAAATAATTGATTCAGAATTATCTTCTGCGTTAGCTGCTCCCATGGTTGATACTCCTTACTGCTCAATAATGCAAGATATTCTCGAATATATGTACAAAATATTGATAACTCTGGTAAAAATTCCTCAAGCTCATCCGTGTATGAAGAGCGACGAAGATAGTCCACCAGGCATCGCCAGTATAAAACAATTTCACTCTGGAGCTTCTCGTGGGGGATAAGCTTAGTATCCGGATCTATTGGTATCTGAGCCATCAGGTTTCTTAATTGATCGGCTCTATAAAAAAATGAAAAATTTCATGTTTTGAATACAAAATGCATATTTTTAGTTGAGAATGCGAATTTACGTACTGAAATAGAGTATTTAATACTAAAATTCCAGTTTCCATAGCGTTTTCAGCATCCAGTGCTCGTAAGAGATTAACGTAGTCTCCTTGAAAGTGCTGAAGCCAGGATGGCAATAGTACTTTTTTTACACTGTCTCTGACTATCTCAGATCTGTCTTTTAAACCGTCACTAAGTAATTGTTCTCTCTGTTTGATGGTCAATGATCTTACAGTGATCTTACTAATAAATATGTATGCTATTTTTCGGACTGTGTCATTGATATCTCTAGTTCTTTTTAAAGCAGCTTGTAAGGTTTTCTGACTTTTGCCCATATTTGTTAACACAGCCTTACGAACTTCAGCATGTGGGTCCTTGGATAAATGAAATATAAACATCTTGATAATTGGACACTGCTCGTCAGCTGGATCCTGCAATCTGTGAAGAGCAAACACTGCTTGTGCTCGAACTTTTGGTGATTTATCCAGTAAGCGCTCCATCATATTCGCACTTATTTTATCACAAAGGACATCTTCTAAGAAAGCGTTTTCCCCCATTCCATTCAGTAGCATATTGACAAAGTAGCAAACACGATATCGAACTGCTGTATCCTTTGAGTTATGATGATCAAGGAGAAAATCAAATAGCTTTAGAAGAAATGGACACATATCTTCATCAGATTCATCGCCTTTAGAACTCTGTAAATTAACAGCAAATTTTGCAGCAAACCCTAATGTATTTTCAACATGAGGATGGATTTCACTTCTAGTCAAGGGAACCATGAGGCAGAGTATAAAATATTCTATAAATACATCTGGATCCACCTGAAATTAAATTCAAACATCAGTAAAGTCATACCAAATAGAGATTGGAGCTTTTACAATATAGTCTGAAATGTTTACCTTGAGATAATATGCTTTAAGTTTCTTCAAATAATTCTGATGGCACGTTTTGTTGAACTGAACGTTATAAAAAATATCTGATATAAATTTATTAATTTTTTTATACGAATTAGACATCGTTTATCGATTATTTCAATACAAGAAATCTAATAACAATACGCTATATTAGGTTGTACATAAAAGTACGTTGTCCGATATTCTACAATTTTTCAAATATATCAATGCTGACAATGAAAATGATAAAATCCCTAGTTTCCTAGTACTATTAATTTTTTAGGCTACAAAATTACGTAAGCTGCCATCCGGGAGCACATCTATCGATGTTCACGTTATTCCAATCCTTTGAAGTCGGGTAGCCATTTTTCTAGAATTTGTACTGTGAATTCTGTGTCTTAAAGACCCAATAAAAAGGTAATTGCTTTTAATAACAGTTTTTGTTCGTATAACTTTGATTAATGTCACTCGATTATTTTATGCTTATTTGAATTTTATCAAAGTCGACATCATTCATTACCAGCCGAATGATAGTTCAAGGTGTTTTCGCAAAATTTTGTTAAAATACGTAACTTATTTCTTATGCTTTTTCTAAAGAATATGAACTAACTTTGGTCTCTCGATATTACAGTATCAATATTTATGATAAGCTCCAATAATTGAATCCGCGTATAAATACACGTTAGAAAATCTAAAGTCAACTCTAACCAATTGTGTTAGAAAATTAAATTATATAATGATTATGAACTAGTATTTTATTAATGGTTACAAAATTAATAACAAATTTTCTGCAAATGATAAATTAAAAATCATGACCTTGATCTATTTCGACATCCGTCAGATGTATGTTTTGCTTTCCCAATGAAAGTAAATTGTACAAAATCAACTTACAATGACTGTATATATATATCTTTGTTCTTTTAGGCAACATGGCTGATGCAGCGACTCCTAAGCGTCATATGAAATTTCCATACACCTTTACGGCAAAAATGGTTCAATTCCCATACAAATATTACATCAATAACTGCTGGCCATATAAATATTACTTGATCAGTGTTCTCCTTGTTTCTCCACTTTTTGTAAAGATCACTAGTGCAGGTATGTATATAATTTTTTACATACAACAAAGATGTATTATTGAAAATTACTCTAAAAGTGTTACAGCAATAATATGATACACAAATTGTTATATTTTTCAAATATTTATAGTGAACAGTCCCGCGAACAAGGCAAAATGGTATGAAATCAGGAAAAAAGAACTGGAACCACATCATTAAATTGAATATCTAAAACCACTTAATAGTTTAACTGTAAATTATGTAACATTCAAGATATATTATGAAACTCATAGTTCACTGAATTGTTACTATGAATTGATGTGCAAAATAAAATACTGTACCCCATATTACTATCCTAGTCTAGTTCAATCTCACGAAAATTTATACACAATTGCATCATTTTTAAAGGTGTTTATTACCAAATTAATTGTATAAAACGTACATCGTTATAAAGGAGCCTTTCGATTGTGCTGTACAATGCAACAGATAATATTTTGTACCTTAGACTTTGTTATATAGGCCCAGCCTAAATTTTGGACACCTTATGGGAGCTGATTCTTTCAAAATTTCAAAAGGAGACAAACATAGGAGTAAGAAACAGGGGCACTAGGACGATAATGAAGATAAAAAATAAGTACTGTTATTGTTTCATTTATCAAATGTAAAACAGATTTTAAATAACGCGAGAAAATCATCAATTGCAAACATCACTCTGCGACTTTCCCATGACTTCATAGAATATAAGTTTTAAAAGTAGCACAGTGGAATCTTCTCGAGGTCGATATTTTAACTTCGGAAATAGGAGATTCAAATTTTCATGTAGTAGATACGATACCTGCCTACTACCAACCAAGCATGCTGCAATCCGTATCTCATATGTCGCAGTAGTGAATTCGCAGACGTAGAATTGAATATTGAAAAATGTAAGGACTGTTTGCTCCTAAAAGTCTGTAATTATCTTAATGTCAAGTTGGTATATGTGAGAGGTTTTACTATAATTACGCATACAATTAAAATAATAAATAATCAGCGATGCAAAAATACGTGTCTCGTTATGAGGAAAGAAAAAGAACTTATTAAATACAACTAACGTCGAGGAAATATAGTATAGGTTTAGGTACTCAAATAAACTGAGAACCACAGATTGTACTTGGCTCCGGCTTAGTAACATTCAAAAATCATTCTGCAGCTGAAGCTTCATCGAAGATTCCAAACTTCGGCGAAACCATCGATCAACTGAGAATCAACGTAAATAGTACGCGAATACCGCAGGAGCGACTTGCGGCAATGGAAATAATAATAAAACTCCTTCCTCCTGCATCTTGCTCAGATCACGGATGAAATATGCGGAGATCAGACGGTGTGCGTGCAACAATGCATTAGGTTAGATTAGACGCCTGTAATTGGCTTTGCAGCAATAAAGAAGGGAAAACAAAAAAAGACGTGCAAAAATAAATGAATATGAATTCCTTAATGATTCAGTCGTCACGTGGATTTTGAAAATTGTTCACACACTCACAAGCACACACATTTCATCTTTAAGAGGATAACGAAGGTAATTAACAATGTCTTAGTTAACTTGATGAACAGGTCCGCTTTTATGAGACTCACGTAGCTCGGTCTCTTACGCAACACGGAAGATAAGAGTACGGTGATGGATAGCGGATGTGTCTAAACATTCTGAACAGCCGGGAACAATACCGGAATGATGATGGCTACACAAGGTGTAAATCTTCATCTTGGTCTAACTCTTTATACTGTGTTTATTATCCTCGTAGTCATCATCGTCATCGTCATTATCACCATGCTGATCCTCCTCTTCCTCTTCTTCTTCTTCTTCTTCTTCCTCTACCTCTTCCTCGTCATCGTCTTCATCATTATCCACCTCCATTTCTTCCTCTTCGCTGTCATCGACTATTCCGTTTATCTTCATGCCATTCGACTCCTGGATCCTCATCTTCTTCCTCGGCGGTGACTCCAGGACGGGTTTCTGTTCCCCGTAATTCAAGCCAAGTTCTCTGCACCTCTTCTCGAAGAACTTGAGAAGCCTCATGCCCGCCCTGTAAACATAACTGTTTTTAAATAGGCATAGCTGTACTCATCTTGAGAGGATTCGTGAGCGCGTTCGGAAGCCAAAGATTATTCCTCTCTCTCTCCTCTCTCTCTCTTGACGGATGTCAACCCAACGAAAGGATATCAGCATCGTCATCGTGATCTCGTCGTATCCTTTACCTTGTGTCTTTACCATTCACGTTTTGATTACAATGTCTAAATCCTTATTGCTTTGATTCTTCCTTAGGTACTGGTATAACTCACGTGATGATAAGACCAAGCGGACATCTTTAGAGATTTTTCGTTAATCCCTTCATGTACAATTATTATAAATTAGAGAAAGAGTCTAAAAATGTTATACTTCTATGCGTTAATTTAAAAACATTTTGCATTATTCCAAAAGTTATTGGACAGAGCATACAGATTCAAGGGGTATTCTGGAATTGGCAAACATTAGAAATACGTTTGTGTGAAACGACATGCACGAAGTAACACAATATCCAACACTGTTGTCGACACCATTAAGATAAACAGGACGAGCATCTCACTCGCGAGATGTTCTGTTAGTGACAAATACACGTATAAAAAAAATCGATAGAACTGGCGATAGTGTTAATAAGAATGAGTAGAGGAATGATGAAATAAAAGGTGTGAGAAACAAAGTGTGTTAATCGTCCTCAGAAATCTCTGGCGTCCGAACCCAAGACAAAGGGAAATTACGTGCCAAGAACTCACTTGTACACAGAACTATTCTCCTTGTTGTACATCTCGCAATTCTCGAAGACCAGTAGACAGTCCTTGTAGAATTCCTGCAACGTTTTATAATCTCCATTTCCCAATTTGTACTTGATCGTGCCGAAATCCATTGGGCACTTGATAATCTCGTGATAGTCCGGCACTTCTTCCTTTGTAACCGGCGACAAGAACGGCCAGGAATCTCTGTGATGCGTTATATCCGCCAACAATTCATGCAAAGTAGCCATCGAACCCTTCACCGTCGTCTTGTCCTCCTTGACTTCTTCCTCCACCTCGGCAGCTCTTTTCGTTGCTCTTCTAGTTTGTCGAGGTTCAGCTTCATCCGACGTGCTAAAGTCTGATAATTAAAAATACAATTTAATAGTACGTTAATTTTTTGTATATCAAAAGTCTAGCTCTATTCAGACTAAATGCCAGAAAAAAAAAACCAGAAGCTGCGGAGTAAGTTATTAGGACAATGAGGGGATAAAATTAAGAGAACACAATTTTTTTGGTTGACATAGGAAAACTATTTACTTGTTTTGTATGCAGTAATGATTGCAGGAGCGAACGTGATCAATAATTGTATAATAATGGAAGCGAAGTATGTGGACTGTATTGTAACTTGTAATGGTGATAGTTAATGGTTTCTAATGTAGGAACTATTAGTGGTACTGGCTGCAGGCATTCCCAAGCAGTGTGATGATGTTTGAGACCGGTTGAAAATTTGTCTGATGGAATCTTTAATGTGTTATAAATGTGATAAATAAGTAATAAACATGGGTACGACAATACGGACCGTCCCAGTCTGTAGATTCTGTAGTGAGAAGGCTCTTGGCGAAACCGTGGATTCGAGATCGAGCCGCAGCTGCACACAGCCTCTCCGAGTCTCTCTCCCTCTCACGGCCTCTCACTATAGCAACATAGCCAATGCTAAGACTATCTATCGTCTAAATAATAACTTTGATTTTAACTGCATGATCATAGTTATTGCAAAAAGAAATTTCTAACGTCCAAATTGGAGTCGTTAAAATGACGTTGCAGTATCCCATGCCTGGAAGGTACGCATGGACATATTAGAAATTCAGATGAAGTTTTGCCACTGCTTTAATTTACCTTGGCACGTTTCACAACAGAAATTTTGTATTCAATCAATATGCAAGCTATTGAATTTTTAATGATCTATGCAATCCAAGGTTACTTGATAAACCAACAAAATTATCATTTTTAATTTTGTGTGTAGTCAATGCTAAAAAAACTTACCGTTTCGCGTTCTACTCTTTTCGCGGCACATGGGGCAAAACCATTTTCCGCGAGGAACCCTCGATATGGGTGGTACAACGCACTCTAGGTGATATCGTCCAGGACAACCTTCGCAGATAACCTCCCTCTTGCCAGATCCACACCTGGACGAGCAGGGAGCCATTAGTTTACTTCTGAAAAAGAAAAATATAAAATATTTTTAAGTCTACTGGAACGAACTGGTTTCATTTAAAAGTATTGAACGTTCTTACGAGCTCTCAGAACTTTCTCCCTCGTCCTCTTCATCTTCCTCCTCTTCCTCTTCCTCTTCTTCCTCCTCATCGGATTCAGCCACCCGTTTCGCTCGATTCCTACGGGTTTCTTTGGTGAGCGCAGCCTCATCCTCCGGCTCGTCTTCAAATTTCTTTCTCTTCTTGATCTTTTCCTTTGGTGTAGCCTCACGTGGTTTACACGTTGTGCAGAACCAGTCTCCATCGGGAATGGCCTGCAATTGAATAAAGCTTCGTTTAGGATTCACAGAACTACGTCCAGTTAAAAGAAAAATGAAACACAACGGATTATTACATTAAGTTTAGGTTTCAGACAATAAAGATGATGTCCCTTGTTGCACCCATCGCACAGAAGCATATTTTCAGCATCCCTACGTTTTCTGCAAATTCGACACTGGGCATTCAGGGCACTCTTGCTCCAGGCCACGCTGTTCTCCAATGTATTCAGGTGAACAAATAATTGGGACCAACTCGTAGAAGCCATTAAGGATTGTTCCCACCGTTCTCTAGCCTCCTCGCTGGACCACTTTTTGTCTTTCTCATCAACGCCCAATGGTCTCTTCATATATTTTGGCTCAATCGCGCGAGACAGCTGAAGAATCGCGCACGCCATTTGTCTTATAGATGTTTGCTGCACTGGATCGGGTAAGGGTTCGTTTTCCCCTGGTGGACCTAAGTATTTTCCTGGATCACGATAAACTTTCATGGTAACACTACCAACTTCAGAGTCCGGTGTGCCAGGTCGACTGTGTTTCGTTTCACTCTTTATTTTGTCAACAATAACATTCGGTGCGACGTCTACCTCTATTTCGTTGGCACCATACATTAGTTTATCACACTGTTTGTCGTAACTACCCTTACTAATAGCGTTTCTCCAAGTCTCTCGACTGATCACTTTCAAGGATCCCAAGCAGCCAACTTTAATTTTATCTTCCAGGTCTAATATGAAATCGCGCAAAGACAATTCCATTACACTGTCGGTTGGCATATCTGGCGAGTAACCCCAATTTGCATTCTCGTACTTATTCTTCTTGTTGGTCTTGCTCGTGAACTCCTTAATTGGTTCCTTGAACTGAAGAACACACAAATTGAACATTAAAAATTTACCTAAACTAGTGACTACAGAATTAAAGTACTTACGACTTCAGGATTTAGTTTTTGCCTAGAGCATTCTTCGATTACTGATATTAAACTAGCTTTTTCATGAATTAAATTATTTCGTAATTCGCTCTCTCTAATACCACGCGTGCTCAGAGCATTAATAACAGCCTCGACGTCTTCGACTCTTCCATAAAAGTTCCACGTGGGACCTGATTTTTTACAATGTACCGGACAGGATTTATCCCCAGTACAAGCTCTTAAATTTTTTCTAATCTCGTTGAGTTCGAGTTTCGTTTCTTCTTTTACATTGGCATCCTTTCTTCCAGATTTTACTCCGTTCTTGTCAGCGAATGTAACTTTTTTTGGAGATTTCTTGTTTTTTTTAACACTGTTTTCTTTGTCGCAGAATTCATCCTCAAATTTATTCATTAAATAAGCGTACGCTGATTCTCCGTCCTGTAGTTCTGGATTGTACGGTGTCCCTCCAGGCAAACAATTGCCTCCCCACCTTTCATCGTCTTCAACGAACAGACCTGTACATCCAATCAAAGAAGTTGATGACAATTTAATCTTGGTTTTGCAAGACACAATATGTTTTTAATAAAAGCAAGGTTTACCTGGAATGGACAAAAATCGATAGTATCGACGATAAGCTCTGTCCGATCCTAAATACAGCATCATCTGATCATTATTAGTGGCTTCCTGTAATTCTTTGAGCTTGCTCTCGTACTCCTCTTTTCTTTTTTCCTCTTCACAATTATTCCGAGTAACTTTTTTCGGTTTCGGCTCGTCGCTATCGAGTTTACCTTCTTTTCTCAATTCTTTCATCCTGTCGCGTTCTTCCTTTTTCATTTTTTGCTCAGCTATCAGGAATGATTTTAGCTCTCTCTTTACTTGATGAACTTTCTCATGCCTTTCCTCGATGACATCGCGTATCGAAGCGAACGTCAAGAGCTGATTAATTAAGCAAATCACAACTTTCAGTCTATCGTCCATGTCAAATTCGCAGACACTCCTATGACCGAGAGCTCTCAAGATACGGGGTTCATTTATTCGGAGAAAAAGTGCAGGGTCATCGTGATTCGTGTAACCACCTGTGTAAACGATTATATTATATGAGTTGGGCAAATATTCGTTAGCTACAAAATAACAGATATAAATAGAAAGGTCACAAAGATAATTAACCTCTTTGAGAATATCGCCATTTTGAGGCAAGTTCACTTATCCGACCGCCGGAACTTAGAAGGTGTTGTCTTAGGATCTCGCTGAGAGTAGCATGATCCAAGGTGAGCTTAGACAATTGACATCCCTGATGAGTCTGACACCAAGTCGAGGCTATCGTTGCCAGTTTTACAGCTTCTGCCATTGAGGAGACTCCTTGATCTATACTCGTATCGTCGGTCAGGTTTGCACCATCCGCATGAATTTCATCTTCCTCCTCAGCTTGATATATGAAGATATTAGCGAGTAGAAGCTGGAGAAGATCACTCCATGGTCCTGAAACTTCCTTTTCCAACATCGCCTTCTCCAGCAAATCCAAGTTCAGTCCATTTGGAAAGTATGTGCCAACGTCCAATTCCTCGTGGAAGAATTGTAGGAACTCCAGGATCATTGCAAAGTCACCGAATTTTTCGTTTGGTAGATTACATTTTACGGGTGTCGGTTCCAGAAGTGGACAAAGATCTTCGCATTCGAGATCCTCCCTAGGTTTGTTCCACCCTCTTATGTACGATGCAAAGGCTGCTGACTTTGCCCTCTGCTCTCTCTTTCTCTCACGTTCCTCCAATTTTTCTTCCTGACGCTTAGCCTTCCGTTCAAGGGCTTTAGCTTTGAGCTCTTCCTTGAACTTGCCATTTAGCTTGCTAGATAGTATCAATCGTATTGTAATTGTTTCATATGCGTTATCTTTGTTTTATCTATCAATCTGATCAACCAGACTAATATAGTACTTACCTTGGTTTGCGAAATTTTTTAATAACGCCTCCAGTATCATTCACCTTTCTCAACGGGTCAGGCTTTTCGAACGCCCTGTGCTTCGCCATATTACCTGTCAGGAACTTCTCTATGGATTCTTGCTTCTGTTTTACAGGTTTTTTTATACGCGGAGTGAAGTTTGGCATAGGGCCAGCAAATATCGTGTCGAATCGCGTCTTGCTTAAACTGTACTTTTGCAAGACATTTTCCTGAAAGAGATGTACCGTGTATTTACTGGTTGTTTTTAATTGTATCAAAATCAAACTAATTAATTATGATTGTGTCTAACCTTCACGACCCATATTCCATTTGTATTTTGTTCGCAAAGCTGTCGCAGAAAGATCCTGTTACGTTCTCTGCTGAAATGTTGTTTTCTTCGCCTGATCTGTGCAGCTTCCACTATCATCAACTGGCTAACGCCCGATTCGCCACAGTCCAACTGTTCCACTTCGTAACGGAATAATCTAGCTGGTGGATGGTATTGTCTTTCTTGTGGACTTCTGTAATTTAATAATATAACCAAAAGTAAATACATGCAATTCTCGATAGAAAATTTTTTACTCTGATGGATTTACCTGCTATTTTCTTTAAAGAATGTTTTGATTTCTTGTTCTGTTGGTTCGATTACCTGAAGAACATAACATTCGCACCAGGAATCTTCAGTGAAACTGGCTTCAACCATTTCACCTACAAAATAACGATCTCGTGCAAATTGATATACATCCTCCATCATTTCGTTGAAAGAGCTTCTTGAAGTTTTAGTGGCAAGATATAAAATTGGAATCCTCAACTGGAAAAGATACAGTTTCCTAATCAGATACTGGTTGCAAATACATAGGTTAACTATAAGAGTCCAAAAATGTCACTGTTTGAGTATAGATTTATTTCCATGTACCATTGCTTAATGTATAACATGGAATTCAATCAGATTTGATTTCTCTATATATCAATATCTATAATACAAGCTTGTCCAAAAGTAAAAAGTTTCTTTTACCTCCATTGGAAAATCCTTAAGACTTTTCTTTGCATTTTCTTCACATTGTAAAGCTTCTTCATAGGTCAAATTCGATCGACCTGTGATGCTGCAGGACCATACCAAAGAGTTACACAAAATAATCCTCTCACAGTATTCACTGAAAAATTAAAAAAATATATTTAATCAGGCATACTTTATATAAATTGCAATATATCATTATCCATATGTAATATAATAAATCCATAAATGAAATATAACAATAAGAAAAGGATATGGAAAGATTTGGTTTAAAGATTGTAAGATAACAAAAGTTAACAACATTATAACTACACGCGATTTAACAATAATTTCAAAGGTGACAACTGTCATTCTAATCCATAAAAGTGTCGCATATTGCTTCCCTGCAAAGCCCAGCGTCGTTCCTAGAGTTACGAATCTAAAAAATGCTCCTGGCAAATCCTAAAGCATGAAAAAGAGTTGCTGTCAAGATATTAATGAATTCCAATAATTCAATATCGCGACGAGCATGAAACATTGAAAAGCTAATAGGAAGACGTAAGAGTGAACGAGAGAATGAGGTTACAGGATGCGTATTTGCGCAAGGAAGGCTGTCAAAAGGCTTACTTGTAGTCCTTGAAGATCTCATTGGTAACCTCGCAGTGGAAGACTTCATCGTCATCCTTAAAGTCCGAAGATACATGTAAACGTTGAAAGGGTTTCTTACGTAGAAGCGGCATGGTCACAGGTAACTCCGCCAAACGTTACGCGTCGCGCGTTTTAACGCGTTTGTCTCTGCCGAGAAATCAATCCCACGAGAGGAGAGAACTACGTTCTTTCCGGGAGAGACCACGACACTCGGCGAAAGAAATGTGCCACTCGAGTTGCCTGCTAAGACAAAAATCTATTCGTTGTCGTCGCGTCGCACAGACTGACGTCTTTTGGCCGTAGCTCGGACGCGCGTCAATCCACGATAGACATAACAATTTAAAGAATCTTCAACGAGAATTCACGGACTCATGACAAAGCGGGATTTTAACAGAGCCCGTGGAAGCGCGCACTCACCTTGCAGGCTTGCAACCGGAAACTGGTCAAGAAAAGTTAGCTACCAACTTTTAAGATAACACACCGATTCTCGACTGTTTTAAACGTTTTCATATTATTCTATACATAATTCTTACGCGGGTTTAGTTGGTGCGAATTTTCTTTGCTAACCTTTTCACTTAATCCTCCTATGGAAACTGTATGGATTTTCGCAGGAAAATTGATGTATTCCGTTGCGGCCAAAGACGCAATGTCGTTGGAATAACTTCTGTGGTTGGCAATGATCTTGCAACTGTTCTATAGTGGGATTGTTTGGCGGGAGTAGCACTGGGTAATATTTCGTAACTTCGACTTACGGTCATATCTGATTGGAAATTTCTAGCGCGAGTTGACCGGAATTAAAATGGCGAAGTATATGACGATAATTATCAAAATAACAGAAACTTGATTTTCTAGATCGTATCGAGAAACCTTATTGATTTATTAAACGAAAATTTCTTAGATGTATAAGTCGCTTAGGGAAATAATCATTATCGAAGGATGTTACGTTTGCTGTTGACGATGCGATCTTATCGGATTGATACGTAACACGTTATCTTGTATTGAAATCAGATTTTCTTTAAAATTCGAAGAACAATCCAATCATGGTAAATGATGTGTTGACAAGTTTTTTTCGATTGGAAAATGCTTGGAAGTGTTTCCGATTGTGGTCATTCTTTCCGGGAAATATTCCCACGTGTGTAGGGAAACGGTCAGTGATGTGCAGTTCTACCAACTGAATATATGCATATTTTAAATTACATTTCAGATAAGATTATGTACTTTTTATTTTTTTAATTTCCTACTGTCACCTGCCTGAAGACAGGTGTATTAGAGGAGTGATGTGAATTGGTGTAAAGACACTTTATAACAGATCAATAAAGTTATAAAGAAAAAAAATATATTTTCTTTTGCGGATATCCCTATTGGAGGTCATAGTGCATTTTTACAAATATAACAGTAAGCGGATAACTAAAAATAAATATAAGCTTGAGAGATGATTTGATTGAAGAATTCTTAATGGCACTTGGTAATAGCTTGAATATCAATACTATTAACAAAATGACAAAAAGAATTAAAATACACATTATGCTAGCCATTCTGTGATGTATTGGCAATTTATTGGGCTGACATCCCCAAAGTCGGAGCAATTTTTTCTTACCTGTAAATTGACGAACAAAAATATATTTCACAGGTATTTTAAGATGAGTGAAGAAATGAGTGAGAAAGATTGTGAGAAAAAGTATATATACTTACAGGGCAGACACCACAAGGAGCTTTAATCAAACCTGGTGGCTCCAATAAAGGTTCGACTGCCCTGTACAAATAAGTTCCATCGTTTGACAGTGTTTTTTCCACTTTACCATCATAAATCAATGTATTGAGTATCATTTCTAAATCATCAACTGACAATTTCACCTAAACAGTTATAATATGTTTCATTAGGTTGCACAATACTTCAATTACGAACAATCGCATACCTTACTAATTCCTAGATCCGAAATAAATTTCCAGACTTCTCTTGATGTTGCGAATGTTATATTCCTTGCAGCTATAGGCCCACCTCTGCAATCTTTTGTCTCCTTCCTTTTTTGTTCCAAAAATCGATAACACTGCTGATTAAGGACATCAACAAATTCAGCCTCAAAATCTTGATCTTGATACCAAGCACCACCAGTAACTGATCTATCTGGCTCCAAGTTGTAAAGCATGTAAACTTTTTTCTTGCTAGCTGCCACGGACTTTACGGCTTTAATAAATTTTTTTGTTTCCAAACTCTTCAGAATCTTATTCAATTGAGTTGGCATTAGATTAGATTTGAACCTGATATCTCTTATCCATATTCCCTTGTTACCAGCTTCTTCAATAATAGTGTACACAATTTTCTCTTCGTTATCTGCACCTTTGGCAGTTTTAACTTTATTAGGATCTTTAAGACGGTACAACAATATTTTGTCCTGCTTATAAAGATCCAACAATCCTTGCGACAAGAGTTTGTTTATAACCAAAGCTCTTTGCACTGGTTGTACATCTGGCATTTCTGATAAAATGTCTTTGTCAGAGATACCCTTTGTTTTGGTATGTGCTAATGCAATTATTCTAGAAATATAAATCATAATACATTTAATTAAAAAATTTTACGCCTGATGAAGATATAGATTATATTTGTGCTATCTGTCATAACTGTTTATTGTTTAAGAATGCATAAATTAACAACTATATATTTCATCATATGATAGCACATGTGTATGACGATGGATATTCCTAACCTAATGTGTATTTATTGAATATTGGTAAAAGAAAAATCATACTTTTGTTCTATTATTTCAGGTGAATCTTCTGTGGACGCGTTTACATTATGTTCTTCTGATGGACCAGGATCTATTTCCATTTTTATCAGGATTCCGTTTCGGTAGGACAACCAAATTACACGTTGATTTATTAACACTACACTGTTCCCTTATGCTAGTAGGTTAACTTCTTATTTTGATATGAATTTTTTCCATCTCTTCCTTTTATCTCTAGATTCTGCTTGATAAGAAAAATTTCAGTGTGAATAATGGACGATCAAAAAAACACAGAAGACGTACTCGAGCTAGCCTCGAAAACGTGGAACCGGCTCACAAATGCTGCTGTCAAGGTAGCAACGAATATATTGTTGAGAATGTGTGATATAGTTTTCCCTGAATGTAATCTAATAAGGAGTGATGATTAATATGTATTATTTAGGCCGGATTCAGAGAAGGTATCGAGGATGGAAGACAGTCTGTTTTCCAAGAAGGTTTTGACAAAGGATACAAAGAAGCATTTAAAACTGCCTTTGAATTAGGAAGATATAAAGGACTTGCTGCTGGCTTACCGAAGGATCATAATCATCCTCTGGAAATATCATCTATTCTTGATAAGACAAGAAGAGGTGAATGTTATATTTGCTTAAAAAATACAAGGACCAAAAAATCAAATGAAACTTTTGATGAAAAATCAATTGATGATATCATTGAAGATCAGAGAAAGCATTCCACGATAGTTCTTGATCGTTTACATGAATATTTTGAACTACTTATGAAGGATTGTAATGTTGATATAAGTGAAACAAAATTATAATATTAGCTAATGCTAACAATCAACAATATATTAAGAATATGAGAGAGATGGAAAAAGAAGATCCTAATTAAGGTATGCAATGACACTATAACAAGAGATGTTTTTTGAGTATAATTTTATTCATTTAGCAATTTACTTCCACAATTTAATTAGAAATAAAGAATAGAAACATGTTTAAGTTTACAAGTACAATCCTTCAGGTGAACCTTCCTTCTTTCTATAGAGAACACTCTCCTTTGACTTCTTGAAATCTTCACTGGTTACCTTCATACGACGTTCACGCAGCGCCATGAGTCCGGCTTCAGTACAAATTGCCTGCAAAAAGAGAACGAATTTTTAATACAAAAAATACATGCATTCTCTCCTAACAGCTAACTTACTTTAATGTCAGCGCCAGAGAGATCGTCTTTGGCCATGATCAGTTCAGCCAGGTTGACATCAGGTGCCAATGTCATCCTGCTTGTATGAATACTGAAGATCCTCCTCTTCGTCTTCTCATCTGGTAAAGGAAATTCTATCTTCCTGTCGATACGTCCTGGTCGAATCAAAGCAGGATCCAAAGTTTCGATTCGGTTAGTAGCCATAACTACTTTAACATCTCCTCGACTGTCGAAACCATCCAACTGGTTAAGCAACTCCAACATGGTACGTTGAATTTCTCGTTCTCCGCCACTGTTACTATCGTATCGTTTTGTTCCTACTGCATCGATTTCATCAATAAAAACAATTGATGGTGCATGTTCCTCAGCGACTCTGAACAACTCCCTGACGAGTTTCGGTCCATCACCCAAGTATTTTTGGATGAGCTCAGAGCCGACGACTCTGAGAAAGGTTGCTGATGTTTGATTAGCCACAGCTTTCGCTAAGAGAGTTTTTCCAGTACCCGGTGGTCCATAAAGTATCACACCCTTTGGTGGTTTGATGCCCATTTCTTCATAATATTCAGGGTGTGTCAGAGGCAGCTCTACAGATTCCTTGATCTCTTGAATTTGAGTATCAAGACCTAGAATAAAATTAAAAAACATTGGTATTTTTGAAAGTTATAAAACAAAGGATGATATCAATTGCTGCTGACTGTACCTCCAATATCGGCGTAAGTCTCCTGTGGAGCTTTTTCTAGCTTCATAACAGTGACCATGGGATCTGTATCATCTCCCAGAACACCTACAACTGCATGGACTTTATGGTTCAATAGAACGGAACAACCAGGTTCTAGCTGGTCCTTGTCAACAAAGGAGAGAATCGAGACATAGTGCTCCGATCCAACGGAGGTAGATACTATGGCATGGTTGTCATCTATTATCTCTTCCAATGTGCCAACAGACATGGGTGTTCCCCGGAGATCATCTACCTTAGATCTTTCTTCCTCATTCTTTTCTTCCTGGGGCTTTAACCTTTCCTGATTTCTAATAAACTCCTCTTCCATAAGTAGATAGTCCTTAATACGCTCCAGTTTCAATAACTTAAGCCTGCAGCGTGTGTGAGGAGTCACTTGAGGCAGTTTTAAAGCAGCATCTGGTCCCTTTGTACGTCTTTTCTTTTTGCCTACTCTAGTAGGAATTGGAGGTTCATACTTCTTCTTCTTGTCCTTATCATCCTTCTTGTCTCCACCCGTACCACCAGCTCCTGACTGATTCTGACCCTAAATGTGGAACACAAAAGAATTTGATACACCAAACAGCATTGCAAATTACTTTGTAATTAAATAACTTATTTATACATTTTCATAGTATTTTTTTTTATATACACAAATTAAAGTGAATATACTTGTTACTTTATCACACCAACATATAACAAAGAGCTCCTGAATTTATAGAGCAATCTAAAGATAACCTATTGTGTGACAGATTATGAAAAGATATACAGATTGAATATAGTATCAATAAGAAAATAGATAAATTAAAAGTATTAGCAAACAATACGTCAATTGATCAAAATTCTGAATTATATTTCACTGTTTTTATGTCTCTTACCATCTCAATTTAATATTTGACAATTCCGTGAAACCACAAAGTCATTCACTAGATTCAGCCATGTTGTTTCCGTACCGCATGTCGACAGCGAGCGCCATCATAGCCCACTCCATCTTACTAATAATACAATTCGAAATTCGATTTATCTCGTTCAATCTGAGATAAAAAACACTATTTGTAAAAAGACTATAAAGAAATAATAAAAAAAAAACAATTCTACAATTAAATAATATACAAATCCCCGCGAGGAGAATCATAAGGATACAATTGCTTGCGTAAGATGGAATAAATTAAGTCATTGTACCCGTTCTCATTTCCAATTTAGTGCATTTGTGAAAACAATGTAATTCATTACTGTTTTAATATCTGATAATACAATGTGTTAAATATCGATAAGGTTCGTAGTTATATGGTGCATTAGAAAGGCATTAGGAAGTTGAATTGCATCATCGAGCTTTCCATCCAATTGTTCTCTCCTTATAGAGATGAAAATTTACTTCTATTAAAAAAATTAGTTACTTTAATCATAATTAGCGAATACTCTGATTCATAAAGAAGATGTTCCCTTGAGGGAAGAGGGAAGACCCTTGTTCAATTTTTCGTTCTTGAAGTCAGTCGAGGCAACAACATTAAATACTTTAATTTTCTCCCTTAAAAATTTAGACTAATTCTGTTCAAGTTCGTGAAAGATTAGGACATTAAATTATTTGCTCAATATTTTCATATCCGATTACCGTTCCTTGCATCTCCAGAGCAATGTAAACGAACATGGGCAATGAGCTGCCGAGAATTATCATTTTATTTACAATACAATTAATGAACCAGCAACAGAATAAAAAGGATGAAATTCGCAATATTTAGTGCGAATATCGTTATTTCATCGTGGCCGATAACCGGAATTTGAAAAATGCAAAAATTAGATAAATATTAGGGCCACTCTTACCCGAGCACTCATTGCGATTGACAAATAACGCAATATACTGACAATATGTATGATGTGGTGTAATTTTATTGTTACTTTAAGGTACAACTAATTGCGATAATTATCGGCTTCTAGCTTAGATCAATATTCGCTTCCCCGGGACGTCCTTGGTAAAAACGTCGCGGCCAACCTTCAATAAATAGAAACTATTGCGAAATTTCATTTACTACAAATACTCCTCGTACGACTTTCTTACGTCGGTTCAAGATTTAATCGCGACTAAACTTATTTCAAATTATATTCCGATCAGGAGTCACGATTTTGAGAATTTTTTTCCTCTGAAGGAACGCGTGGACTTCTTGTTGTTGATAATCGTCAGACATGTGACAGACTCGCGTTGTTTCTCCAATTAACACAATGTTAACAATGGTGACTTACAATAGTCATTTTCTCAATTTCGTCAGGATATCATTCACGGGGCTGTACTGATTTCATGAGGAATTCGATACGACCATCGCTGGATGAACGCTTAACGTCATTACATCTTCGACATATCCTCCGTCTAGGTTGATTACAGAGTACAACTTTCTTACATTATTTACAAGCGTTCATAGTCGATAGCGGATTTTCATGTGCAGCGATGTTGAACTAATAGAACACCCTCAATATATCGGACCTCGTTTAATGACCAGCGAGTAGCGTACTTAGAAAATTTTTCAATTTAGTAATAATTTTCAGCTGGATTTTATTCGACGATGTAATCTCATTAAAAAAAAAATAACGAGCGGATTCGAGATCCCACAAAAGGATTTTAAGAGCAATATGCAGTTAAACATCCGAATAATGTGAGGAACAATATATTTGTTTAAAAAAAAAGGATAAAAATGAATCTAAAACTTGTCCACTTGTGAGAACGTCCGTGACTATTTTTGTTTAAGTAACTGCGGACGTTGTGATTCGAGAAGACAAGAAAAAACATCTGAAGAAACGTAACGATGCACAGTGGATGAGTTTGATACGCGACACACTCGGTGAACGTAATATAATACAAGATATCGTACAAAAGTCACGGAGGATAATGGGAGGCGTGTTTTCGTAATGATGCGATAAGGTCGTTCGCGGTGCTTAAAGCCCGGCTAAAATAACTCTAGGATCCTCGACGGCTTCCTTAATTTTGCGTAGGAACATCACGGCCTCACGGCCGTCGATTAATCTATGATCGTAAGTCAGGGCTACGTACATCATTGGGCGGATCACAACCTAGAACATACACATTGAGTAGTTCATCTTCTGCAATATCAAGGAATGCTGCCAAGACGAACGATTTTAAAGTATTCTTACCTGGCCCTTGACTGCTATTGGTCTGTCGAAGACTCCGTGCATACCAAGGATGGCACTTTGAGGTGGATTTATGATGGGTGTGCCGAAGAGAGAGCCAAAGACTCCGCCGTTGCTAATGGTGAAAGTTCCGCCGTCCATGTCCTCGACAGAGATCTTACCTTTCCTGGCTTTATCGCCCATGGCAGCCAAGGCGATTTCGATCTCGGCATAATTTTTGTTCTCCACGCTACGGAGTACAGGTACCACGAGACCTTTTGGAGTAGCCACCGCGACACTAACGTCCACATAATCCCTGTAGACTATGTCACCTCCGTCGATGACTGCGTTGACGACCGGCTGGTCCTTGAGGGCGTAGGCACTTGCTGCGATGAATGGACTCATGAAACCTAACTTCAATCCATACTTCTTCGTGAAGGCTTCCTGGTTCGTTTTGCGGAATTCTATGATACGGCTGTAGACGTGACTCGGTTAAGTAGCCTGAATATTATATAATTAGAATTCTTAATGTAAATTATAGATTAATTTACCTCATGTCGATTTCATTGAAAGTCGTGAGCATCGCGTTTGTGTTCTGAGCCTCCTTAAGTCTTTCGGCGATGCGCAAACGCATTCTGTTCATTTTAACTCGTTGTTCCGTCCTAGTACCAATGATTTCACGAGAGTAATCTTGTGGGGGCAACTGAACCTTCGCGCTTTCTAAGGACTGAAAAAATTCCAGAGATCAGTTACTGTTTACGAAGCAAAATTATTCGAGAGATTTTTCATTGAAGAGGACGAAGCTTTACCTGCGCGTGTTTAATGGCAGCAACCGGCATAGAGGTCACAGGTGCTTGTGGAGCTGGTGGACGAGAAGCTGGTGGTGGAGGTGGTGGTGGTGGTGGAGGTGGAGGTGGAGGACGCGCTGCGGTTGCAGGTTTTGCTGAGGGAGATGGAGGTGGAGGTGGTGTTGGCTTTGGTGCAGCAGCTGTAGGAGCTTCTGCTTTGGCAGCTGGTGCAGCACCACCACTTGCGCCGATGTCGATAGTACATAGCTTTTGACCTGGTTTCACAGTGTCACCATCCTTAGCAAAGAGTTCCTTGATTACTCCAGTGCCAGGAGATGGGACAGGTACAGATGTCTGTTAAAATATTGTAAGTGTTTAATGAACATTTAACAATTTATACTTTGCATAGATGGGGAAGATGTATGCAGTATGGTTTACTTTGTCAGTTTCAATTTCACAAAGAACGTCATCTTCTTTGACTTGGTCCCCGACTTTCTTCTCCCACCTGACATCTCCTTCGCTCACACTTTCAGCAAATGGAGGTACTACTACTTCTCGGATCTCCCCTATGAATTCAATAATTCAACAGACTACTTATTATATCTGTATGCAGAATAGTTTATGTTCACCATGTAACTAAAGGATTATGACTTACATAGTGACGGAGTAGCGCGAATCTGCCTTGTTTGGATTTTCCAGCAATGAGCCACATTATGTTTGACATGTCTAAACATCGAGAAAATATGCTATCGATAAGTCAGTCAATTATCAATTGTGTCAAACAGTTATCTCACATTAGTAAAAACTAAAATTGACTAGAGTGAAAGGCCTTGGGTCATATTACAACATTATTTGAAGAAGCATTTACCCTTGTTTATCTTTCAACTTACAAAGGAGTTGCTTTCTCCACTACACTTTTGGTTTGAAGCAGCAAGACACGTCCTGCAAAAATTTAGAATAGTAAAAGTACATTGCTTTCTGTACATTATACCATCATCATACCTTCACGATGCAAAGACCTCACGATCTGTAAAATATAAAAAAATAGACAAAATATATTACTACTACAACATTAAATAATTCGACTTCTACAATACTACTAAAAAGGTTCATAAATTAGGTATTCATATTCATTTGCCAGTATAATGATTAGAGTCATTCTATTACAAAGAGTATGCCAGCATAGTGACCCAATTTTACATAGTAGACCAACCCAGCGAATCTTTCTAATGACATAACAAATCGGCCGAAAGAAAACGAATCCGAAAGGAGCACGGTCACTTTATCAAGACCAAAATAAGTATCTCCCATCGAGAAATAAGATATTAAGTAATTCTAAGAGTAAGGTGGGGAGATTGCCGCATTTACCCGAGAGACAGAGCATCGATGCAGGCTTGCTCAAAACTCAATATTATTAACTGACAGTGCAGGTAGACGCGAAGCTATATGCGAAAATATATCGCAACGATTATATAACGTGAGGGGGGAGATACATCTTGAGTTTGATACTTCGCGAATATCTTACACCAGCAGACATTTCAACCGGAACCGCTCTGATGTCTGGCCAGAAAAATTTCTTAAACGACCAGAAGTTTATTAAACAAAATTTTATAAGAAACTTACCCTTGTTTGAGAGACAGTTAAACGTGAAAGGGTCCGCGGTACAATCCGCGAACAGTTGGACAGCATTGCGGCCATCCTCGGGCAGAAAAACGTACTCGGTGCCCGTTCTCGTGACGGTAGACAGGCACAGGGCCGTTCGGAAGATGGTGGGGTTGTTAAAATGATCACAGGGCGATTCAAAGCCTATGAGGTAAAGCCAAGTTCAGCAAGGTAGCAATTCGAAATATTTTCCAAGTTCTACCGGTAGATGGTGACTCTTCTGAGTGTCGGTAAAATACGTATGTGGAAAATTTAGACTAATTGCGAACAATATTAAATCCATGTAATAAAATTGTTCCCTTCCTTCCTTTCCTTATGGCTGACTCCTCATAAAATTGTTCCAATGGTTTTGAAATGAATTTAAAAATTCTTTCGGAATGACAAACCAAGCAAACTTTAGTTACATCTGTGACAATGAAATGAAGAATAATTTGATATAGATCAACAAGGGATACTTAATTATTAATTAAGGGATAATTAATTGTTCCCCACGATATATTCATGAAATTGAATATTTGTTTAGCTGATAATAAGAGATAAGAATTCTACATGTGCCTTAGTTTATATGAAACGTCAAACCACTGTCGAAAAATGTCAATAAAATTCTCTGTGTAATGCCCACCTGTCTCTACAAATTCGTCTCTGAAAGTTACTTTATAACGCGAAGAATCAATTAATTCAGAATTGCGTAATGGAGAAGATGGTGAGGTTATTAAAATGATCACAGGGCGAACCAGAGCCTATGAAGTAAAGTCGAGTTCAGCAAGGTTGCAATTCGAAGTATTTTCGAAGTTCTGCCGGTAGATGGTGACACTTCTGAGAGTCGGTAAAATGCGCATGTGCAAAATTTAGACTAATTACGAACAATATTAAATTTATGTAATAAAATTGTTCTAATGGTTCTGAAATAAATTTAAAAATTCTTTCGTAATAACAACCCAAGCAAACGTTAGTTACATCTGTGAAAATTAAATGAAGAATAATTGTAAAAATTCTCGACGAGATATTCATGAAAATGACTATTTGTTTAGCTGGCAATAAGAGATAAGAATTCGACATATGCCTTAGATTATATGAAACGTCAAACCATGGTAAAAAAATGTCAACATTCTCTGTGTGACGCCCACCTCTCTCTACAAATTTGTCTCTGAAAGTTACTTTATAATACAAAGAAACAATTAACTCAGAATTGCGTAATGGAGAAGTCTCTAATTTGTAATTTTCCAGAATACCTCTGAAGTCACATTCTTAATTTACGCACTTCTCCGTTCAAAAACACCTCGTACCTACTTACTCAATGTGCTTTGAACATTATATTCTCATGACAAATAAAAAAATGTGTTTTTAGTATGTACACTTCATGCCAGAAATTAGTTTTTTGAAAACAAACAGTTTATCCTTAGTTGGCCTGATCCATATAACTTGCTATGGCAAATAGATAACTGTATAAAATGAGTTTAAGTACTAGGCAATATAAGGACCGAAGCATCAGTTGGCGCGCGACGCAGAGCCAGAAAGATGGCAGATCCGGGGATCAGAGTGTTTAGTCGTGCGCTTCTCTTTGCGGTGCTTTTCCTTCATGTATTTTCAAATCCTGTTAATATACCGTTGCAGAGTGTCTCTGATCTCTTAATACAAAGTGCTCTAAATTCTCTGAATGAAGATTCCCCTACCCGACACACGTACAAGGGTGGTAACCTCATTAGTGCGCAGAAATTGGTAATGTTTCCTTTATTATTTTTTTTCTTGTTTCTGTCATCTGTATATGTTTGGATTAAAAATATCTTTCTTCTTTACTGACTTCTGATCTCGTAGAACGCTATGAGATACAAAGTAATAATTTTGTTTTTACGAATTTGATATTTTAGCATTCTTATATTTTAATATCCCATTAGCTATTTTCTTTGATGATTTTCATATAACTTTGGGTATATTTGTATCGATATTTGCATAGTTGCATTGATTGATTTCGACTGCTGACAAAAAACAATCGATGTCATTGGCTGAAATTTAATAACCACAACTGTGGTCCAATTACGGAATATGCCCTTTGATACGTGACAGTGCCATGTTGCGAATTGACATAAATTAATGACATGACAGATGACGAAATTGGTGACATGGTATTTCTTTTGTCTTTCGATCTCGACTACTATCATTGATGAATAACTTTTATCTCCTTTGTTCTATTTATTAATTATGGAGCAAAACTCATTTCATTACTTATTTTGTTTGTTTTTACATTTACGTAGTATGATAATGTCAAATAATTTGTATAAACTGTGTGAGAAGTTATATATTTTTTAATTGGTATTTTACTATGATAATGTATATGTCAGTTTAGATTTATCTCACTTTACAATGATTATTGCACTGGGAAGTTGCGCAGTAAAATGATTTCCATTCTAGTTATGTATGTCATTGCCACATATTTTAACACGTAGGGATATATCTATCTTCTTTTGCAGTATACATATATTGTTACTGATTTGAAATATATACTCATATAGTATTAAAGATAAATTGCAGAGTTTCAACAATATATTGATATATTTATCTAGAAATAGTTTGTGTTTTTCACAGTCAATCTTGAATTACCATGAGAAGTTATGATATAAAAAAATTTGCTCGTATAACTCTGTGTCAATAAGTTATCATTTATAAAATAACACCGAATAATATTCACAAGATACAATGTATATGTTTCAATTAATATGTCGCATGTTTTGCATTTGAGAATGCTGAAAGATATGATTTCACATTATTTTTTGCAGTTAGAGCCGCCATATGTCATCTACAGGCTGACCTTAAATCTTGAACCAGAATGCGATGGAGACTCATCCTCCTGTCCTAGAGAAGCTTGCGCCATTAATCTGAAACAACACGAGCTTGGTGTAATAGAAGTTCAACAAAGCTCGATACAATGTATGTACTTGTATCCTCAAGTACAAGAGGACGAAGTCAACAGAGTACAACAGATGCAACAGGAAAGTTCCCTGGATATGAATCTACAGGATCAAGATGTCATCGAGAGTTTGGATAAACAGATTCTGAATCAGAGCGTAGAATTGGATCATGAGGTCCAAACTGCTGCTGATCAAAATGATGAACCATTTATAGCTGTACGAGCATCCAATCTGAAATACTGTCCAGGATGCCCGTACGAACTAAATCCTACTTTACCTGGACTCTCTGCCTTTGCAGAACAAGCGGTACAATCAATGGACGAAGCAGGTCAGACAGATTACAAACATAAACTGGTGAGCATCGTTAGAGTAACACGTGCTGTACCACCAGGTTCTAACGTAGTACAATATAACCTCTTGTTAGAGATTGGAGAATCTAACTGTTTGAACAGTACTCCAATCGACAGATCTGAATGTTCATTGCAGTCCAATATACCTATCAAGTTGTGTCAAGTAACCTTTGAGGAACGACCTTGGCAGGAAAATAGTCGTCAGATAACAAAGAACAATTGCACAGAGGGTCAAGGAGTAGAAAATGAGCTAAGCTCGAGCATAAGTCCAAATATAGCTGCAGATTCTCTCGTTTCGTCTAGACTGAACAATCAACAATCTGTGCAGGATGTTCTTGTTAAAACGAGCAATTATGACCAGCTCACTCAGGAAACAAAGACCGCTACTTACGGAAGTCTAATAGATGAACTCTTTGGGAATCCTGTAAACACCACCGTTGTTGAAATCACGACCGAACAAACAGGTACTCTAGTAACGGAGGAAACTCTCACGAAAATAGTATTAAATAATGATAATAAGAAAGAAGAAGCAGTGTTTTTTAATGATAAATTCAAAGAATTTGATGAGTTTTTGGAAGACTTCAATGTGTCCGTTAATACAGAAGTATCAACCCTATCAAGCACTGGAGTGCCAGTCACGGAAGAAGTTATTGTGGCTGTAAAAGTGAACGAAGAGAATATTCCAACTAAAGCCAGTTCCAAAGACAACAAGCAAACTCAAGTAACAAATTTGAACACCTATGAACTTAATAATTCCCATTCCGAATCAAACTCTAGTGAAGAAGTCCAAACCTCAGGAATAGTACAAGTAAAAGATAGTTCAGAGGAGTCTCATGAGTCTGCTGAAAGCAAAGAATTACCAGTTGCATTAAACAGGAAGAAAAGAGCTCTGTCGAGCAAGTTGCCTCAATCTGAAATTAACTTCATAAATGAATTAGCTAAGAAGGCTGTGGATATCCTAGATGATATTGATACTGACAGTGACAAGAGAATCATCGTGGCTGTGGAAAATGCAACGACAATTTATTCTCATGGTATAATTTACCGTATCACTATGTTAATAGCGAGCACAAGTTGCGACGAGAACTCAAGACACGAACTTAATTGCAACAATAAAATTATACCGCCGAGAAAACGATGTAAAATAGAAGTACATCTCGACGGAAAGAGGTTGTTGCATACTGCTAAGGTTGCAAAATCTTCCTGTTGTGATTTACCGGAGGAAGTGAATAATCATGTAACCCGTAGAAGACGAGGAATATCCGGTGGAGTGAATGCCATAAGCGTAAGCGATCCTGAGGTACTGAAATATGCTAGCATGGGACTTGAGACATTCTCAGCTAATTTCGAAGGCCCAAACGAGCCGATTCTCGTGGAGATCCAGGAAGCCAGTGTACAGGTAGTCGCTGGGAATCTGTACAAGATAAAGGTCAAGCTGGGTACTAGTAACTGTCCAAAGGGTACCAAGAACAATTGTGCATTAAAACCAGATTCTGAAACTAAAATCTGTCTAATAAAAGTGTGGTCCCAGCCCTGGTTAGACGAAGGATCTCCTGATGTAAAAGTCAATTGCGATCAGACGAGGAAAAAACGAGAAATACCCGGTGGAGTGAATTCCATAAGCGTAAGCGATCCTGAGGTAGTGAAATATGCTAGCATGGGACTTCAGAAATTCTCAGCTAATTCTGAGGGTCCAAACGAGCCGATTCTCGTGGAGATCCAGGAAGCCAGTGTACAGGTAGTCGCTGGGAATCTGTACAAGATAAAGGTCAAGTTGGGTACTAGTAACTGTCCAAAGGGTACCAAGAACAATTGTGCATTAAAACCAGATTCTGAAACTAAAATCTGTCTAATAAAAGTGTGGTCCCAGCCCTGGTTAGACAAAGGATCTCCTGATGTAAAAGTCAATTGTAATCAGACACCCAGAAGAAAGAGGTCACTGCGTGGTGTGAATTACTCTTTAAAAATGATGAATCAAGCAAAATATTTTAAGTATGAAAAAATGTTTCAACAATTCACACAAGATTTTAATAAGACATATTCTTCTTCAAAGGAGAGAAAGAACCGCTTCGAGATCTTTAAGAAAAATTTGAATGTCATTGAGGAACTACAGAAAAACGAACAAGGTACTGCTAAGTACGGAATAACAATGTTTGCAGATTTAAGTACAAAAGAATTCAGGAAGAAATATTTAGGCCTCAGACCGGATTTAAAATTGGAAAATCACATACCAATGCCAATGGCTGAGATACCAGATAATATAGAATTACCAACTGAATTCGACTGGAGAGATCGCCATGTGGTGACAGAGGTTAAGGATCAAGGACAGTGCGGATCATGCTGGGCATTTTCTGTCACTGGTAACATTGAAAGCTTGTATGCAATTAAGTACAAAAAGCTTTTATCCCTCTCCGAACAAGAACTGGTAGATTGCGATACCTTGGACCAAGGCTGCGGCGGTGGTCTCCCAGACAATGCCTACAGAGCAATAGAGAATCTTGGTGGTCTGGAATTAGAAAAAGATTATCCATACGAAGCTGAGAATGAAAAATGCCACTTTAATAAAAGCAAAGCCAAAGTGGTAATTACATCCGCTGTAAATATCACCTCGAATGAAACTCTGATGGCTAAATGGTTAGTGTCGAATGGACCAATTTCAATTGGGATAAATGCAAATGCTATGCAATTCTATATGGGAGGAGTATCTCATCCCTACAAATTCTTATGCAGTCCGGATAACCTAGATCATGGTGTTCTGATCGTTGGCTACGGTATACACAGTGAGTATAGATTCTTTTATTTTGTAGAAAAATTCGTTTACACAATTTACTGTACGATGCAAATTGTCCATCATGTAAGTCCATTGTAACACAGATTTTATTTACCTTGCAGCATATCCGCTGTTCAACAAGAAATTACCATACTGGACGATAAAGAATAGCTGGGGCCCGAGGTGGGGTGAACAAGGTTACTACAGGGTCTATCGTGGAGACGGAACCTGTGGCGTTAACCAAATGGCTTCGAGTGCCATAGTTGCTTAAACTTCTATTTAATGCTAAATACTAAACTAATATATTCCCAGAAATAACGAATAACCTATTAAAATTTCTAGAACGTTTGGTCTAACTTATATGAAAGCATTGATACTGTCTAACTGCACTTACAAATTGCAGTGATCCATCGGAACAATGGATTGCTTGTTTAGAAGCTACAGTATGTGTGTGTATATATATATATACACATATATATATGACTTATAGTGATACAAACTATATGACAATTGCTTTCTAAAAGCTTCTCGATGATCATTCTACGTGGATTTTTAGAAGTTCGACCTCGTTCGTGTTCTCACTTACGATATTAGAAAAATAGGGTAAAATATTATTGTAATATTATATATACTTTTATACGTATATCGTGCCAAGTTTTAATAATCGTTGAACTTCTTAAGCTTGTTTAAAAAAAAAGTTACTGACAATTTGATCTTTATGTTACATATTTAAGAGATACTGACACAACAAAGGATCTATTAGCAGTAAAAGAAAATTAAGCGCTATGATATTGGGGGATCGTCATCACAACGAACCAACCTAAAACTAGAGTTTTCAAGGTTTACTTAATTCTCTGTGAAAAGCACAAAACTGATAAAGACGACAGCGTTTTATTTAAGATACTTCATAAAACAATGAATTATTACGCATTTCGTATTTTAAATAACTGTAAGACAGTTAACACCAACATGGCTGATCATGATAGGTCTGTTCAGTATCTAAAATTGTGATATTTTTTCATTAATTAATAAAGATTAATAATTATTATTAACGCAAAACTAATTGCCAAATGTATGTCCCACGGACTTTGCTATCCCTACAATTCATTGTAGAGTTCCTAATATGAAAGTTCAGATTGGCTGCAGTGTATATTAAATTTTTTTCTTCAATATAAACAATACATTTATTCACACATGCAGTGATAGTGGTAAAAGAAATTCAATTAATTTCATTTCTCTTACGTTTTCAACGTTTCCATTTACGCATCTCCGAGTTCATTTCACACTTTAGTTCGCTATCCATTCCATAAGACATATATTAGATGCACGAAAATTCAAAGACGTAAATACAAGTGATTTTCAATAAGGACGAAGGAAATTGAACATTTCTAAGTATTATTCGTTCATTTTTCATTAAATCATTCCAATCCGAGTGAAATAAAGTCATCAGGTATTGAGAAGATGTATTATTCGAGTCTGGAAAAGATTTATTAGAAGATCGGTCACACCTTACATCTACGAGAAAACTATACAAACAACCTATGATTACTTCATCGATCTCTTCCCTCTACAATTCTAATTAATCAAAATAATGGTTTTCAAGGAATCAATCATTCTCGTATTTATCTCTTCACTAGACTTCCATCAGTTGTTATAGTCAATAGTTGTCACATTCAATTCCAATTATCAACATTTTTCTCCTCAAATTTTAAGACTGCAAACATCCTAAATTAATGACAATCATACCGAAGCATGTTTTCAACGGATAGATAAAAGATCAATAATTAATTTATTTCGTTTTTGTTTCCTTAGTTTCTCTCTTTTTTTTTTAATTCAATCGAAGATCACTTGAATTCGATTCTTATCATTTTCATGCTTTTGACTTTACATAGTCCAAGAATAAGGAACGTGTATTTGCCATTTTTCAGTTCGAGCAGCGACGCAAGACAAATATTCTGTAAGATGCGATCTTGTTAAATATGCATGAGTCAATTAAAAAATTTCGCTTCTCCACTTTTCTTTTGTAATATCTCGTTAAAAAAAAAAAAAAAGGAAAGAAAAACGTACACACTAAGAAGATTGCCGCGAGTACTTCCGCACTACCGGAACGAAAAGAAAAAAACGAAAGCAAAAAAATAATCTCAATTAGACTCAGCAGAAAGGAACATGCAAAATTTTCCTTGAGTAATTGTCTAAGGAACAAAAAAAGAGAGAAGAGTGAAACTCGACATTCCCGCATCCGCCGCCATTTGTACGCTCATATAAAATTTCTCAAGATAGTGGTAAATCGTCAAAGATAAATAGACGGACAAAACACATACTCGAAGAAAATATGCCTTGCTCGCATTTAAGCGTGGCGCGTCTACACTTGCTTTCTTTTTTTTAAATTACTTTCTTTCTCTTTTTCGAACACCATAGATCCTCTCTCAGGATTTCCTTGCGGTTCAAGGTCGTGAATACCTGTTATCCTAGAAATCCTTTGAACATGACACAAGTAGAGAAGCCACTGAATGTACAGAAATTAAAGTTATGCGTTGTTCGAGCGATGTTGACTCATGCACTAGTAATAATTGTAGGATCCCCATTGATTGTAAGGTCCATACGCCTGAGGACCACCCTGACTGTACTGCCAGTTCTGATAATTCGCATAATTTGGATCTGAAGGTGGAGGATACTGTTGATATCCTTGTTGGTAACCGCCCTGTCCGCCGTATTGACCACTCTGAAATTGTTGCTGGGACTGATACGGTCCACTAGGTCCACTACTGTACTGATACGAAGACTGAGATCCAACTGACGGTGGAGGTGGGACACTGGATTGCTCTCCGGCTTTGCCTTTCTTGGGAGGTGAGCTATCCCTGCAGGTAACAACAACGATGAAGACAAAGAATTCATCCGGATTGCATATAGAAATTCTCTCGAGCAAAATAATAAAATTCTACCGACTCACCCTTTAACGTCGTCGCTCTTTGCTTTCTTGCGTTCCTTTGCTTGCTTGATACATCGCTGAAACTGTTCGTGGGCTTTGAGTACCTGTCGAATGTCAGGACTGAAGTCCTCTAGAAATTCGACTTTCCGTTGTGCAAATAGAACCCTCTGTTCCAGGTCGGCATGCTCGCGTTCAATGAACATGTCCATGTAGCTAACCACTTCTTGTGTGTCTACCGGATTCCTTTGCATACCCAGATCTATCAATTGGAGGTACAATCTGGGATTGTCTTTATCCTTTTCGGTCGCCTTGATAAATCATTAATTACAATCAGCATCGTTACATCTAAGAATGATACCAGAATATCTAAACACAAGAAAGGTTCATTCTATACGTACCTTCTGTAAAACTTTAACAGCTTTATCCACGTCATTTTTGACTTTACATAGAAATCGTGCGTACTTTACTGCAATGTTGTTAGCAATAGTCCTATTTTTGCTGTTACTTATATAACTTTCGTATAAGGTACAAGCCTTCTCGAGATCGCCACGTCTCCGTTCCAAGTTCACACGACGATATGCTATTTGCAGCATATTTGGAAGAGCATTGTCAATATTTTCAAGAATGGCTGCCGCCTTTTCGAAGTTACCTTGACCTTCCTCGAAGGTCGCCCACTGCAAGTGCAAATTTGGCTTCTTCAGATGATGGACCGTGCATGCTCTCGAGTACACGTCCCTGATTTTATCTACATTATCTCCCTTCTGCGACTCGAGATAGCGAACAAACTGTAAGTAGAGAGAAAGAAAACAATCAGTCTTATCTTTGCATCAATAACGAATATCCAACACGAGATAAAGAATTAACAGAAGCTCACCCGCATCCAGAATTCATCGTAAAGAGCACAAGCTATAAGACATCGTTCAAACAAAATGACTATTCTGTTTTGGTCCTTCTGTTCAATTTCAAAGTCCAGGTATTCTTTCCAATTTTTCAATTGACATCGCTCAAGTGGTTTCACATGGAAGTAAGGTCTTTTTATCTGTTATGGAGCATCATATCAAATTCTCAGATATATATTATTCCATGAAAAAAATAATTAGGCATGATGAATGCCAATAATTACCCCTTCTTCGTAAGACCACCTTGCAGCAACTGCGTTCACATTGACCTTGTGCATCTTACGTCGACTACTAATTATTTTCTCTCTGATGGCTCTGGTCTCCTCGTCGGTGGGTGGAACTTCGTGAGGTGGTGGTTCCTCACCAGGAGGTGCGTCATCGGTAGCGGACGCCGCGATGGCGTCATCAGATTTAAGCAAAGCCTTAACCTCAGCGCGTAGAGTCAGAAAGTCATCGACACTGAGGATTCTATTTGGGAGATTTGAGGAGACAAACTCTTGGAAAGCTTCAAAATGGGATATGTAGCCGAGAGTAGGCGTAGACAAGAGACGATCATAGAGCGCAGTTACTCTGCTAAGACGTTTTCCCTCCAATTCCCACTTGATATAACTTTCCCAGAGCCGATCAGACCTGCGACACGTAAAGACATAACTTTTGTTTGTCGAATCCGTATAAATAAAAAATTTATTCAGAGCACAAAAGGGACGACCGACTCTACCTGAACTCAAGTCCGCAGGCTTCAATGGCTCTTTCATACTGCTCGCGCAATTTCTCCTCGTCCTTTTCGTAAACGGTTTTGCAGTGGTTGATGTAATGAAGCCACAAGTCGACACTGAGCGAAATAGCTTTCAAACCTTGATCGAATACCTGTATAATGAATCGTGACGTTTAGAACGGCTTACAACTGGTTGGGCCGATGATGGGTAACGTTAAACCTATGTCTTAGCGTTCGTTAAGCATTACGGTTCATTGTAACGTATACTCACGTATGACACGCGAACTGTAAATAAACATATATAATTAACACAGAGATTGCAGAGCATTGTGCATTCACCTTAAAGTCAGGGAGTGTTCCGATCGGGGCGCCTCTGTCTCTTCCGCCACTCATTCTTCCTCCCTCTTTGGCACGTGCACGTCCTAAGTCTTTGTCTCTGACTTTGACTCAATCAACACCCGACCCCCATCTTACTTACATTAAGTAAGGTACCGCATTCTTATGCTTAGGTTACAATACTTTTCGATAGTAAGCTACGTGTACAAATGCTTACAGTAAATATAACAACACACACATAATAATTGTCACGACGGTATCGTAAATGGAGATAAGCTTTGACTTGACTTACGTATTATGCGTATAGTATTGGTATATTGATATCGATAAGTCACTAATACGTAGTAGCATTGTAGTTTCTAGTAGAATAATTAAATAAGTAGCTAATCGGTAAACGAAGAGAGTCGTATAGGTGCCGCAAGACGTGCTAGGCTGTTGGAAGGGAAAACCATATTTACGTGCGTGCACACTGCCCACGCGTCTTCCTAACTCGAGCTATTTTTATTAGATTCCGTTAATTAAATGATGTATCATAATGAGAACTAGCCTAATCAATGAAGTAAACGTGTCGACTCACCGTTTGGACATTCTCGGGATTGCCTTTCTTCTTTTCGTAATCGGCGTATTTCCTCCAGTAGCCGTAGCAGTAAGGATAACGCTCCAAGAACTTGGTGTACGCCTCCCTCGCGGCTTCGGCGTCGTTCTGCATTTAAACGATCACATAATACATTTAGCCATTCGTTCTGCAAATGAACTTTATATCAAGTAATCCTAGGGATAATTTTAATAAGTCTTTTTTAACTAACCTCTTGGTCCACGTACTGCAGAAGGTAAGTCCATCCTGTGAAGTCTGACGGATCCTCGTTCACTGCCTTCCAATACTTTTCCAGTTCTGGAAGGGTCTTCTTCTTAGGCGATGCTGGCTTAGCATCCACTTTGCTATCAGCTGTGTCAGAGTCGGTTGCGAGCGCCACTTTCTTCGCTGGCGTCTCGTCATTGTTTTCCGAGGTTGGGGAACTGGGATCATATTCCCCGTCGGCATTTAACTTGCGTTTACCTGGAGAACGAAAGAAGGTGAGGTGATCTACGTCTGCTACTGTGTTAAATCTATCCGCCGATAAACGGATTGATTTTATAAAACTATGTAGGAAATAATGCATACTTCCGTCATCACCTTTAACTTTTTTCTCCAGCGTTTTGTTAGCTGATTTTGTTCCCTTTTTCTTCTTGTCGCCATCCGGTGGTAATTCATCTTCAGATACAGACTCGGTTTCTCCTAGGTCTGCTGGTGCGGCAGCTGGAAGTTCCTCGTCCGAAACTGCTTCTGTCTCCGGATCCTGGTTTTTTTAAAGTGATTGCATTTAGAACATGCCTTATATTCTGAATCTGTATGCGATCCAGGATGTTGGAAAAGAAAAATTTATAATGGAATATGAATTAGGGGAAAAAAGAAATAAATATTGAATTTTAGGATTCACCATCCATTATTGTGAAAGAACATTTAAAACTGTTCTGGAAACGGCGTTATTATTATAAGAAATTTAACTCAAAAAGCTGATGTTAAATTTACAGCTTTCATAGAACTAGTTCATTCAGCTGTCATTATCAGGAAAGGAAGAGGAATGGATATACCTGGATCATACACTCGGTAGGGAAGAACTCATCCTCTGATATTTCGTCCATTTCTTCATGCTTCTAATTAAAATGTTAACAGGACGTTGAAATAATTGTACTTGTATTATGGCTACACCGTAGTGCATCTGTCGACTACTATTGCAGATGATATAGAAACTAAATGGTCCTCAGATAACATTGTCGATTATGTTAAAGAGAAATAATTACCTTAGCTGTTGCTTCGGTCGGCAATTCATCCTCGGAAACTGCTTCCGTATCGGGTTCAGTCTTTTTCATTATTTTGCCATTGGAATTTTCACTATCGTCGAACTCGACGATTTCAACGCCAGCGGCGGCATCATCATCCTCATTCTGCTTACCGTCCTCTGCTACATTTGATGTTTGTCCCACGTGTGAAATTTCTTGTTCCATCTCGTCGACTTGCATCCGTTCCATACCAAGGTCTGTATTGGTGTTGGAAGACTCCACTTCCTCTGTGTCCAGTACTTCCGTCATATGTCCAATATTTTCCTCTTCATCGGCATAAACTTCCATTGTGTACTCAATGTGCTTACCACGTTGAATCATATCCAGCTTCTCCATGCTATTTTCTTCTAGGGTGATGACAGCTTCGGTCCTATCAAGTCCTTCCTGTAATACGGATAAGCTTTGCAAATGAAAAAAGCCACACATATAACTATTAAGAAAAATAAATAAAAAGGTTAAAAGTTCCTACCATAAGCTGTGCTGGTTCTTTCACCTTAAGTGTAGATAAAATTGGAGCGCTCGTCGTTATACTGCTTACTACCGGTGGAGGAGGGGCTTCCAGCTCAGGTACATCTTGTGGTTCCTGTTCGATCTGAATATTCTGACTGATCTCAATATCGTGGACAATCGTTCCTCCAAAATCATCTATAAGGTGTAAGCCAGGTGTGTTCTCTTCATGGTGTTCAATAATAATATCACTGTAACGCTGAATTCCATTCTCTGGAGTATCTTCCATCTCAGATACAGCCTCCTCTTCTCCCAAAGATACTTCACCACCCTGAGTATCATAAATTACAATAATCAATACAGTGTCAACAAATACATGACAACAGTTACGAAAACAATAGAATGCAAAGGAAACGATCTCACCTCGTTTTCCTCAACTTCCTGAATCTTCTTCTGAGAGCGTGTAGCCCTAGCTAAAAGCTTCTTAGTGGGCGATTTCTTGGCAACGACAGTAGTCTTAAGAGCGCGGCCGGATCTTGTGCGTCGCACTAAAATCACAATTTAATCACCAATTGTCGAAATTATTTGTGAATATTGCAATCGAACGACGCCACGAAACTAATGGCGGTTTGCAGTCTGCGATAACAGCGACGTGCCGGCTTGTTCTATATCTCCCATTATCCAGAGCCTAGCGTATCTGCTTGTCACGCAAATCTACTCACTCATTGTCCGCTTGAAGAATGCTTAACAAATCAATTAAACCTACCTGGCTCGCTCTGAAGAATTTCGTTTTCGTCACCGCTTACGGACGACATTTTTCTGTTCTCTGCAACGGCTAGGATGCAGAACGCGCTTCAACGCTACGAAATGTTGTAATGGCGGCCCAGTGATCTACGGGGAAAGTGAAAGAAACGTGTTTAGTCAGTCGACACTGTTTTACCAACAGTTGATACAATAAAAACAAAGAACGTTTTGGATACCAAAGTTAACCTCAAAATTGCTTTGTCCGAAATTCGTTTCACTACATTACGTAGTACATCATAGATGGAGTAAATGGTCGCTACATTAATTTTTTAGAGGCGTAAACAAAAGGAATTTCATTATTCTCTCGTGAGTATTTATAGGCAATCAAATTGTCGTTATGATATAATAACTTGATATATCTATGTACTATTGTATTACTTCCACAAGAAACTTGTGTATGAAATTCATGTATTGCTCTCTGCTGCTATAATGAATGCGTGTCGCTCCCACATATGCGATCTGCCTAGGATACTGCTGGATTCAACGTCCACGATCACAGGTGGTCTTTTATTAGAATGAAACGGTGTCACGAAGTTAGATTGCATCACAATTTCCACAAGAATCCAAGTTTAGTCGTTGAAAACAGGTAGAAAGACTCAAGCTTCTTGATACAACGCGACGTTTTCAATATATTCTAATACTCGAAATCCTAACGTACTACGGTTCATACGTTATAGCGTTTTAGCTCTTTCCATTTTATCCAGATAAACTGTAATTGAAACTAATCCTTCTAACAAGTGCACGAAGGATGAGCCGCTTTGTGGTTTCTTTGAATAATTAAAAAAAAAAACGTAGGGCAAAGCGGCATCCGAAAGGGAGGGTGACCAATGAGCCAGTAATGGGGTGAATTTTGGCGCAAGTAGCTTCAGTGCTTCTGCGGGGTTCTATCTGGGAAGAATGTGCGTCCGCCTATTTGCAACAATTCTTGAGTAAATCATCGATTTTTCGCGAAGCTCGTTACTCGCAGACGTAAATAGAGTTGAAAAAACTCTGGAAAACAGTAAATAATCAGTTGCGATCGATCCATCGTGCAATTCGCAACGGATCAGCAGTGGTTCGGAGCAATTCACCCTCCCTGTTTGAAGGAATAAGTGCTCCTTAAGCTCTCCCGGGTGATAATGTCTCCTTTCTACGTTGGTGAGTACTTGCCAAGCTACGGGGAAGCTCCCAGACCAGGATCTGTCTCGTAATTTTGAAGTCCTGTGGACATTTCGAAAGATAGGAAGTTACGGGGATGACGAAGCGGCTCGCCCCGAGCACCATCCCTATACGTCAAGGCGATTTAAACGAAACTTGCACGAGGAGCGCGACAGGAAATGTCGTACAGTGATGGCGGGCGCTCGGTACGAAAGTCCAGTACGAAGTCGCCGAAAAAGTTACGCGTGACGAAGGCCGAAAACAGTGATAAGACTACTACGACGATAAGCTACAATCATCACAATCATCACGGGCATCGGTTCACCGACAATCCTCAGCCTTCCGTGCACAAGCGCAACCTATACATTGTTTCTTTTCCGCTTATTCTTCTGTTTAATGTCCTACGAACTCTTCTCTATCAGCTGTTCGTTATCTTCAAATACCTCTATGCCTCAACTTCCCATCTACTTCAACGACGACAGGTTGTGAGAAACACCTGTCAGTTGGAGATTGTTGTTGGACAAGAATCATCAGAGGGTCTTCTTAGTGTTTCTACTGGACTCCGATCCACTGAGGAGATGTCACAAACTTCTCGAAGACCTGCTGGACCAGGACCAGGGGATCCATTGCTTGCAAAGCAGAAGCATCATCATCGAAGGGCTTTTGAGTTTATTAGCAAGGCTCTGAAGATTGATGAGGAGAATGAAGGTATTAATTAATATTAAATATATCCATGCAGCAGAGACCTTTAAAATGTTTGATACCAAAGTTTTTAAGGAGGACATATATTCAAACACTGACAATGAGTATACTTGACAATACAACTTGTTTCAGCTCTTTTTATGTGTCATAGGTATAGGTCGATGTCTGTGTTATTAGAATCAATGCAACAACAATCAATTTGCATGAAAACTAACCATTATGGTTACTAGACAGGCAATTAGATCCTCCATAGTAGTAGTAAATGTTACGATATGTACTTATAAAACAATAGTTGGTCAAGGATAGCAAGTCACTCTTGATTTGGTCTCGCAGGAGCTTCATTTCTTAGAAGATATGTCACTGTCTAATTTGAGAAAAACGTGAAGAACACATATTATTTTTATAAGAGAATATTGGTTATTCGCATAGATGATATTGCATGTTAGGGCAAAAAGAAATGGCGATCGAGCTCTACAAGAAAGGAATTGGAGAATTGGAGAAAGGAATAGCTGTGGAGTGCAAAGGCGGTCGTGGTGAGGTTTGGGAACGTGCACAGAGGCTACAGGAAAAGATGCGTACAAATTTATCCATGGCAAAAGACCGTCTCGACTTTCTTGGTGCGTATTTTCATTATTGTGTACTGTGAAAAAATATTTATAGTATCCCTTTGGAACAATATGCAGAACTCTTTGAGAGACGTACTTTAGTTAGCATTAAATCGTTAAATTTATAATTCAAGACAAATTGAATCCTATGCCAGTCTGTAGCAATGACTTGTATTTAGTACGACTCTCAAAAATGTATAAAAATAATAATTTGAGCGTACGTACAATTTGTTCAATGTATATAGCATGTTAATGTGCCATTTCTTTCTTCCTGAGTTTACGTGCTACATTGTTTGTTGTAAAAGATTATCTTATAAAGCACAATCTTTCTTTTTCACTCGGTGTTTCTTTAATGTACAGCAAAAGAAACAATGCGGCGATATTAAACTCCTATTACAAAGAAAAACAAACATAGAATCTCATCTTTTTGAATGTTCAAATCTTGATCAACTAGGCATTACCAAAGGTAGCATTATAACCAATTAATGATTGGTTTTCTGACATTAGATCTTATCAGACTAACGAATCTAATCACTTAAGTAATAACCTGTCGATCGATATTTGTAGCATTAAATGCTCCTTTCAATGGCCGTATAGCCTACTGCAGCATGGCAGAGAATGTTTGTACTTTTTGTAGCAAGTGTTTGCGAGCTGAAAAAACTGGAAATCTGCGAAGAGGCACAAGAAGATGGACAGCATAAAGAAGAAGAACATCAAAGAAAATATCTAAGAGCAAGGCGTATCTCTCAGAATACACAAACTCATAACACCCTGACACAGACAAATAATAAGACCACAGCCAACGTACAACAGACACTGGACTCGACCCAGAATACATTTCCACAAATACCCCCAAAAACTAGCCAAAGGCCACGCTCTCCAAAAAATCATTACGCTCGTGCCGCAGAAGGTATAATGCATTTCTTGGCTATAAACTTTTTCATTTATAGAAATTTTTTCTTTAGAAATTAATTGCACTAGCGGCACACTGCATACTGCCTGCTTGCTATAACTCTCGCACTTGAGTTATAATTGCATAATGCACGTGTCCTCACTCTATCTTATCCTATTTAATTAAGAGACTCTAATTTGAATATCGAGTGGTGCTCGTTCAAAATAGAATCTTCAAGCCTAGAGCTTCCTTTAAATTCAGATCGAATAAAAAACGCTAGGATTTCAATTCAATTCAACGTTATTAACAATCCATTCGTCCTTATGAGTGAATAGGAAATTAAGTGAGGTATTAATGTCACGTGTGACGCCATTTTTAGCATCAGGACGAAAATTGGCTGTGCCTGGAAAACGAATAGCTGGTTCGGTAATGAGTAAGAGTCAAACGTTGCCTCGAAGTATGGGTCGTTCGACTCCTACATTGCCTTGCCATAGAACAACACCGATAAAGCCATCCTCGACGCCACCATCGGTGAAGAGACAACTATCTGTACCTGGAAACGGTTCGCCAGTAAGAAGACCCGGCACGCCAAGTGGTACGAGTAGCAACAAGGGGACTCCCACAAGAAAAGCACCGACTTTGAAAGGTGTAGATCCAAAATTGGCCCAGGTAATCCTGGACGAAATTTTGGAAGGTGGAACGGCTGTGCACTGGGAAGATATTGCAGGGCAAGAGGTAATACCATTCTAGGAGTAAAATTATTTTTTATGAACATAGCAATGTTCAAATTCATATAGCATATGAATTCTTTATTTTGCTTCCAGACTGCCAAACAAGCCCTTCAGGAGATGGTGATTTTACCATCCCTGCGTCCAGAGCTTTTTACAGGATTGCGAACACCTTCCAGGGGACTTTTGCTTTTTGGACCTCCTGGTAACGGCAAGACTCTCTTGGCACGTGCAGTGGCTACGCAATGCAATGCAACTTTCTTCTCGATATCTGCGGCTAGTCTGACTTCCAAGTATGTCGGAGAGGGCGAGAAATTGGTCAGGGCGTTGTTCGCCATTGCCAGACAACTACAACCGTCCGTAATATTCATTGACGAGGTGGATTCACTTCTGAGCGAACGAAAGGATAATGAGCACGAGGCATCAAGGTATGCAAAGACACTTTTTTCCCTCCTGTTTATAGTTTTATAATGGTCGTAACGAGCTAATTGATTTTTAGGAGATTGAAAACCGAATTCCTGGTCGAATTCGACGGACTACCGTGTAGTCCAGAGGAGCGAATACTCGTGATGGCAGCCACGAATAGGCCTCAAGAATTAGACGAGGCTGCGCTTAGAAGATTCTCCAAGAGGGTGTACGTGACTCTACCGAATCTACAGACCAGAATACTTTTACTGAGAAGACTTTTGAGTAAGCACAATTATAACCTGACGCATGAAGAGCTCAACCAAATGGCAGTCTTGACCGAAGGCTATTCCGGAAGTGACTTGACTGGTCTGGCCAAGGATGCTGCCCTTGGACCCATCAGAGGTAAGACGAAATACATTCCAATCGCACAAAATACCGTCATTAATCTATCAATGATGGCTGAACGATTAGTACATGATCCAGTCGTTCATCCTTCCACATTCCTTTTTATTGATACTTGCAAATTATTCTTTTCGTAATACAAGAAGTTTATTTTTTCCTGAACACAGAACTCAATCCCGAGCAAGTGAAGGAGATGGACGCGAATTTAGTACGTAGTATAACGATGCAAGATTTTCTTGATTCTCTCAAGAGAATTCGCAGATCCGTGTCGCCCGCGAGTCTCGCTGCTTATGAAAAATGGAGTCTGGAGTACGGCGACGTGAGTCTTTGATTATCGAAAGTGCCTCGTAAGGGACTGCGTGACTAGTTGCATTCTGGCGTTTCTATGCTCCGGTTACGCAGAGTCTGTAAGTAGTTAAAACAAGAGCAAAAAAGCGATGCGAGCAAAAAGAAGCACGAGAGCACTACTACATAGTTGTTATGACATTTTAAAAGCACACGATGTATTTAAAGTACACGTAGGCTTTCGAATCTCTTAAGCAAATTCCAAATTAGGCATAGCGTAATAGAATTTAGTGGCCATAGACAAACGTCCAATTATCAGTCATCTGAAGATGTAGATTTCGAGGTACACCACTTCCTCTAGGGTATTATAGCCTTACTACGTACAATACTTAGATAAGAATTGAGCATTATCGTAGTAATCCATGAAAGTTATATATCTTCTTTTTTACATTAGATTTATCTACTTCTTAAGATGAAATCTTTCATACCGAACTCTATAGAAAATTTTGGCAATTTTTTCCTTTGTTAACAAAGTCAATTATGTATTTTATTCTCCAGGTCTTCTTCAAACTGTTGCCTTCGTAAGACAGTATTACCATACGTACAAATTATTGCTTATTCGATTAATGAAACTATGAGCAACCTATTATTATTCGATGGCTCCCAATATTTTTTGTTATCCTAAGATCGGTGTAAGACTAAAACATCCTGGGGATACGAAAGTATATACGAACATTTGCTTTTATGAAAAGAGAGAAAGAGAAATTGATAAGAATTGAAAAATATCGAAAAAATAGAAATGATAAAACACATCCATAATCGCAACAGTGCACGTCCAATGAGATAATAACGAGAATAAAAGAAAAAAGGGTGATTAGAATGTAGGAAACTGTTTTATCGTAGCGTCGCACAATCTCTTTAAAAGAGCGACAATTCATATTCAAATTGTCAATACAAAATCGAAGTATGCGATCACTATGAATTAAACTCTTCTTAGATTCTTCACTCATAATAACTTTCGTTAAACCATTCATAATAAAGTTACCACTGTTTTGTGCTTCTCCAGAGAAACTCTTAAAATCCTCCAATTAAATACTGTTGTAAATGACACTATTACGTATAAATGATAATAATATTTGTAACCATGTACATACCATGCAATACGTATATTTCATATCGAAATTGTGTAAAGGGTCACTATAACTTTTTATCAGGAGTCGAGAATTCATCTATATACTTATTCGCAAAATTCTAAACAATATTGTACAGAGCAAAGAGCAAAGATTATAATTGGATCGCAAGTAAAACTTGATACTTTGGGTATGCGTGTGAATATAGGAGTGTATTCTGATTCCCACGTTGAATTATTGATTTAAATGCAAAATTTATTGCCTGAAACAACGAAGCAAGAATAAGAAGCGTACCCCATCGAGAATATTAACTTAATGTTATTGAAGAAAGAAAAAAGAAACATGATTAGTCACAATTTACTATTAATATTTTATCTTTTTGATAAGAACGTAGAGGCAGATTTTCAGATAAGTTTGCCATGCGTTCAATCGATTCTTCAAATATTTCAACGACGAATTAGTAAAAACGTAAAAAGTTATTGTAAAAATAGTTATAGGTTTTTGTTATTCTTGTTTTTTTATCTTATAGCGTAACAAGTAGTCGCAACCTAATGGTTTGCTCAATGATCATCAGTACATAATATAATAATAAATACTTCTCTGAGTTGTTCTAGAAAATATTAAAACGTTACAAAGTTTTCACGCTTTCATATTTGTAATCTGTTGTTTCGTTGCGTATGTTATTCTTCTTTTAAATTATCGTTACATTAAAATTATACAAATGTCCGTTCTGTGAATGGTAATTAGAGGTGTGATACATAGAGATAGTTAAAATAAAAAATGATAACGGAAACAATGTTTCAGCAAAAAAAGATGCGTTAACGGAGCTTCTTTGTTTCTCTTGTAAGCTTTTAATTTGATAAAATCTTTCTGCTTCCTTCCTGACGTAAACCATTGTATTCGACAATGCAGGTCAAAGTTTAAGTGTTTCTGAAGTCAGTAATATCTAAGAGCCTTGAAGCACTATTAGCACGTGGGACAAAATGAAAAGTCTCCTCCGAATGCGACAAAACTTTCTTACCGTCGTTATAAAAATTTTTGTTTAAATTCTATTAAACGCCCCCTATTGTTTTTCAATGAAAATCGCGTATCGTATCCATGTACAGAACTAAATCGAGCGTTATGCGAATTCAGGAATAACATTTAAAAAAAAAGAAGCAAGGATACGAACGCGTCGAGCGAAATTAAGTTATAAACTGATAATTACTCATGAATAATTTATCTAAGATTAAATTGCCAAGTTATAAATATTCCGTTATACGAGTGTTAAGATTTTCAAATATCTCTCGTATATTCCAATACGAATAATTTTATCTCTTTGCAGTCCTAATACTTATTGCCTTAAGATCAATTGTACATAAGAAATAAAATATAATAACAACCTTTGTTCACGGTAATTTTGTTACTTTTACTTTGTATTTTCCGAATTGCTGTTGTTATTATATACAGGGTATACAAGAAAGCGAATGAAAGCACGTATACAAAAAGCTCGAATCTCTCTCTAATATCCGATACGCAATACAAACTGTCCCTCTACCAATTTCTCGAATTGTTCGTTACGCGCCATAACAGACTGTACAACTGTACAATTATACAAGTAATGAAAAGATAACAGGGATAACAACGCTTTACCTATGAATTGGGTATCGCCCAAACTCTTCTTCCAACTCGCACGTTACAACAAGGAAACAGCTCAGCCCTTAACCGGTTATTTTGCTACTTTTATAAATTCTAGCGATAATTAAATTAAGAGTGCGACACTAATTAAAGAAATCGATGCATTGTATTTCGTAATTAATGTTATAAGTTAAGCCTATTAAAACTGTATTACTATGGAGAAAGGAACGCGCTTCGTATACAATTATTATCGTAATAAATTTTCTATAAAGATTCTTCCTACAGGCGCGGCAACTCGTATTTCACTTTATTTAATACTCATACTCGTGTTATAATAATTATATTTATAAATAATGAAAATATTTATATTAAATTGTGTGACGCGTGGCAACGACCGATGTATATATATATATATTGGATTTGATGAAATATATTGTACGAAGCATATAAGAATGTCGATCACCTTATAAAGATATTGGACGGGGGTGGAGGTTATGTCTAATTTTGATTGATACGTCATTCGATGAAGTACGATTTGAATGAATTATTCCAGTTAATCAAATTCAATATAACATTATACAGCTAGATTGAAGTATTTCCTATGGAAGATGTGGATTTAATAGCTCTTAGAGCTTAGCAATGCCTTGTTCTGTTTACTTCAGTCCTTTGTAATATTTATGTATTATTAATTTTATTATGTGCAATTGTTATCTCACTGATAAATCAGTTTTCATTCAAAGTCATATATATATATGTCTTATATTCTATAGATCTTTTTTTTCTTGTGCCTATTTTGTATAGGCGGAACAGGAAATTCGCACTATGTACGTAAAGAAGATTGACTCGAACGTTTATCGGACTTTGTTTTTGATTTATACTATATATATTTTTTTTACGTTTTAACAATGTGGAATTCTTTATAATTACGCGAAAAGTGGTAATAACGTTTTATCATTTCTATGCGCACCTGTGAGATTTCTCTAGTCCCCCTTATGTACATATTTCGATGCGTCATTAAAATGATAATGATACATTATATTCTCGTAAGAAAAGCGTTCTTACGAGAATAATAAGAATTACTGTCGAATGTTAATTAATTAATAAAATGATATTACAATACTGTAGAGAGCATTCTTGATCCATTGTCAATCTCCATAATTATTCTTACATTGTGCAACGAGCATTGTCAATTTGCAAAAAAGTTAAGTTTTTCAATATATATATACATATATTTATTTATTTATTTATTTAGCAAAGGATATTAAAAAGAAATATAATCTACTTTACCGTTCATACCCCAGCTAATCTGTGCCATATATAAGGTTTTCAAGAGAATTGTAGGACACGATGTATTTTAAATATTTATTCCTTTTTCTTTTTCATTCAAAGGACAATTTGTTTTTATTATAAGATAACATTATCCTAAGCATTGTCGAGGGTTTGGCGCCCTGCCGTACCTAAATTACTTTTTATATAACACTCTTTACTTTTTACGTCTTCCCTCGTTTCGCTGATTAATTAATCCTTAGTCGCAAAATTCACGTTTTCAATCGGCTGTACCGCACGTCACTGTTCTTCGTATGATCGCGACACGTATTCCGCGTTGGTATATGCCCATTGCTAAATTTGTTTATCCTTTCATTATCTTTCCGTAATTTTCATCGACAATCGTTTATTACCTTGTCGTCTCTCTCGTTGCTTAACAAATCGACACTGGCTTCGTAAAATTGTTCTCATGTTCCTCGTGTCAAAATCGTGTTCACCTTTTTTGCCCTCATTCTTTTCCATTCGTCGAACAAAGATTTATCGTCGGTGGCGGATAGTAGAACCGTGCCAGTAGATACCGCCTGGTATTTCCTGCGCTTTCATTGCCATCCGTGCATCCACTATTTATTTTCCATTACTCTTCCCGCCAACCCCTCGCAATACGTTAATCGTATCGCGCGGGGGGTGGACGACATTGGGGTTCATGGCCGTGGATACCCCACAAAAGAAAAGAAAAAAAGGAAATCTAGCAAGACTCGACACTTTAAAATATCGAGTATATCAAATTGGATTTTTAAACCCCATTACGCGTAACGTGCAATTCTGCCAACATACTAAATTCATTAATAACCTATGCGGTGCATCCTGAATTCCTGTGTAGAATTAAAAATGCTCTCCTTTGGAATGATTCGACTGCTGAGGTGAAAATAAAGAACAAAGAAAAGACAGAGCGAACGAGAGAAAAGTCAGTAGTGATATCTCGTGGCGAAAATGAAAATCGACAAGTTTTATCCGGTAAACCAGTATGGATGGAAAGAGAGGTAGGGAGTTGGGTGAGCAGGGGAGAGTCAAGGATAATCAGAAAAATAACATTAAAGTTAAGTGTCGCAGTGCACTATTTCGTACAAGAGTCAGAAATTATTGGGTTAACACGCGTCCTTAATAATCGGCTTACTGTGGGAACGTGTCTCTTATGTACAAAGGATATACCATTGTAGCGCTGGTAGTTTCATTCGATTGAACAATTTACCTGGAAGACACGGATAGATTAGAAAATCGTGTCGAATGGCGAATAATCGTCTCCTTTTATTCATTCACTAGAGGTTTGAGTTAGGATTGTCAGTACGTAATTGTTTTATCAAATGATCCCTTGGGGAGCAAACACTTAAACAAGCTACTTTGGCCCGATTTATTGACATTGCAGAGATTATGGATGCATATGTTAACGAGCCAATAAGATTAAACGCAGTTCGGACACTGTACACGATTGTAACGAGGACGTTAACACTTAACGTTAACACTGATCGATGTTACTCTTGGAATGTGAATTTATCAATTTTCATTCGGACGTGGAAAGAGACATTAATGGAAAAAGTATGTATTTCGTTTGTTTCTTTTTTTTATCAGCTTACAATTACATTTTAGTTATTGTAATAATTAGTGTCACTATCTGTCTGTACAGACGGAGCGGAGTCGCTAAGCCCACCCACCACGTGTATTTTTTTTCGGTTTTCTTTTCCTCTTTTTCGCTTTGTTTGTAATCTTTTTTATACCACATTACATGCTTTTTTTGAGCCTGAGTTTTTTGAGCCACCTGTTACATGTGAGGAAAACAGATTGGGGGGAACAGGGGGGAGACAGTCTATCAGAAACCAAGAGAAAGGAGAATGGAACCAAAGAGAGAGAGAGAATAAAAAAAGAAGTGAGAAAAATACAAATAGAGATAAAGTACGAGAAGGAAAGAAAGAAAGAAAAGAAAGATGGAGACCTAAATGATAATCTTACAAACTCGAGAATTGGTATCTGAGATTACCATAAAAACAAGCGTTTTCATCTACATCGAACCACCGACGATAAATACCCGCGCAACATAGTTTTAATTTCTTACACGTTTTGTCTCGTTTCCCTACATATCAGGTTATTCAGCCCAAACGCACCACCTGAACATGGTTTTACCATAAGACTCAAATGGGCGCACTAATTTCAGGTGGTAGGTTTCTACTGAATAACCCTGATATATCGTGTCGCACAAGAGAGCCCTGCATACGTAACGACGGCGCGTCAAATCGAAAATTCTAGCTACATCACAGGCATTGTGTCTAGCTACGTCGTTTTTCTTCTTTTACTTCGTTTATCCCTATCTTATGTCTACGTCTCATCGTCGCACACTCGGCTGCTGATCATAAATGAACTTTATAATGGCATTTATTACGCTGATATTGAAATAAACTATGACAATTGTTATTGGGAGGCATATTAAAAAATGTAAGGTCATAATGATAGCGTGCGTTCGCGTGCACTTCTGGCACACACCATGGCGTGAATGCAGGGCTCTTTTTCATTTTAGGGGCCTCGAAGAACCGTTCCGCTGATATACCTGATTCACTTAGTAGCGAGCTTAGCTACGCACGTCCATAGTACAGGTAATAGAATTTTAAGTTTCTCCAGTGTCAGTCAGTCTCGCCAAAACGTCTTCGTCACGAATAATAATTTTGGATTAACGTGTATGAAATACGTATATCAACCCGACCGTTTCTCGCTCCCGTCTACGACAGTTGTTTGGAAATATTGGACACTAGAATCGAACTACAGTGTAAGATGGGAGCCACGTAGGGTTTACTGTTTCTCTTGTTTTTTAAATCTGTTTCTGTCATTCCCTCGTGCACGGAATTATACTTTCTCCATGCTGGACTATTCTTTGTGACATAAATAAAGCGTGAAAAAACATAGGTATGAAAAATCTCAAGGTCTGTCGATCGTTTCTTTTTGGGAAACGGGTATATAGGAGAACAATTTCTGCGGAAGCCCCTGGTGTCGTATGTTCCGTACGTAACTTTCAGCTGATTTCAATTGGTACGATCAGTTTCATTGCGTGGGGTATTGAGGCATGGTGTAAGTTACCATGGCCGGCTGTTGGCCCGGCTGTAGCGGAGCTGTGGCAGATGGTGGAGCTGCAGTCGCTTGTCCGGGTTGCCATGTACCAGCACCTGGGGCAGGCATCCTCATGCTGTTCATATACTGAGCCTGCTGTCCGTAGTATTGGCCGTAGTACTGAGTAGGCTGCAAGAACTGTCCTTGCATCTGTGCGTATCCTTGAGGATACCAGTAGCCCATTTGCTGTCCATACCCGTAAGCGTACTGGCCAGCTCCAGCCGTTACCTAGTAAGCCAATGAACATTATATAAAGTATCTGATCCATGTAGATACATCGTATTTGCATTGTAACATTGCAATTCGGTTTATTACATAATAGGAGTTTCGTGATTGTTGTCAATAGAGTCGAGAAATGAGAGAATAAAACGTTAAATCAATCTTGTAATTATAAGTGGTCATCGTTTATAATAATAACCTGTTGGGCTTGCTGATTAGCATTGGGTCCCACACTGTTAGGATCTCCGTTCTCCTTTCCCCAAAAGCACTTAACGATGCTACCATTAATCTCTGTATTATGCGTGGACTCTATGGCGTGCGTTGCTGCTTCCTTGGTTGTAAACTTGATAAAAGCATAACCCTTATCCTTGAACACTCGGATATCTTGAATAGTACCAAATGGAGAAAAGGTTTTTGTTATCAGGTCGTCTGTGATACCGTTTGTGAAACCGCCACAGTACACTGTACAGTTGGTCGGGCTGCTTTGGTTGTATACCTGCCACGGGACAAACAAAATGGTTAAACATTTTATACAAAAACCGATCCTTGTATCAGTCAATCGATAAAAAGTAGTTTATAAGCAACACCGACTTTGGCCAAGGCAAGACATATCAAAGAAGGACATACTTTCGCAATTAAACAAAGAGAAAGATTATAAGAATCCTTCATTTTCAATGAAGTTCTATATAAAGAAAGGCTCTTTTGCAACAGCTGTTCATTGATTGATGGCTCCAAAGATAGTTTATGCAGACTTAATGTGACAGCAATATATAATACTCATTGCGTACATTGACAAATGCTGCACGAAAACACAAGATATTACAAATTATTTCAACAACAAAGTAAAATAAAGTTAACGCGTTAAACTTGTTTGAATTTTAAAAATAATTAAACATTATGATTGCAAATCAATCAATATTAGGATATGAGATAAGCTAGAAGAGGTCGAGCCCCACGAACCTCTTCGTAATTGGGTTTGCTGTTGTTAGCATGTCTTGGCCTTTCAGACCGTGGTGGTGGTGGTTTTCTAGTTGACCAGTTTGTTCTGATACAACGTGACCCTATCCACTGTCCATTCATTGCTGCTATCGCTGCCTCAGCCTCAGATTTCTTGACGAAGGACACAAAAGCATATCCTTTGCTCTTGAGAGTCTGGGGATCACGTACAATCCTACAGTTGCTGATCTCTCCAAAGGGTGCAAAGGCCTCCTTAAGGGTTTGTGTCTCAATCTCAGGAGAGAGATCGCCAACAAATATGTGATGATGATTACTCGTGTCGAGCTTCGGCTGATTGCCAGGACTGGTCGCCCAGTTAACCTTCATCTCCTTGTCCAGGAAGGATCGTTTGTTCATGGCGGCCAGCGCTGTAGCCGCGCACTGGTGATTCGTGAACTCGACGAAGGCATAGGGATCGTTGCCGGGTTCCCGAATGATCTTGCATCCTTTCACAGCACCAATTTGTGAAAAGAGCGCGCACAGAAGGTCCTCCGACACCGAAGCGTCGAGATTCCCCACGTATAGCGTTCGAGGATTGCTTTCTTCGCTCATGCTCGCGCGGTGCTGTTGCTGCTACTGCTGCTGCTTCGGTGGGGAACGAACAGCTACCTTATTTCACTAAATCTCCTGCTTTGCTGCTTACGGCCTTAATATTTACAAGTCACACCTCCAGTGCGTCCCGCGTACATCTATCTCCGCCCCAGCATCAGAAACTCTCGCAGTTTCTCGCCTTTTCCAAGGAACACGGACGGTTCAACGTGAAGCTACACCCAGCCTCTACGTCATACTAACATAAAATGGCCGACTGCCTACCCGACCACTTTCCCCTCGATCATCCGCGCGAATAACCCTTATTCAATAGCCACCAACTCGCCGCTTGTAATCCAATCTCTCTAAATTCACTGCTCGCGAAAGAGCCGATTTTAGGATATACCAGCAGTCTTCAGGATCACGATTTCACCCACCGAACACCTTTAAGAACACGTGTTTTTCTAACCACCCGTCGGATTTCATAACAGGTAGCGCGAAAATGCCGGCGAGCTATTGGTCCGAATGGATAAACGGACAGAGTGACTGTTGTCCCAGAACAGGATCGTATTTGCTATATCGGTAACCCCCTATTGCTGAGACACTTCACTGATGATCAGGGGAGTACGCAATTAATAGGACGCGATGCTATTGACGGAATACTAATAAAATAAATGTTTCGCCGACATGAAAATTCTTTCGAATTCAAAGTCTTTACAAAATAACTTGCACAAGATTCCGCGAACCCTTTTAATCCGAAAAAATTAATTCCTACAATGTATCTTACCAGACTAATTTTCTTTTTTTGTATAATAATTTGTTATAATAACAATTATCGTATCTATTTATTATCTTTTTTCTTTGTCTTCAAAAATTCGCAAATCATGAACTGCGCGCGGCGAAACATAGTTCAACCGGCGTTAATTTTATTTCGAAATTTCAAAAATATTTAACAGTTTTATTAATTAAAATTGATTCAACAAATATGAGATGTGTTTATAAAATTCTAAAAATTGTACAATTGACCGCAAGTTTTATTGAATTCTATTTTTTGGAGATTAACCGACAATACGCTTTCTGGGAATAGGTTCGCTTTGTCGAGAGTGGTGGAGAGTCCAATCCAGTCCAATCTGGTCAAACTGCGACATCTTGCGGCTGCCGCATTTGCAAAAGAGAAAATTACCTATCCGGAGAAAACAATGTCACCAACTGTAGAAATGTAACAGGTCTAGACGAGGGAAACAATATGGAAGATTCGTAAAATTTTTTTTCATAAATTTCTTACGATTAGGCGGCATTAGTTCTAACCCTCTTCATCATGTAGAAAGTAAATGCCATGTAGACATCGAATGTCTTGTGCCAGTATGATATACCATAGATCTTATTATTTTAATACATAATACTAGGATTACACTCATTGTGACGTTATAGATCTAAGTACATTTTTTTATTTATAAATTATAGAAACCGATAAAATTTTCGAACTTTTCAAAGCGTGGCTAATGAGCTCTGAACATAAAAAATGATTTAATAATATTATCAAAATGTCTCACGTTGAATCATGTCGAGACCGTCAAGAGAATGAGCTTGAAGTATTAAAGGTAGAATATTCCACTTTATTTAATCTATATGCTGTTTTTTATGTTGAGTGATACATGTAATTGCAGTCAATATTTGGAGACGAATTATATGATTTGAGGAAAAATAAACAGAGAAAGAAATGGCAGCCACTGGATGTATCGGTGACACTTATGCCACAACAAGGCATGTCTGGGCCAGCACAAGTATATGCCCAAATCGACTTACATGTTATTTGTGGTGAAAAATATCCTGAAGAGTGAGAATTATTCTTTATATATCAGTTAATATTAATGATCCATTGAGTATAATGTAACTTATCTATGTAATAGAGTGCCACGTATGCAGCTCCAAAACAGTCGAGGCTTGTCTGATCAACAAATTGCTATGCTCTTCTCAGAATTGGAACACCTGGCAGAGCGTCTCAGAGGGGAAGTAATGATTTTTGAATTGGCACAGCATATACAGAAATTTCTCCATAAGCACAATAAACCTGGATACAGTAGCTTTTACGAAGAAATGGTTTCACGACGGCAGGAACGTATGCAGTATGAAATGCAAGAAAAGCAGCTGAAAGAAGACAAAGAAAGACAAGTCCGCATATGTCTTAAATACTCTGCCATTTCCATTTTAGCGTTGGAGTCAACACGCTCTAAACTGTGTCCTACAGGTATTGCAGGATGAAATACAGAAGCGTCAGGAGGCTCTTAAAGCAGAAATGCGAAATCGTAGGGAAACGGCTCGTTTGTCTATTGAATCGGATACGATGTCTCAGTCGATCCCATCATCGCCTCACGAAAGGGTCAGGACGTACTCTCGGCGAAGATGTATGAGTACTTCAGAAAGTTCAGAAGGCCCACTCTGTGAGCACAGAGGAACGAAACTTTTGCACTTTGACAACAGTCGCGGTGAGAGGCAGGTGCATCGTGGCAAGTGTCTAGGTCACAGTACCAAAGGATCCGTGGTCTATGCAGGAGTGGATATGACCACTGGAGAGTTACTAGCTGTAACAGAGTGGACATTGAAGTGTGGTAGCACAGGAGAAGCACGTGTAACAAGCGAAGCATCGAATTTACAACACTCTATGAAACAAATTGCTAGCATAGAGCAAGAGCTTAATCATCTTCATAAGTTACATCATCCTAATTTGGTACACTATTTGAACATGAAATATATCCAAGATAAGGATAATATATTGATCTACATTCTTCAGGAATTTGTGGTGTGTAATTATATTCCTCCTTTGATTTCTACATAATTATAAATAATTTTCTAATTATATTTCTCTCAACAGGTAGGAACCACGTGCTCGTTCTATCTAATGGAAAACATTCCAGTTGATATTGACATGCTCAGGCATTTAGCCACTGGAATCCTGTCGGCATTACAATATCTACATGAAAATAACGTAGTGCACAAAGATCTGCGCGACACCAGTGTTCATATAGATCGAACCGGAGCCATAAGGCTGTCTGATTATTCCCTGGACAAAAGATTATCAGATATTTATCGTGCAAGTTGCCTAGCCAAGGCTGAACACGATTTTCCTACCATCCAGGCCAGAAGTGGTAAAAAGGCAGACATTTACAGATTTGGAGTTCTCCTGTTATCTCTATTCAGAGGCAGCATTGTGTCGGAGAAAGAAATTGATTGGAGCGGTGCGCCACAGGTACTCTGAAATCAAGTATTTGAGGGTTTGTAATTACTTGAATTATTAAAAAAATGTCTTTCAGCCAGATTTAAGGGACTTTCTATCGAAATGTCTGACCGGTGACGAGCGTGTTCGTTGGTCGGCTGAGCAATTGCAACAACATGGCTTCATTCGTGTACCACTTGAACGTGGTATATCTCCTCCGAGACTGGATCGCAACAAGGAACAAGACAGTTCGGAGCCAGAAGAACCAGCTTCCGATATTCACTTTTACCTCCCAGCACTTGGTGGTCAATCGCGAATTCAAAACGAATTCGAGGTTTTAAAATGGCTGGGCAAAGGAGCCTTTGGCGACGTTCTCAAGGTTAGGAACAAACTTGATGGAGGTGTCTATGCCATTAAACGCATCGAACTCAATCCAAAGAATAAACAGTTGAATAGAAAAATAACAAGAGAAGTGAAATTACTCTCTAGACTTAATCATGAGAATGTCGTGCGCTATTATAATTCTTGGATCGAGAGTGCTACTTTGGATGATCCTACGAGACACAGTCGATTGACACCAGCGGCTACTCCGTCGACTAAAACTACCAACTTCCATCATATACTAAAGGAAACAACCGTAAATATATTTACGCCAAAAGGATTTATATTTTCAATTATTATACTGATTCGTTTAACGTTATTCAATAGTTGAGTGAAGATATTGAGAGGCTAGCCCCAGCGGTTCACGATGTTGAATGGAATATATCCTACGAGTCTCGAGCTAGTGCAGTCATGTCCAGTGACAGTGAAGAGGATAACAGTGTCAGCTCCAGTGATTCGGACAGTGACGAAGATTGGGCCTTTTTGTAAGGAATAACTATATTCTTACACATGGAAAGATTTAGGATATTATGTTACCAGAGAGTGTCTATCGAGAAAATTATTGATACATTTTAGAATGCGAACCACGGTCGATTCCTCGGATAGTATAGAATTTGAAAAGGACGGTACGTCCCAAATGTCAGACTCCGTTCAAGGTTCCCAAGAAAATTTGTCAAAGGGCGACACGAGTACCGACGTCTCTACAATGGGTAAAGAGATACAATTCATGTATATACAAATGGAATTTTGTGAGAAGAGTACTTTGAGAACGGCCATTGACAATGGCTTGTACGAAGACGAGGAACGTGTTTGGCGTCTTTTTCGAGAAATGGTCGAAGGTCTTGCTCATATACATCAGCAGGGTATGATCCACAGAGATCTGAAGCCTGTTAATATTTTTCTGGATAGCAACGATCATGTAAAAATAGGTGATTTTGGATTGGCGACTACCAATATATTATCTACCTTGGTTCACACTATGGACACTGATCGGGAGTTGCAATTAATTGAGAAAGGTATGTGAATTTAATCACAATCAACGTTCACGTTTGCAAATGGACCTTGTAGTATTATATAAATATAATTTTGCAGGCACCAGCTTCGACCTGGACGAATTAGGATCGTTAACCGGTCAGGTGGGAACTGCTTTGTACGTGGCTCCTGAATTAAGTTCCAAAGCCGCCAAAGCTATTTACAATCAAAAAGTCGATATCTATAGTCTTGGCATTATACTTTTTGAAATGTGTTACAAACCTTTAACGACTGGTATGGAAAGAGTGAAAGTTCTATTGAATTTACGTTCCAAAGAAATTGTATTGCCTCCTGAGCTGACTGAGGCTGACACGCCACATCAAGTTCACCTTCTACGGTAAGTAAATGAACCAGTGTTGCTCAGAGAAGAAAACTGAATGGTACGAACAATTATATTAAAAGTCTAATTTTTTTATTTACCAGTTGGCTGTTAAATCACGATCCTAGTCAGCGGCCTACATCTCAAGAATTATTGGCCTCTGAATATTTACCTCCTCCACAGCTGGAAGAAGCAGAACTCCAGGAAATGGTGCGCCACACTCTCTCTAATAGTCAGAGTAAAGCATACAAGTATCTGGTAGCTTGTTGCTTTGCTCAGGAAGTCACAGCAGCTGAAGATATCACTTACGATATGAATTTACCCTCTAGGGGTATTGCAAATTCTCTCGTACCAAAGACGCAATTTCTTCATGAGAATGTCAAGGCGAAAGTCGTTGAAGTATTTCGTCGCCATGGCGGAGTTTATTTGGCCACGCCACTCTTGATGCCTAAATCTGGCAAGTTTTACAATCTCACAGATTCCTGCGCGAAGCTCATGACCCGTACAGGGAGTATTGTTTCCATACCTCATGACCTGCGTGCACCTTTTGCTAGGTACGTGGCCTGGAATAATATCTTGCACATACGAAGATACGCCATAGAGCGTGTATACAGAGAAAAGAAGGTAAATTGATAATTTCATAAATTCCAGAATTATAATTCTTTGACAATTATAATAATTTAACTGGCTCTATATTTATTTTCAGGTTCACGGATTCCATCCAAGAGAACTATACGAGTGTGCATTCGACATAATAAGTCCCACGGCGAACAACTTAATGGCTGAAGCTGAACTGATAACCATCGTTTGGGAAATAGTAAACGAAATACCTTTACTGCGCGAACGCAATTTCACTGTACGATTAAATCACACTTCGCTTCTGCAAGCTGTACTGATGTATTGTGGAATCGAACCAGAGAAATATCAGGACATCTATTCGATACTGTGCGATGCGCGCGATGGAAAGTTTTCGAAATTTCAAGTACAGACTCATCTGATCAGTTTGTGTCTCACGGACCAGGCCATGGAGACACTTTTCAATCTCTTTGAGACTGAGAGCTCCGTTGCTAAGATAGCCAGTGTACTTAGAACAATTACAAGACGTAAGGGTGACGCTGCTGCTTTAGCAAAGGAGGGTCTGAGAGAGATGGAGATTGTTATAGCCAATGCCGAAGCACTAGGTGTCAAGGTATAATCTCCACTTTACTTTAATTCATTATTTTCCATGGAAAGCAGGAGTCGATATATTATGTTTGATTCCAGTGGCCTATAGTCATCGTACCACTTCTGGTTCACAATGTACAGCAACACAGTGGTGTAATTTATCAGATTACGTGCGAATTGAAGCGAAGACGTAGGCGCGGTGGTCAAGATGTGATTGCTGCTGGTGGTCGTTACGATAAAATGATAATGTCCTTCAGAAAAGTCCTGGAGAGAACCGGGATGGCTAGTAAAGAAGTTAAGCAGTACGGCGTAGGTATCAGTGTCTCTTTGGATAAATTGGTATGTGCCGTAGCTGAACTCTCGGACGATCATTGCGGAGAAAATAAGTTTGGGATAGACGTGGCTGTATGCTGCGTCGACGGTTTACCAAAGAGAGAAAAAGAAATGGCTGACGTACTTCGTGAACTTTGGTCGCTTGGATTAAGCGTAACTTCTCTAGACTTATGTACTGTGGAGGAAATACGTGAATATTGTCAAGAAAATTTGATAAATCATATTGTTATGCTTAAAAGTGGTGAGAAGGGAAGTTTGCGTGTTCAGTCCTGGGAACGTGACAGATTCCAAGAGAGAAAAATTAGTATTCAAGAGATAGGGGATTATTTGCAAAGGCAAACCGAAAATCCACTTCCGATACTGAACAGATCTGAAAGTAAAGTCAGCGCAAACAACGATGCTCCTGCTTCTTCGAATAACCCGGTGAACGTGAATATAAATTTTGTTTTTTCTGAAAGAGATAAACTCTCTGCAAGTGGTAAAAGAAGTTTTAAGAACACGATGTTGGCACAAATGACTTCGTGCTTGCAGAGAATATCATATAAGGTTCCCATCGAAGTATTTGCATTCTTCTTAGAAATGACTGTGTTAAGAACTATGGTCAGCCTCCTTGAGATTGACGAAGAGGAATTGAATTTTCAAAAAAGCATACAGTTGATCATAGAGAAGTGAGTAGCTTCCAAGGATTATCACCTCTAGCAAGCAAAAGCAGGTTTTATGGACTCAGTTAATACATGCTGTCTTTTACGTTACAGACATCCACGACATAAAAAATATATAGAAAAAATTTGTGAGGAATTGAGAGAAGTTCGGAATGAAAAGCAGAGGCCTGTTTTGGTACTCTACAGCTTGACAGAAAGTCGATACAAGATTCTCATGTAACTATACCAAATGTACAAAAAAGTAATGAAGAAATATATTTTCATGATAATGAGTATTATATATTCAAACTAAGTGAATGTCATAATATCCCCATATCAAGGTGCAACCAATGAGATCAAGAATTTCATATAGTTGAAGGTTTCCAGTGCGAATGTTTATTATATCTATTCTCCGAAGGTGTTACGGCCATTAACGCACAATTATTTATGATTCATACTACATACTGTTTTATATAAATCTATTTTTGCTGCTGTAAATAAAAAGTATCAAAGGTACAGTATTCTTTTATTGATTTGGCAAAATATATTCATTCCTGTAAAGATTTTTATTTTCCTAGAATGAATTGTTCGATTCATTTTATTTTGCTTTAATTAATCGATAAAATGATAAAAATCTGGAAAACTCACTAATTTTGCAAAAACTCAGGGTCCATGTAGTGATATGCATATATGTATGGTGAATATGTTAGCTTTGGAGCTTTGAACGTGATGTTATTTATTGGACCCTGCGCAATACGGACCAAAGTACGATCGCTAATGGCCATAAGTACCTCATTTACTTATATCATGGCTTCGAGCAGCTCCGAGTACCCATCAACCCCCGAACCCCCCCAACTCATAACCCAACTGACATTTGTCCCATTGCTTATATATGTATATATATATAAGATTGCAACAAAACACGACGCAGTGCGAGTGCGAACAAGTGTTGTTTCCTGATTTCTCGCTCAAGTGTCGAACGTTGTGTTATTTTAGACAAAAAGTGTGCTTCATGTTTCACGGTGCTATGCTAGTTCCGATTCTCTGTGAAAATGTCGATGCAGCTACAGGTCCTAGAAATAGACGAGTGCATCGTTTCCAGGTTATGGTACACAGCCTGGGCGATTTTACGCATGAAAATTGAGGATCAGTCCTTCAGCAAATATTCCCAGGATGATATTCAAGAGCTGCAAAATCTCGTGAAATCTACTCTGTAAGTACCTAGAGCATAATGGCTGTACGTGAGGTTTATTTGGTCGAAACGTATTGAAGCAGAGTTGCATCGCGTGTGTTGTTTATACCATTTACATTTTTGTAGTTGAAAACTTTCTTGCCTTTCAGAGACTCTACAACTGGGTGGCAAGATCAGTGGATAGCTTGGAAATTACTACAGGAATTGACACGTGAAGACTCTCCAGAAATTCAGTACGAACTCGATAAAATAGAGTTTATTGCTACTCTCAAACTGATTGACAAGTCTGTGTCTAACACTGTAGAAAAGGTAGATTTGCGTAATGATAATCTGTTGAAATGTAAATGGAATTAGATTCTAGATGTTCAATGAATGTTTTCAGGATTTGCTTTGTTTGTATAAATGTATATCAGATTCAAAAAATGTAAGGGAAAAGGTGAGGAACATTTCTCAGGAGAGTATGACATTCCTGGAAGTTAATTTACAAAAGAATCCAGCATTAACGTGTTGCCTGATTCAAAAGTTGCTTTGCATTTGGTCACCATATTTCTCTAAGAGCGATAATGATTTGCAAGATTTATACATTAATGTTTTGAGATCCATTCTGGGAGATGAATTTCTTGAAGAATGTCATGATACAGAGAACCTTTTACTCTCCCGACCATGCAAGGGCAGAAGTATTCTAAATGACAATGATTTAGCAACGTTGTTGAGCATTTTGTCAAAGCTGGAGCTTGCCGAGTCAAAAGAAAACAAGCTTCTAGTCTGGCTGTTTCCAACGTTATTAAGGACATGCAGCTCGCGCGACGTTGAGCTCACGTTCTACTCTAGAAAGACTACGAAATACTTGAAAGAATGGTATAGGTTCCTAGACGAGACTTACGCAACGTGCAAGCCGGCTAATACTTTGCTCGATGCTCTTAGAATTAGTAAAGCAATATTCAATTATGATGGTGATAAAGTTATATCCTTAGATGCCAGAGAATTGTTAGCCCGAGTCATGAAAAGGGAATCACATTGGGTTATAGATATTCTGGTAGGTACTTACTTTGGATACCTATTTCTCTTCATCGAGACATTTACCAATGTTACATCTACTAATGTTACACATTTTAGGATATTTGTTACACGTTAACGACACATGGTCGCTACCACGAGGTCTCAAGTATTCTGTCACTGCCTATGTTAAAATACCTCTGGCCAGCTTTGCTGTTTAAGTTTCTGAATGACTGCCCCAATGTGCAGATCACAAGCTCTGCTGAAAACTGGAAGAAGAGTGTTGACATTTGCGACATGCTCAAGTATCTCCTTGACGAATGCAATTTGAACGCCTGGACAGATACCACGCTAGATAGACTAAACCTAACGTTAAGAAATCAGTTGGCTGCTATAAGGTGGATAGTGAATTCTAAGAAGACAAGTTTCCGGGAAGGAGACTCGCTCGATAGTGTTATCAAGATAAGCAAAGCGGATCAGTCCTTGTCCGTTAAGCAGCTCCTGTCACTGTTACAAAGTCATAACATACTCTCGGTCTTGCACATGACTACCGATATTCACAATAAAGACTTTGAAGAAATTAAATGTCTACTAAAAGACTCTGAAAAGTCAGTCGGCATTTTCGAAGCCTATCGCGCTATGCTGAGTGCACTCAAAGCCATTTTATTCTGCGAATATTATGATACGAAGTTTGAAGAGATAACGATGTACCTTTGCGATATGGAGAAGCACCTGCAATCTTTGCTCCCATTCAGTTTGAGATTGGAAACGATTGAGAACATATTCTCAATGCTTTTCCTGCGTCACGAGGATTTCTCCGATACGGACAGCAACTCCGAAGGCGGCGAAGATGAACCTACCTTGGTATCCTCAGATAAGGAGTTGAAACAAGAAAATAAGATCGCCAACAAATACAACTCGGGCTTTATTTGCAACAGATACGCTGTTAGGGAGATATTGCATCATTTGAAAAGCGTGATACTGGCCGTGGGCATTGACAGTGCTAAATTAAAAAGAAAGACGGGACACTCGGAAGAATTAGAAGAAATTCAAAAGACAATATCAAGGATCTCAAAACTAGTTGCCGACGCCACTTGGCGACTCCAATTACTTACGAGCTCGGAATTCATACAGAGATTCGGCACTCCGAGCACTGAGACGAGTCAGCGCATCCTGGACAACACGGAAGTTTTATCAAATGATAAATTCCATATTTCAAGTCGATTGAAGCAGAAAGCAATATTTTTTACAAGGGATGATAGCTCATCAGATGAGAGTGACTTGAGATCTGAAGTTGATGCCGGTTCAGAGACTGGATCGGCAGGAAATAATTCTAGTAATAATGGAAAGCGCAAAAGGCGCTTTAAAAATTCCACCTCGAATGCAGACTCTTTTGGATTAAATAATCTCAATCAGAATTCACTTATCATTAACTTTATGCTGGCTACAAAGGAGAGCTTCGTTGTGCAATGCTTATGGAAGAACGATTACGATAAAGCTCAGCAAGTTATTGAGGTAAGATTCTATTAAATACCTTAAAGACTCTGGGGTTTTTCATAAATTTCTTATGCCTGCTTCAAACCTCTCGTAAGCTTCCACCTCAAATAACGTAGGAGTATACTTTATCGTTTCGTCGGCTGTTCCTTTGACTGGGACTTCTTGCAAAATACCAGGAGGATATTTCGCATAATATTCTTTTGCGCTTTCAATTCGTTCACGGGGAAAGCAAAATTTACATCGGAAACAGCAACAGCACCATCCTGTAATATGAAAAGAGTTGCGTAACAGTCTGTAATTGTATGGAAGTCTAACAAGGTAATACCTTTCTGACACCAGCATGGTATAGCGATGCAAATATAAATAAACATCCAAATTCTAATGACTATCCACGTCCTGGTTAAAACCTTTTTGACATCGGTTTTGTTCTTAGCATGTTGATAATCAAAGGCCAAACATTCCAATGCCTTGATACCAAATTGTGTCAATTCTTCTTTCGTGCAATTTTTTGGTTTTTTAAGTTCTACAAGTTTCTTTAGTGCATCACCCGCGGTTTCCTCTGGTTCTCCAGTGTCCGTGTAATTGTATGTCTTACTACTATTCATATCATCTTTTATTTGCTGACTGTATTCCAATTCTAATTCCTCATCCTTGTAGGACTCTTCGTCATGAGGTGTAGTTTCCTTTTGACTAATCCATGAATTGTCAATATTCTCATCCACTCTACTGGACTCTTTAGTAGTTTCTAAGAAATTGTAATTCGTTGAAGTTATACCTTTTTCTGAAGTAATATCATCAGGTTTTCCCAAATCATCTTTAGAGTTTTTGGTCGTTGACAAATTTGACATCACCGTCTGTCCCTGTGTTTTTTCAAAATAATCCTCTACGCTGCTACCATCCTTTGAACCCGTAGTCCCTTCAACAGGACCTTTTGTAACAGGATGTCGACCAGTCGTAAATTCATTTTTTACTACTACAGTTAACGAATATTCAGAACTGGACATTCTAGTGGTTTGTTTGGCATTAGTTTCTCCATTTAATTTGGTTGTATCTCGACTACTTGAATCAGTAATCGGAATTCCTGTCGTTCTTACAGTAGATTCCACTTTAACCAATTTTGTCGTCTCTCTGGTGATACTTTCAGAATATTCAACACTCGAAGGTATCGTGAGCATCCCTGTATTAGCCTCCTCCTCGAATTCAAGTCCCGTAGTATTTCTGCCACTCATTTTTTCCATGAATTCGATATTAGGATGTTCAGAAGATACGTAATCATCATCTCTTTTCGATTTTCTATTACTTCTTTTAATTCTTGGCAAATGATTAGCAGGTGGAATTATTTTCAATGCTACGCCTGATGCGTTTCTTTTCTTTCTGTCGAGATTTTCGTTTTCCCCGTGTGCAAAATTGTACTGTAACAAAAGAATCGAAAAGTGCTCACGTTCTAAGATCTAGTAATTAATTATATCGAGCGATACCTTATCCAGGTCCTCTTTGAATCCTGCAATAAATGGCTTCTCGTCATCAATGAAGTTCCCATCGTATTCCACGTTAGCAGGAAAATACGGAAGGAAATCCGAAGATGCTATCGGTACTTCTACTTCACGTTTGTTATAATGCTCCACGTGAGAATGAAGTGGTTTGTATTTCTCCTCCTCCTCAGCGAGCGACTTCATGTCCACCAGGTCTGCCAGATCTTCTGGTTTAATCATTTCGTCTTCGTCTTCGTCGTCGTAGTCGTCGTCGCTCGAAATTTCAAAAGTTTTATGATCGCTTAAGTCTATCTGTCGAGAAACGTGGTAACGGAATTATTATCTCAGTTAATATTCAATGATTATGGCGATTTATTGATTTGTTCACTTTGTACGCAGGTGGCCAGAATCCATGGGAATACTTTGCTACAATTCCTAAGATGATTATCAGCCTATAATACCTATGCATGCTAATTTTCCATTACGTTCTCGATAGTCGTAGAAATATTTTCTCGCCGTTAGCATTGACATTGGTCATTGTCTTTCAGATGTTTAATATGAACAATTCACGAATGGATGGTGTCATCCAGTTTTCCAAAGCTTTGCATATGTTCAGACAGGAAATAGAGAAACAATGGGACCACGTGGACGTTACAGACTCACCCAAAACAAGCTCGAGTATCTCCACGTTAGAGGTGAGCAATTTTTTATTGAATAATATCGAATTTCATTTACCCTCATTTTTATTAATTATATAAACGTATATTTAAATATCTTTCAGAATATAAGGCTAGCTGCACAAGGTGGGATTAAAAGTTCACGAGTGACCTCACTACTGGAGACATTCCTGGCATCTCAAAAGGCAAATGTTCGATTAATAAATTCTGAGGAGCTAAGTAGCAACGAAATATTAACAATGGCTGTAATGGATTTGGCTTTGACCACTGGTCGCACTCACCAAGTATCGATGAATCTTTCTGACGTAGCCATGAAGTATTTGAGAATGTGTAAAAGGCTGGAGAACACAAAACATTCCTTGTATTTCTCAAGAGTATATCAACTGTTGTATGAAAGCAAATTAGAGAGGCCACTAACAGACCTACTGTGCGATGCAAGAGTTCCACTGTCGGTTAAGGCTTGGAAGGAAAAGAATGAATTCTGGACTGAACTGACCCAACAGCTTAGTGCGTATAAACATTCTCAAAATGTAAATCCTGATCGAAGAGGAAAAAATAATAATTATATGCCTGCACAGAAGTGCTTTAAGGATATTATATCTTTATGTGGCAATGGGGAAACTTATCTTCAAAAAGTTCAGGCGCATCTGAAATTACTGAGGAAAATAATGCCTACGTCTGACTCTGGTGACAATGAAATACGTAGTGAAACTTTTATGCTGAATAAATCGCTCGACTCGTACTTCGGCCATCAAATATTTGACTTGGAAGTCGAGCCGGAAAATCTTGAAAATATTGCCAACAGACTTCAAGTGAATTTAGTGCATAGTATTCTCATGAATTGCTGTCCAAAACTTCTTTGTAAGAATAACGTTAAATCCAAAAAAATTTGCTCCAAGTGGGGCTGTATGATACTTAATAAAAGTACAGAGGAAACGGTAAGTCGATCAATTATTTCTTTTTTCAGATCACAGTAATTTAATCGTATTCACTCATTCTGATATTTTCAGACACTGGTTAACAGCGATATTCAGGATCCTAATAAATGTGTTTCTGAGATTCTGTCTGATCTCTTGCAAATCCTTCGTGACTTGAACCCTGGGCAGTCGACAGTGAAGCATAATGCAATGGAAAGTATATCCAAAAATCCAAACCTTCAAAGTGTACTGAGCAAAACCTGTCAGCTTGCGACATTGGATCTTAGCGAACTCTCAGTTGGCAATGAGACACTGACATTCTTCCTGAATACATGGAATCTTTTACTCCTACATTCGATTCTGACTGTCTGGGCAGACGATCAACCATATAATGACCTTAGGCATGACGTATCCTTTATGACTGTTGGATACGAAATTGGAGATTTAGGACTAGTAACATTGTCTGCTCTCAGGTACAAGTTACTTGGGAATTTATCTTGGAATTCGGAATTCTTTCCTCAAACAGAAGAGCTCAATGAATTAGCGTGGCAAGATTTGGATCTGACACAGGATCCCAGAGTAATATTTGCAATGGCCAATGAATTTTATGGAACCCCTCTAGCAAGAGTATTCAACGCCGACAGTCTAGACGAGGATCTAAATTCAGTGGCTCGCTCCTACTTTAATCATTATGCCCAATTCGAAATCGAAAAAGACTCTTCAGAGGAATCAGCCGTACAGAATATTTGTTGGCTACCAGAATTGGTCCACCGTTACCAGGAGTATATTTCTCGAAATTCAAATCCCGAGGGTCACACTTCTTCTACGGCTGTGAATGAGCACCAAATTTCGTTGGACGACTATTTAAATTTATTTGATAAAAATCCAATATTGCGATACAAATCATTATTCTATTTATATGAAATTAAATTAGACTACACGAAAGACACGATGAGTAATGAACATTTTACTCAGGACAATTCAAACGTGTCAGACGAAGTCGACTGGAGTAGCAGAGTAATCAAACCAGGTTTACTCCAATATTTGGAAGAGCATTGTTGGCTCTTGTCATATCTCGTTCAAAGAATTCACGAGGAGAGCCCTAAGATATCTGAGACCAAATGCGACAACCTGAGACGTACTGCATGCTTAGAGAACCTTCTTAATTCACCCTGGGCAAAGACTCTAGCTTGTCTCTACAATGGGAATGAAACCCTTTCTGGTATTCAGGAAAATGTATCTGCAAACAATTTGTGGATCTGCTTTGAGACTTCTTTAAGAAATAACAAATGGTTAGAGTGTCTTGATATCATGAACTCTTTACCAGATAATCTTGTAAAAGGAAACGTCAAGCTGCAGTGTTTTAAGGATAAGATATTGAGCCGAATAATTTCGGGTCAGGTTGACCTTCCGGATAATAACATACTTCCCTACGTCCATCAGATAACAAACATACAAATTTTGGCGCAGACTATTCTCTCTAATCTCAATAATTGGCCTGTTAATGTATGCGAGGAAGCTCTGGTTCATGCGCTACATCATTCTGATAAGGACAAGTTGCCCTTTCATTGTAAACTCGAAATGAATGAGACATTGTGCAGAGTTACAGTATTTCATAGAATGTTGCCTTACTGCACCGGCGAGACAAATGCCAAGAGCACTACCTGGTACGATGTAGCCTACTGCACTGAAAAGACTGATCCCGTACATATTGTTAAGTCACTGATAGATGCGAACAAATTTGAACTGTGCTTGGAGTGGCTGGAGTGTCAGGCATTCTCCTCGGAAATACAATCTCTGGTTACCCAGGATTTACTTATAGGTCTACTGAGAAACGAGCAGAACGACTTCAAGCAAGCTTCAAAGGTAAGTCTTTTAATATTTGTAAATATTAGGAAGATATCTCATGAGATGATCATTACAGCTTCTTCAAGCACTGCCATTGAGTCAGTCAATGAAGATGTGTAAGGCAGTTCTCAGGAGATTGGAGTCCATTCCTACTCTACATTTTGTTATTGATTACTTACTGGAACATTGTAACCCGACAAAGACTGTCAAGTATCAAAAGGCGTCAATAGGTGTGAACATTTTAAGCGAACTGGATGCCAACGATAGAGTATTTTATATACACCTGATAAAAGAACCATTATTGATGTTCGAGCAATTGCTGATGAATGGAAAATTCGAGAACCTCCAGAGAATTCTGAACACCATACAAGTTTATCTACCTCAGGCTGATATATCGACAGAGAATTTTGATAAAATTGTTAGGTACTATGCTGGCAAGTCTCTGGACTTTAGAGTAGCCTTACAGCGTGATGGTATAGAGAATCGACCTCTTGAAGTATCTCTATCTAGTACTGAAGGAACAACTGGTGAATTTGTGATGCCGATAAATGTTCCTACAAAAGAGGAATGGGTGCCGAATGATAAGGTCGAGTAACATTTCTTCTTTATGATGAATTAATTTGTCCACCTGATTAAGTAATTTTATTAATTCACAGGCAAGAGAGTGTAGTTGCTGTCAGACTGTAATTTTCTCCATGTTCAATAGACGACATCATTGCCGCAGATGCGGTCGTGTAGTTTGTGCCATGTGCTCCCAGCAACGTATGAGAGTTTCTGGTTATCCAAATTCGGTTCTAGTACGCGTTTGCGATGACTGCAAAAGACAAACCGTTCTGCAGCTGCAAGCTGCTCAAGGTGCTCCTTCTACACCCAGTAGCGAAGCTTTTGATTGCTGGAGGTTAACAACAGATCAGACTCACAATCAGACACTCAGGGAAGAATTTTCATTCGAACATGCACCAAGTATCTCGTTGTGTCTAGCTATTCTGAATTTACACTCTGATCACGAAGCTTATGCCAGGTAAGATCAATTGTAGTTTGTAATGTTGGTGATCTCTATTGATTTCATTTTTCATACAGCTTTTTACTCGATCGATGCGACGAGATGAAGAGACTTCTACAACCCGTCAGTGGTGGCAAGGTCAATCCTGAGATCGACCATGCATTGATTATCAAAATGATCCGATCTTTGGTAGTTGCTGCAAAAGTGAAGTGCGCCAAGTTAGGTCTGAATATTGAGTTAGTATTTTGTGATCAATTCTTGTCTCAAGTTGACCTCATCACGACTCTGGTTCAATCTGATTGTTTGACCCTGATACCGTCGGATAACCTAGATGAGCATGCCCTGAGAAGACTTCGTGATCTTCTTACCGAGAAGGAACTGTGGACGCTGGCCCTGGACGTGAGCACTAAGTCAGGACTGGACAGACAAGGTGTCTGGGCAGCTTGGGGAAAGGCTTGTTTGAAAGTCGGTTGTTTCGAACAGGCCAGGGATAAATTTACTCACTGTCTAGATAAGGTTTTATATGAAGGAAACGACGAATGGATATTTTTACCCTGTCCAAGTGAAATTTCTGGTGAAAGTAACGATAATGTAGTCAGTACATCGAAACAGCCAAAGGCACCTGATGGGAAATTAGAGAGTGAAGCAAAAAATAATCTCAAAATTCAAAAGAAACATGAAATTCTGAGAAATCGTCCTGCCAAGGACCCACCATTGCTCAGTGAAATTCTACAGATACTCGAAAACTTGAATTTGTATGATCAATCCGGGATTCACGATACACGTGCAAAATCTACCGTCGCCCATGAAGTCCTGAGTACCCTGAATAGTTTGACAGCATTAAGTCAAGGACAGTGCAACGTATCCCATTCTACTTCGATCACAAAAAATATTTATTATCAAGAGAGTCTGTATTATTTATTGATGTATGGTAGTCACCTATCGATCATGGAGTTCTTCGTGAAGCACAACGAGTTTGAGAAATGTCTTGCCTACACCCTGGAGAACGATATAGATCCTGACTTATTCTTTAATGGAGTTTACATACGCTGCTTGAAGAATGGATGCGTTGAAAGGCTTTACGAGTCGATGAGAGCGAAGGATGCGAGTCTTTTACTCTGGAAGAATTATCTAGTCTTCGCCTGTCGTAGCTTGGAAAGGAAACAGTTTTTGAATACGCTGTACCAGCTGCAAATCTTTATGAAGGATTACGTCAGGGCATCCATGACCTGCATTCGCTTTTACACTAATGACGCGACCACCTACACCAATCTGTGCTCAAGATCTCATCTACTAGTCGATGCTCAAAAACATTTGGAAACTGAGCTGCAAGTTGATAACTTTAGCAGAAGCAGAAGAAGAAGCGTGAGCTCAGGCCACAGTGGCCATGGGAGTCTGATTATGGAAATGGAACCTTCAGAAATTGACAGACACGTGAATACAATTTCTAGACAGATGGAGATCACCAAATTTTTAGGTAATGCTGAGAAGGAGGGCAGAGTAGTTAATGCATTTTTGGATCGACTCTTTGATATGGGTAACGACAGTTCACAAAATCGAGAATTGCCAACTCTGTTTGGGCACCAACAACAGAAGACACAATTGGCTGTCCTGGCGATTTTGTGTGGACGGGACGTCGAGGAAGGATTTGGTATTGCTTTCAGGATAATGCAAGGTGATGATTAGCTTTATTTTTTTTAACTACTTATTTGAACTTACTTGAGACCATGCGATTGAAATATTTATTTGCAGACTATAACCTTCGCCCTGAGAAAGTGTACTCCTTGGCAGGACACATTCTAGCTTTGGATAAAAAGCTTCATTCGATAGAACAATTAATAAAATGTTGTAGAAGCTCCGGAGCATCTGATTCTTATGCTATATCTGATCGTGTCTTGACACATTGTGTCAAGATTCTTTTGAATTATACGCATGCTGATCCAAGTTCCACTTTTAAGAATGAAATAGACACTCTTATCCGACTTATCGCAGATATAGAACTTAAAGTAAGTTATATATAGCAATTTATAAATCTCATAAAAATTCTATTGTATAGATATACTAATCTATTATCTTTTGATCTTACAGATCAGTTCTTATATAGAGAGCAGACAGTTGAAAGCTGCATATCTGTTTGCTGTGAAACACGCGCGAGCGCAGGATGTACGAAAAATTTTGAAAGAAGCTGACAGACTTGGACAAAACGCAATCAAGTCAATTTGCATTAAGTGGCTTCAGCACACGCAAAAGACATAAAGCAGATGCAATACATACATAAAGTATATTCCGAAATTTACTGCCAGCACTGCGAGCATGGTTGTGTCTCACTATATTTCATTGCAGATAAACAGGTACACAATGATAGTCGTAACGTTGACAGTGAATTTCGAAACGTACCCGTAGTAATAGAATAGTAACTGATACTTTATTCTTTATCAAGGAATAAATAACTATTCTGGAACAAAAAAGAACAGAATTATAATTATTTTCTGTTTGTTTCATGTTACTATTTATTACGCGTGGAGTAATCGTGATAAGTGTTGGAAGTTAACTTTCGAATTTTTTACATTATTTATTTACGCTTTTTGCGATCACTATCATTATTGACGTAAGAAATCTGAAATTGCATTTGACGCGGCAGTGCGAAGTAACTATTAATGTGATTAGAAGATTTATCGTTTTTACAGTAATTTTTATTATTAGTTACATAATACATAGTTAAATAATAATTTAAGAGACAATATTTTATTTATAATGAAGTAACAATTGTTTTAAATTATCACAACTACTGTTCCATGATATAAACTTATAATAGCGCATAGATGCTACAATTTATTATAGAACTGTGATATATAATATATAAAAGCAATATGTACTAATGATCGACAATTTATTGGAAATAACCTGCCTAATGGTTTAACAAGCTGACTTTATTAAGCTGCCTTTACGTAAAACATTGTGGATATAGGTATTTTACTTTTATATTTTTTATAAACGACCACAATTGAATACATCATCGAACTCTTACATTAATTCTGATTAGAAGAGCGTGTAATACATTCAATCTTATTAATACTCTCTATGAGACAAAACGCACATGAATTCAACATGAAAACTATCGCATTAAAAAAAAATCAAATCAAGGTACTGTTGGATTATGAGAATTAGTCATTATTAATTACGTAATGAGGATTTTAGAGAATATCAAAAAACTTATAACTAATATTTGTCTAAAGAATAATGTGATATTCGGTAGGTTTCAATAATCTCACAATGAGGTAAAAAATACTTCAATTCGATTAAGATAATAGTAACATTTTGTTTCGAGAGCAGTCATTTCTTGCAATATTATTTTCAGTTGTTTTTTGCGTACTTTATCAAAACCATGTATTTGTAACCTGGCACAGTGTAAGAATAGAATGATAGCTGTCTTTAGAGAAAACTGGTTACAGTAGAATATTGGATACTGTCAATATGTACATACATAATGAATATTAAAATATGGAATGTATAATGCTTTTAAAAAGCAGCAGCAGCAACAGACTAGACGAAAAGCATTCCTAGTGGAAACCAACAGTAAGAAAGACTTCTTATCGCCAGCAAAATTGGAATGTAAAACATTCTGAGCTTTTTTCTATAATTGTAAATTTCTTTAAATCTTAGAAAAAAAAATTTAATAGATCTAATCTTGAGATTTCAAAATTACGAAAAATTACATTATTGATGGAAACCAGGTTTATAGTATTTGACAGCATTAATTTCTTTTAAAGTTCCCTTTCCTCTTCACTGCCAACAGTCAACCTTTGCTCGTATTTCTCCCCAAATTTAGGATCCATATTTTTAATGGATGACAACAGTGCATCTTTTTCCTGCTGACTCCAATTTTGGCTCCACTCTTGAAAGAGCTTTACTCGACATTGAAATAAACTTGGTGGCCTATTTGAATCTTCTTTGCAGCCTAAACTCTCCATACCTGATACCAGACCATTTACTAAGCCTGTGGGACTGCACCGTTCCAGCAAAACACTCAGGAAATCACCTCGTTGCATCTCGGACCATTCTTGAAACCATTGTACGACATAGCGTATCTGAGCTTGATTTGAAAGCGTTGTAGACATGTTTCATCTTGAAAAAATTGAATTAAACATCTCACAGTCTTCTCAAATTATTTGAAAAAAATAAACATTGAAATCTACAAACAGACAAAACATCTGTTAATAATAAAATGTAGTATTATTGTCGATCACTATTACTGAGCATTTATGGAATTAACATTGGAATTGTTTTACAGTCATTATGAGAATCTCTAAACAAAAAATAGGTAAACCTAAAGTACACTGTATTTTGCAAACAACAGATAGTGGTAAATGCCGATATTTTAAATTCAGATAGGTTAGAATTTCATATATTTCTACAAGAAACTATTATGAAAATGACCAAAGATTTTATAATAGTACAAAACAAGTGAAATACGTTAACAAAAATTACCAGTTGCGTTGTAAGTAACGTAGCAAGTAGATTACGACGTGGAGTTCTTGTTTTTTATTTACGTTTCCCGTATGACCGTCGTGTTTGCTTGGCACTTGCTATAGAGCACTGAGAAAGTGTCGATGAACCTACTGCGCCTTGAATTTAATAGACAAGGTAAAATATTGTAAAATACGTCGAGCCAATATCACATTAAAAAATGTATTTATAGTATTCGTTTATTAACAAATTTACAAGTTAATTAGTTAATTTGCATTTTTTAGGGTTAGTTTCTACCTCCGATTCCGTAGTAACTTCATCTGAATCGCTATCTGATATGTCGACTTGTTCTGAAAACGAAAAATATTAATAAAACAAAAATACAATTAGTTAACGAAAAACAAGAGAGAAAGTCAATAGTTTCTAACTATAATTGCAAATTTACCGTGTACATCGGTTGACGCCTCGTGTTGAGTTTTCACGAGAGTTGAAAGAAAAGCATTGGTTTTTTGCTGAATATCTTTCACACTTTCGATTAAGCTGGCTAAGCTCTCTCCTTTGACATTTTTTGAGCTTTCTTCAAAGGCACAAGATTTGTTTTGAGATATTTTAACTTTTACACAAGAATCAACCATGATTTCATTATTTCCAAAGCGTCGTGGTTCTCAACGCCGAGAAGAGATTAATAAAGAGGGCTAACCCTCGTATATTTTGTGTTTAAACTAAATGTATGAAAATTCAGTTCCCCCAGAAGTTTTATACTGCTTCCAGCATAATGCGTCATGCCCACTGTGTCCACTAATCATTAGACACAAAGTGTGCTCTGTGCGGTCAACCATCGATAAAGCGATTGTTGAATAGCAATAAAATTATAACATCATTATTCTATTCAATAGATTCCCTCTTTAAAAAGTAAGTTTTGAAGTAAATTTTCAAAATATATAATACTTGTAATTATCGAACATTTATGTCTTGTAACGATAAACGTGATGCCAAGATTTCTAGGACGTTATAAATTTTATTGCCGCATCAAAGTTCTTATTTTAGAAGCGCTCTAATTCGATACACGAGATAAAATTCGCTAGTGGGTGGGCAAAAATTGGAGTCTATAATTTTTTTAATGTCGTCAACTGATATGCAGCTGTGTCCTCGTTGGTCCACAAAGAACCAATATGTAACTGGTAACAGCAGAAAGACAGCTCATACTGTATACGTAGAACGTAGAACGTATGTACGTGCCAATTCATATCCCGAGATATTCCTTAGTGGCCCTGAGTTTTCAAGTCTGAAAATTTCAAATCAGTCAGTCGCGACGTCCAGCGTTGTCCAGTACGCTTACTGAGTAACAAATATTTGTGTCGGACATCGAAATAATCTATGAATAAAACAAGAAGCTTGATCGGAAAATATACCTGAAAATTCGGTCTGTCTCCGCGAGTGACAATAGTGACTTGAACAACAAATAAGCGAACTGTTATATTATAGTACTAATAATGAAATGAATATTTCGAACAGTCATTAAGGTGAGTTTAAGACTGTGTATATCATTAAAACAATGGAATTTTGAATAATCCTCAGTTATATACATATTTGATTGTGATTTAACATCCGGGATGTGCCTAAAAATTAGCGTATGTCAAATTGACTACGCGAGTGAATTGATTAATATAAAATCCTTTTTATTCGGTTTTTATAAGTGTGACTTGTTTATACTAATTAACTGTATATAAACTTTCGATGCTTAGTCATGAGTTTTATTTGGATACATTAATTTTTATAATAAGTCGGTTCAGTCAGTCATTGTGTCGTATATAGTACAAGCGTCTCTTTATAATACTTTGAAAATATTACAAAATTTCTGTCACCTAATTTGAATAACAGTATACTTACAACAAGGATTGAAATTAGCAAAAGGAGAAAATAAATTGCAAAAGTCAACTGGTACCTATTGTTCGTACTCACATCATTGACTCGAGGCTTCAAAATTAACTGTGAATATAGATGCCAAAGGCGTGTCCAAGGATTACAGTACTGAATTATTCAATAAATGATGGCCGTTGTATAAAACTAATTTAGCATACGAGTTTCAATTTTCACATGAAGGTTACTAGCTAAGTATGTGCATCACCCAATATCGTAGAATATTATTATGACAAATTTCACAATTGAACAGCTGCGCCTATAACAACGTCAGAAACATATACTCAACCAATTAAAAGACGGAGTAATCTTTCAAACTCCGATAACACCTGTAAATACATTCCTAACCTTAATGGCATAAAGCGAGGAGAAATCCAAAAAGCTTATAATTTTCTGTATTTAGTTGTAAATGCAGTCGCAAAGTTAAATTATATATTTATTATTATTATACGTATACAATCTACTCACAATACGATCGGAACTGGTTTTACCACTTGGAAATTCCAGATTGCGCAGGCTTGTTGGGTGTGCGTATATCTAATTGCATTATATATATAGATATATGGTCAACAATTTACTTTATATTTAGTGCAGGTGACCAGGAATATCCGAGAAAATACAGACAGGAATAACACATTCATCTGATTTACGTATTCTGAAAGTATATGATACGTATATGCACATGGCAATTGGAAGGTCTTTGTGCGACTTAATTAATGCGGTTGTTTTTTTTTATACTGAAAAGTACAAGAGTGCATTCAGGATTTCTACATATACGTCATACACATCAGGACGACCAATCTATTTATAGAAAACTCCTTTCGCCTTTTATATTCTTGACGTTATTCCTACAACGTAGAAAAATTTAAGAGAATTTCACATCAAACGTCAACAATGTCTTATTATGCGATTTTTTCTTTTTTTCCCCATTGTACTGCAATTCGCAGTATTCTCCGGTACTCTATGCATACTTATACTGTTATAATATGAATTATTGGTGTACAGACATATATATGTTCTCAGGCTTTACATATGGTACACATATGCCATGTACGAATGCTGTTTAAAGCAATAATATCTGACAATTTATTAGCATATTCAAGGATTTCTTCGTTTTATTTCTCTAGAATGTTTTAACTGATGATTGCAGTAGATGAGTGCACAGTTCTTATATTGTTGATAGAATGATATTAATTTAATTGAATTTACAAAGAACGGTTTAGTATTTAAAAAACTGTTACCGATCTTAGTTTAGTTTGAGTTTTTAGATTGATATAAATTGTGTTATTTATAATAAAGAGTTTGCGAATGTCAAGTTACAAAATGTTGACAAGCGATACACTGATTCAGATTTTTCTTTTTTAACTCCAGCTTCCCGATCACCTAATTACGATTGTTTGTAGTATCGATTATTGTGACATTCCTTTTTTCTCGCATCTGTCCTAGTTACGAGACAACGAACTGTTGCGTCTGTGGGTTTGGTGAATATTCCACACGCGAGTTATTTGAAAAACATACTACTATCTAGTATCGAATAAATCGATTTGGCAAATATTAACTTGACGTTTGTGAATCCGCTCTTTTCAAAGAACGTCGATCGCATGGGGTAGTTAAATACCCCAGCTAAAACTTTCATGCCCCTGTTCTCAATAAACGCAGATATTTTAATTTTTCTTTTATTATAGATTGAATGAAGTCTTTATACTACCCATTGATTATATTATTCAACTTAGTAATGATATATGCGTTTGCTAGTCACGGGACTATGATCTGTTTTGATATTTTAGTGGTATATACAGAAATAAGATGCTGAGATTTATTACCCCAAAGTTACCAGTTATCAAATGAGGTAGAAGAATAAAAAAGAAATCAATTGCTATGAAATGCTTATAATTTCTATTATTATTTACATGAAAAGTTGGATAAAGATTGCAACAAACTTGAGGAAATGAATTTATTGAGGAAATGTATGATTCTATTTGTCTCATTTTCAGGACAATCAAAATGCCAATTTTATCAGAAATGTCACAGAGGTTTATCAATTTAACTACTGATGCGAAACCAGATCCACCACGAATTGTCGTGGAAGATGAAGGATATAAGTTAGGTCTATCGTCTCCAGAGACTAAAATAAATTCAGCACCAGTAACGCCTGACATTGAAAATGGTGCGAAAGACATACCGGAAGTTATCAGGAGGCAGAAATCAGCACCGGAACCAACTACTTCAGACAGCGAATTTCCAAAAAGTCCGAAGATTGGTCATTCGAGTACAGCAGGTTTTGAGTTCAGATCAAAGAGTCCACGAGGAAAGACGAAGCCCAAGTATAAAATACGTAAGTATTGGAATTGGTATAAAGATATAAATTATAAAAAATTATTAATTGTCTCTTTCAATATTTATGTTGATCTTGTTGTGTCTGTTGCAGCGCAAAGCGCAAATGTCGTAAATTATAATATAGTTAATTCAAAAGGAGTGACCATTGGCTCCAGGACAAGTATCACATATAACAACTTAAATCAGTTTAATAAAAATACCACAGTAACGCCAAAATCTTCTACAATGAAGGCAAAAACTAAACCGATGCCTGAAAGTGTTGAGGAACTCAGCATGTGTAAGGAACAAATTAATCTTGACGACATGTTTCTGATAAAAACTCATATTGGACATGGTTGGCGTGATGTAGCTAGACGTCTAGGCTACTCCGAAGGACAAATTGATCAGTTCGAAGAAAATCATATGGTCAAAGGCATCGATCAGGTAAACTAAATAGGTCTACTGGTAAAGACCATGAAGTTTTCTTTAACTCATAATTCATAACTTAAGAAAATGTCGAGAAAAATAGAACACAATAGAATTCTAAAATCAGTACTATAAATAAAATTAAAGACAATAAAATTCTAACAAGCGCTATTCAGTCTTGCTAAATATCTTTAACCATTTATATAATATTAGAATATTCTTCAATAATTTCATAACGTCATGCTGTCACAGTGTTTCTACGAAACTAATAAACGTAAATTTATGCGGAAACAAATGGATGAATGACCTTGAGGTTTCTTGTGCTAAGAACAAGTCTGCTTAACTGTAGAATGGTTTAGAAAAAGTCATGTTCTCGCTAATGCTAGTCGTCCTGCGAATATAAAGTACATAATGTATGGTCCCATCTATAATGAAACAAGGATAGGATAAGCATGCTTCTGAAGGCAGATAAGAAAATAAACAAAAATAGAAATTAATCTTGACTATCTTTTTCAGACGCCTCATTTATTTGATAAAGAAGAGTGTATCTCTCTCTCTCTCTCTATATATATATATATATATATATATATGCACGTGTTATACATCACTGTATCAGCCTTGCTTAAGCATTTATCTAAACTGATAACATTAAAAACATTATGTTCATTTTATTTTTATAACTGATTAAACTTCGGAAATACTAAGTGTCTCGTTTATATGACACTTTGATCTCGTCTCAATTGTGTGACATAACATATTTATTCTGGCTTACATTTTGATGCATGTACTAAAGTGCAGCCTGTAACCCATTGGTGGGTCAGGCTGGGTTTAACGTGCTAAAATGATTCTATTTAATCGGTATGACTTGTAACAAAGAACAATACACTTCTATTAGTTATGGCAATACAATATTTGTATATTATAATAATTTATAGTGATAATTATTAATTATGCTCAATTTAGCATATTTCACATATTCGATATTATAGACGTGACTCTGTATATAAATTTGAAGAAATAATTTTTTTAATTTATACACAGTTGCGAACGTTTCTTTTTTCAAGGCTGGCACTAAGGCATATAAGAATGTCGAGATAACTTTTATTTGCTACATACTTAACCGCTCTATAGAGTTATCAGTAAACCGACTATACCCATTTGTGTTCAAGACGCGTATCAAACAATTTACACGTGATTTTCTAAGAAATTCTTGCCAATGAGAAACACATGGAATTCATTCGGGCAGAATAATTTCGCAATATATCACCTGACTAAAAACAAAAGGCCGGGTGCTTCTGGAAAATCCTATGTTCATACGCCCTTTTCTTTTCTGTTTTATTACTTCTGTGTCATTCTAATGTAACGTAATATTTGATTCCAATTAAAGTATGACTTCTTTTTGTTTTCAGGTCATTTATCAAGTGCTACTCGATTGGAAGCAGACGAATACGAAGGACGCTCGACTTGGCGACTTGATTTGCATAATCTGGTCTTGTCAAGAATATGATTGTGTGGAAAGATTAGCAGCCGCGCGCAAGAAGCCTTCGTAGCGCGTATTTAGAATTTCTAAATAGCATAATTGTATATATTCAGGTCAAATGTACTACCTGAAGTTAACCTGTCCATTTGATTTCTATGTACAAGCACCTTCAGGTAGTTTGTTTGTACGGAATAACTCCTTATATTTTTCGTTTTGTTATAATGAACGCATTAAAAAACTAAATATAAAAATTCATGCTGAAGCGTGAGCATTTGTTATAATAAATCTTTATTTACCTGAGTTATTTCAGGTACGGAAACTTTGACTTAATTTTTAACAAATGAATTAAATACTTTTTACTTTTCATTATTTGATATTTCAAAAATGTGTAATATCGGAATACACTTAAACTTCCCGTTGAGGGTTCAGAATTTTTTAAGATTCTACGCATGAGCTCGATAAAGTGTATTCTTTTTGACGTTTACTAAAAAATATATTGTTAATGGCATTATCTGTGTTGAAATGCTTAATGCAATGTATTACATTTACTTTAATTATAAATAATATTTATCAATAATTCTTCTTCGACTGTTCGCATTTAGAATCTAAAGTGCTTGGATAACAAATCTGGCATGTTGATTTATTTCTTATTCTCAATTACTTGTTACTCAAACTATTCCACGTGCTTATATATAGTAATAAGTAGATTTGCAATATAAGCGTGTAAAACGAATTTTTAGGTTTAACTCGTGGCTATAATTTTATATCTGAATAGTATACATGGAACGTATTAGGTGATATAAAAGGAAAATTTGTCAATGTGATATTTTTAGACTTTATTATACAATAGAATTATTTGTAGGACTTAACTTTCCATATTGGAAATTAAGAATATTGTTATACCATTTGTGTTACATTTTTGAATAGACGTAGACACAGATTTCAGTCTTTATTGTCATTGTAAGATTAAGATTAATGCATTACATAAAGAATAAAGTAATGGTTTTGGAAAGTTGCGCAAGTTTGTTTCCTCAACCTCAAGAGATGGATCCTTTACATGGTTCATTTATTTTATTTGGAAGGTCCTAGTAACTTTAATCAATGTTATTTACTCTTCCCAACAATATAATGCATTGGTCACTGGTCGCAGAATTATGTCTAAAACGTTATATGGACTTATACAATGTTACATGTAGTTGATATCAGAAATAATTTTTGTGCATCAATATTCTGATATATTTTAATTTTTCAGCAAATTCAAATTCGGTTTTCAAAGTTACGTAAAAATATCAAATCGAATGAAGTGAATATACTGGCAGAATTTTTTTATAACGAATAAATGTCTAAGAAATTTGCAAATACAATGCAGTGAACAGTGTAATCGTGATAAAACAAGTATTGATAAAAGCATTTTTTTAAAATCAATTTAATCGACATTTAATCAAGCACGAATAAATATTATAAAGTAATATTGGCTAAGTAGAATTACAGTTATTCTTTTGTATCAAATGAAGCAGGAAATGCATACATAAGTGTATTTTCTTGAAATATAATATAACTTACTTTATTAAGTGCAAGTGTTAAGTAAAAAAAAGAAATAATATGATATACAACATATCTTATACGTGCATGTTAGATTGTTATTTCTTTTCTCTGATTTTTTGCAACACGGCCATTGCGAAATCTTTACAATCAACAACTCGTCTCATTGGGATCATAGTACCATACGAAGTTCCAAAATATACATATAATTCGTTAAATGTTTCAAGATAGAAAGAATTGCTTTTTTTAAATACTACCGCCGACTTGTAGTTTCTTTGGCGTTATGTGGACGGGCGATGATTCTTCTGATCTGCACCGTGTTCCGTTTTCTAGCATTATCTCATCAGCTTTAGTAAAGAAACCCTCTTTGCATTTTCTCACCTCGGCAAACATTTCCTCGATACTTTTATCGCCATTTAATGTAATAACAGGTGCTGGCAATGAGAAGAGCGTACGGTGGTATAGCCAGTCGTCATGTATTTGATGCACTTGTTGCAGATATTCTAATGAGACAGAACACTCTTCCTCGCGAGCACGCTCTCGCATTCTTTTGTACACAACTTCTGGTGTTGTTCTCAGATAGACTGTTTTGGCAGAATAAAGAAAATAGGATTATTAGTGTGGATCAGTAGCAAATCATATTGATTAAATATAATTAACATTAAGTATTACTTATTAAGTCCGTTTTAAGTTTCACGTTTGTGATGCACCAATTGTACCATTCTTCCAGGACTACTGATTCTACGGGCCTCAGCATTTTGGTGCGCTTCATGTTCTCAATGAAACATCTAGCACTGAATACTGATCTTTCCATTATTTTATAAGGTGTAGGAGTCTCTATAGTGTGTAACTGTAGCATGGTAAGTTGCACATAAGACTGAAATAGACAAGCATATTGTCCTGGATCTTTGTACATCAACTCCTACAAAGAAAAAAATAATTAATATCGTATTATTAAAATGGAATGTTATTTTCAGGAGTAAGCATGTTACCAGCAAATTTGTTCCAGATACATTGCGCCACAGCTCTACAGGCTCTTGTAATACAGTCGTATCATTATACTGTTTAAATTCATTGATAAATGTTGTTTTGCCGCTGCCTATATTCCCTTCTATACACACCGTGAATGGGCGCTTGTAAACTGCAGATGGTATTATGCTCATTCTAGCAAATAATTTAAGTATATGTTTTCCTGGATAAAAAATAATCAAGATTACAGTTCTTCTTGTATGCTTCGCAACAACATAGTGAGTAGAAGTTTCGCAATAAATGATCAATATCAAAATATCCATTCCGTAATAAGAATATGGTATCGTCATACAGAAATATGTAGATCAATCGATAAATAATCATATTTAATATCACAATATGAAATGATTTGAATAGACTCATATTAAAAAAAATTGACAGAATGCATGCAGCAGCTAAGTATATTACTAATTAGACATTAAGACAATAACTGCTATTATTAACTGTTTAGCAATACAAAAATAAATGACGTGTACAAATACGTTATCAATAAGGATTTAAAAGTAACATTATTTTTTGAAAACACTATGAATTAAACTAATTCCATTATTCATTATTGTCGATTATATGACACAATAAATATCATATAATATATTAAAATAGTTTTAAGATACAATAATATTTAAAGTTTAGGGTCTAACACTATCTGATAGCTGCGAGTACAGGACGCCACTGATTTTACGTTTATTCCAAGTGTATAGAACAGGAAAAGATCAAGAATGGATATACATATATACAATGATCCTCTATTTACCGCCAAATTTATAGCATTTTCCCGCCAGAAAAAGCTTAAGCACCGTTCACCCGTTCATACGTGATATATGTTAAGTATGAATTTCAAATTACATTTACATTTTTTAGTTTTTATGAAAATATCGATAGCCTCTTGATTATTGTGCTCGCTTTTATTAATAAAGGATTAAAATCTTACTATGTAGGATGCATAAAATTAATAATAAAAAATACGCAATTATTTTGGTTATTGCACATGCAAACGAAATGAAGTAAACTATAGTTTTAAACCAAATACCAGTTGTCATTGAAACATTCAATTATCAATTAAAGTTAATACCGTATTTAGCTTTATCGAATAATTACCGGTGGTGTTCATTGTTGAATGTTAAAGCAAAATTTGGAACGTTATATTAGGTTAGATTTTCTTCTATCAGAAACATTGTAACACTTTGTATTTGCGCATGCTTCATTATACGCTGACATCGCTGAGATACGTTTATACCCGAAATAAAGAACATGGATCGTGAAATAGATGCACTTTGATATATTTTATAATATTTCAATACATCTTGAATATTGTTATTCTTTGCCATAGTCTCATTGAGCGACTGGCCATTTAAAAGATTAAGTTTTATATGAATTTGAATGATGATTTTATAATAAAGGCTTCCTCGATGTAAGTATGACGTACACAGATATTACGTGATGTACTTTCATTTAATTCTCATGCAGGGATTTTTTATTTAGGAGTTTAACAAACCGAAGAGGAATAAACAGCTGTTTATTGAACATTTCGTGGACATGTTTATAATGGCTACTGTGGGGATGTCGTGGTGTTCCGATTGCTGTCAAATTTTTTAATATGCATGATTTGGAGAGTGCAGTATGTTATTAAGTAGAGTCGATATTAGCTATTGTCCGGTTTAACGTCTCAGCCGGTCTTTTCAAATAAAGCACTGGAGTTCTCTGAAACAGAAATATGGCTCAGTGTAAGCTAACCCCACGAGAATTTATCAGCAATGCTTTTTCGCCACAAGTTGCTGCAGTTTGCTCTGCATCTGCCGAAGCTACTTGTCAAAAGAACAATTTATCTTTCATTGAACTCCTTCAGCCTTTCTGCAAACTCAACACTGAAGGTAATCATTGTTTGAAGTCATTGGTCTGAGTCATTAGTGTGAGCCAGATTAGCCTTGTATCTAGTATGTTTTATGATAGCTCATTTATCACGCTCTGATAATTGGGTCACGTTTGCAGGACACATCAAGGATCCTCAAGGAGTTTCTGTAGTCGTACGTAATCTTCGTATATCAGTTCAGGATGTAAATGTACGTCCACCACAGCCTACTTTGGCTAGAAAGATGCTAAATGAATCTGTTAGTTCTGTATTATGCGATCGTACTACTGTAGTTCGAATAGGAACGACTGATCTGAATATTCCAGTATCTGTTCCTTGGTTCGAAGCTTGGAGAGAAATGTTTCTTAGTGTTCAATTTCCATCCGATCATGAATTCACCAAGCATTTTCTAGCTTGTATGATTGTTGTATCAACAGCGGATGATAATCCGTTGGAAAAAATACAGCATATGGGTGCGCAGTTGCATCAGAGTGTGCCTGGAAAGTTGCCCAAGTGGTTCAACAATAATGCTCTCAGATATTATATCCTTATACATGATGCAGGCCAGGATGATAGAAATAAGTGAGTACTTTAAAGATATTTATACATTTAACATAGACATCTGATATTCTATTACTACTGCATACAATAACTAGTATTATGATGTTTTACACAATTTCATTAATTAACATTAAACTGATATTGAATATAATAAAGAATGATGCCTGTGGGTTTTAGGGCTGAAACTGTCTTTAATGAAATGAAAAATATCTATGGTTTGAACAACTGTTTCTTATTACAAATGAACTCACGACCTCCAGGGCCATCTGACGATAGTACACACTTACCCGATCCATGGAGTCAATTTTTAATTAAGCACTCAGATATCTCCGGTAGTAGTGAACAAAGTAGTTCACCCCGTACGCCAGCTGACACCAGTGGTGTTTCTGCTATGCCGAATGAACTCACAACTGATCAGTATGTATTTTCACACATAATCCATATTTCATCTGTAACCTAATCTACATAGCACCACGTTTAATTATTTTATAATTCTTTGCGACATTCTTTACTTTGAAAACCTTAAGTCACAGACATTATCGTGAAAACATATAGCATAATTATACTTCATCTTTACATTAGATCTAGTCAAGCTGGCACTCCCGTAGCACCTCATAATCCAGTCTTGGTATCACCGGATCAGGCAGATACTATAAGCCTGTCATCTGAAGTATCAGAGTCGCCTGGAGTTCACTTGGAAGTAGGACAGGAAGCAGTTCCAGTGACGATACATCCACTCAGTCCAGAAGGCGAGAAGTCGTACAGCATAAACACCATAATGAGTTTCAAAAGTCAATCAGAAAATCGATCACCGATCAATGCTAATGTCTGGGCAGATTCACCGAATCGCCCTGCTGCTCAACACGGGTCATGGCTCTCGGTTCAAGACTTAGAACGATTACGAATTCTTACAACGGAGTTTTGCCTAAAAAGTTTGTTGCCTTACGTCGAGAAGCAGATTGGTCTTTTGAACGATGTCATTTCAAATAAAAAGGGCATGAGTCGCTCTCTCTTCAGTGCCACTAAGAGATGGTTCGGTACGAATAAACCAGGAACACCCGGGTCGGCGCCGACTAACGCAGTAATGTACGCTGAATAAAATGAATACTACTTTATTCATGATTCGAACACGTTGAGTATACCTTTTACATGTTTTTAGTTACACAACAGAATCGCCTGAGTTGCAACTTCGACGTTTGGGTGACTTGTGTTTCATGTTTGGCCATTATTCGTTGGCTTATCAAGCGTATCACAGTGCGAAACGTGATTTCGCTGCGGATCAGGCTTGGCTATATTATGCTGGTGCTTTAGAAATGGCTGCCCTGAGTGCATTTATGCAAGGCGAAATGACACGAAAAACTATAGAGTATATGGACGATGCGATTTTAACTTATTCGAATAGCTGCAAACTGCCACAATTTGCTACCAGGGCAACTTTGTTCAGTGCTGAATGTTTAAAAGGTCGTGGACTCTATGGTGAAGCTGCCAAACAATTAATTCGTATGACTAGCGAGGATTCAGATTTACGTTCTGCACTTTTACTTGAACAAGCAGCTTATTGCTTTATTGTTCCGAAGATGATGCGTAAGTACGCATTTCATGCTGTACTGGCTGGTCACAGATTCTCTAAAGCTGGACAGAGAAAACATTCTTTAAGATGTTATCAACAAGCTTATCAGGTAATGATTTGCATTCCTTTTTTCTTTCTATGTTAAGAAATTTCTAGTAGTTAAAAAGTAGTTCACGTAATATAAATTATTTTAGGTCTATGATGGCAGAGGCTGGTCCTTGGCAGAAGATCATATTCATTTCACAATAGGTAGGCAAGCAGCATCATTGAAGCAGGTTTACGAGGCTGTTAAGGCATTTGAGAAATTGTTAAGCGCCTCCAGTAAACAGCCTGCGGCACAACAAGCTGCTTTCCTTCGAGAATTCTTGCACATTCACAACGTACGTGATTTTTCCTCATTAAAAATTACTAATTAACAACGAAGTCAATAGTAAATAGCTCAGGAATGTTGTCATTCCAAATGAGACTGTTCAATCCAAAAATACGGAAAACTTTTCGGTTTCTTAAATAAATACTCTGTTGCAGTTGTTGTCTCAGGAAGAAACCATGGATCGGAGCGTGCTTCCTATTTTGCCACTTCCGCTTATAGACGGCAATCAAATCAAAGTATTGTTTGGTCCTTCGGTCAACGTGTCTGAGAATACAATAACAGCGAGTCATTTGTCATTCGAAAATCCAGACACTGATGATGCCAAATGGGCCAGACTCGAAGAAATCTTATTAACCGAAGCACAAGGTTCGGTTCCTATGATATTTAAGCCCACCACTTCTCTCTATTCAAATAGAACCAACAATAGTATCAAGCCGAATGCAATACTTGAGGAGCCAGTTCACTTCTACATCGAATTGCATAATCCCTTGCGTATACCATTGCCATTATCCAATGTAAAATTATTATGGTCATTTACGAGCAATGACGAAGAAATCGTCACTAATGAAAATGAAATGGATGACAGTATGAAGTCATTTCCTGTTGACACACAAACCATTGAAGCTATTGTCTTGCAGCCTGACTGCAGACAATTTGTTGTATTATCTTTGAAGCCTAAACAGATTGGTGACATTAAAGTGATAGGATTGAGTTACACCTTATCAAATCCTACGAGTACGGTGGCTGATCAACTTGTTGTTAATCCTTCTGTTAGTATATCTGGAAAAAGATTGTTCGATATAAAAGGTCCCAAGTTAAAAAATATTAAGGAAAAACCTGGAGTGAAACTGTACGGTGAAGATTATAGGCTGTATATGAGAGTCGTGGAGAAGGCGCCTTTTATGCAGGTAACCTTTCTTAATTTTCAATTATTTCTTTTTGCAATGGATATTCAATGGGATTGTACTATTAAGAGCTTTCTTTATTTTAGGTATCTTTTAGTAAATTGTCTCCAGAAATGTTATGCGGTGAGATGCAGAGGGTTGAAGTGACTTTAAAGAATATTGGCCACGCACCCTTAACAAATCTGTATATTGGTACTTCTAATGCAAAACTCTTTTCATTGGAAAATCAGTTAGTCAATACGGATAATGGTAAGTATTTGATTAATGGGAGAGTTTGTATTATTAAGACTGGAATACCACTTAACTAAATTTTGAGCAATTCTTTCAGTACAAACAGGAAAGAGCCGACGTCTTATTACAAAAATACGATTACCCCCGTCAACTGGGGGAATCTTGAATGTCGAAGAGACACACAAAATGCCGTTATGGATACGTGCTCCTCACGAAAAGGGAACTCATCGTCTGGATTTACTTTTCTATTATGAAAATCCCGAGGCGAATAGTATACCAAAATATAGATTGAGTCGTCAGACGTGGCAGCTGACAGTCTTAGATTCTATACAGATAAATGCAATTGCTCATAGAAGTGCTGTCAATCTGGAGAATTCCACAACGTTAAATATGACAATTCGTGTAAAAAATACAAATCAAGTTCGCGATCCTTTTATTAATGAAATTGCCTTGACTAAAGTATCGCTGAAAAGTGATTCTTGGTACTTATGTAATTCCATGTTAGCACCATCAGACGTGAAGATGCAGCCTCAGGAATCTGCTCATCTGTTGCTCAAAGTTCGCAGAAGAACAAAAGATGAATCTATTTATTCAGACGTGGATTTAATTAAGGTGGATAAAGATATAGAGTCCGTAACCGATTCGCCATACATTGACTTTGTACAGCGACGGCTAATTACGCCATTGGATTTGAATGAGAATTCAAATGAGTCTCAGCAGCAACAGCTACAACAGGCCAATGCAGATAACAATTCTCTTTCTGGTACTATGAAAATTGATGCTGTCTTAATTCTCAGATGGAGAGCTAGAGTCACGGAAGGTTCTACACGTCAGGCCATAGGTCAACATCATATAGATTTGGAATTTCTTAATAAATTGTACAAACATCCTGAAGTGTCACAAACCGAGCAAAACAAGTACGATGGAAACTTGAAAATTTTTGGACCTGATAGGAATGTTGCTGATTCGACAAGTATTGTCAGAAAGAATCAATACTCGGAGCTTACATGCAAACAAAATGTTGTTACGTTTAATCTGAATCATGTAAGACACGCTGCACATAATTTTGCAAGGAATCGCCTGTGCATAGTCCCGGTTTTAGTAAATATGCAAAATCATTCACAATCGGCCATTGAGATCAAAGTGAATACTATAGGAACTAGCAGGTAATTGTCAATGATTTAAATACTTTATTCTTTTAGTCTTATTCCTATTTGTGATTGATATGGAATTCGTTCTGATTGTCTTTTCAGCAATACTCAATTACCAAATATAAAGTCTCAATTATATCCACGACAAGCTTCCTCATTCTTCAGGTACATTAGTCACACGGCAATAATTTGCCAATTAGATCCGTACGGATCAATCGCAGTAAAACTACAGGCTGTACTTGCATCTCCTGGTACTTACGATTTAGCATCCAGGGTAGACGTGTCAGTAAGAGTTGCAAGTAGCAATGAGTTTGTCCCTCAGAAATGGCTAATGGAGAGTGTATGTATTGTCAGTGATGATAGCCTATAGAATAAAAATATTACAAACTTTAGGAATTCCAGTTTAATCAACTATACGAGTTTGATCATCAAATTCAATTCCAAGATCATTCCTTAGTCAATAGATATCTGATTCATCCAATGACATACATATTATTATAATTAATCAACACTTTTATATTATTCTATCTTCTCGTAGAAGCTTAAACTCACCAAGAAAGTTTCTTGTAACTCACGTAACATTCTATTGATTATTATTTTTCATTTGTACTACGCATTCTAACACTTCTTTCACAAGGACAATGAGAGACAGAAAATTAAAAGATTGGATATTACTAAATTCAATTATATTCGAAAGTTCATTAGTGTTAAAGAAAAGTATCTTTGTTATTATCTTTCAATATTCGCAATGACAGACTAAAAGATCAGATAGTTCTGCAGAAATAAATACGACTGGGTCGATCAGGAAAGAATGTCAGTTTCGAAACTGTACAAATATATATCGTCGTTACAGTCGATAAGCTTTATGAACAGATTTTGTTATCTTACTTCCTAATCAAGGTGCTTGCGTAATTACTTTAATATGGTATATTGAATGGGCCTGGAACAAGGGCAACTCAAAATTATGAAATAAGTATAATATGTATTTTAATGGACGAACTCTACTAGATAAAATGTATGTTACGAAGGAATGATAAATAGTGGAATTAATAATTCCAATTTTACTAGTTATGATCCAATTAATAAATTCCACTCTACGCAGGAAGCAATAGGACTCGAGGGTCTTTTTTTTAATATAAGCTTACTCTATGACATAGTGTCTTGTACAGAGTGGTCTGCAACATCATTGTAAATAATCCTTCATATAATAATTTTTTTGGAACAGATATAGTATTAATTGGGCCTTACATTTTTACTTTCATTCTCTCTCCTCTCTCTCTCAGTCACTATTATTTGTCACAAATGAAATAGTACATTATCAATTTATAGTGCCTGGGATATTGGGTAATAGTGCCTGGAATATTGGGTAATAATGCCATATCATTCACTATTTGTAATTTATAAACAAATAATAGATGAAAATGCAGTGTATTTGTCATGAGCATGAATTATTCTTAATTTAAATAACCAATAATAATTCTCCAGGTTATAGCAAAATTAGGTAATACTATCACACTAAAGATGATTATCTTTGTGCTGTGCAATGAAATGTGAATGATTTTATTTTGTTTTGTTTATAAAAACTTGTAAAAATGCAATGCCCTTTGTTAATGATTTTCGCGTAGGGAACTGTTTAATAACAACAACAAAATATCAATATGATTGCGCATATTGGTTTTATATAATCTGAATTCATTATACAAAGTATTTGAATAATATAACAGAAATACCAATTATATATAGTTATTTAATTATAATTGATATCGTTGAATTTTGTATAGTCGCGCTAAATATGTTTCCTGTTGAAGGTATACTTCGCGGAAGAGCGCGAACTTCCCAATTTCTTCAAACCTAAGACGCGGGTGAAAGGTCAAATGGTTTTCGAGATTCTATAAATTATGTCAGGTCGTTTAGAACAAAAAATCAAATATTAATAGTAACGAGTAAGAAATTTTGACATCGGTAAAATTCAATAACATAAATCGTCATTCGTCAATAATTTATATCATGTGTAAGAATACGTGTAAATAATATATTAATAAAAAATAATACGTTCTTGATATTCTAACAACAAATTTAATTATCGACCATTGACAGTGGCTGGGAAAAAATGTGAACACATTTAAAAAATCATTGCTTTTATTGCTAGTCTAAGAAAAAAACACAAATATGAAAAATACAAAATTAAGGTGTCTATATATCTAGCAGCAAGATACACCAATGATTGTCACAGACATACGCAATACTTTTTCATTTCTTGTTGAAATTCTTATAATTGTACAACAGTTACGATCTTCAACCCAAAACCAGCAACTTGAGTTTCTTCAGTGCCAAAAGTTTCAATAAAACAGCTCTATCCTCAGCTGGACCATTTTCCAGATATCCTGGATTCGAAGGATCAGAATCTTCGATCGGTGCGGCAAAGCTCATGACAATGACAGCCAGAATCATCAGAGCGAACTGTGTAAAGATAAAAAAAAATATTAAGCATGTACAGGCGAAATTAATATTTGAAAAATATAATTACGCGCTAAGATTTAAAAATTCTTTATACTTACAATGAACAGTTTCATATTGTCAATATATTAAACGTAGATCACAATTAGATATATCCTCAGACACTACCGGACAGTTTTCTTGTCAGCTTTTACGAAGGATGCCTACGACTGAAATATGTAATGAAGGTGCCTGATTTTATATCCAATATTGACACTCCCACTCTTGTAAATACGTATTTCCCAAATGGTCAATAGTCATGGTCATTCAGTTTTCTTACCTGAGGACTTAACGGCGCTTTCACAGCTTTGCCGGATTAGTCGTAATTGTATGTTGGAAAATTCAGAAAAGCCAGACTCTTCATTGGTTAGATTTGTTCGATTTTCGATAAGTTTTTCTTATTCCCATATTGGCATTATATCCCTTAAGGAGTTAAGTGCCAGATTTCTAACAAATTACGATTATCAGGGCGAAATTATGAAGACGCTCTTAGAATTTCAGCAAACACAAAGCAACATGTTACAATTGCCTATTCACTGATGTACATACAGTTAAATACGTGATTATTTTCAAAGAATTACATCCTTGACTAGAAAATTTTTATATTTAACTTTCACCGTGTGTTTGCTATAATATCACTTCTTGTATTAGACTTTCGATTCTTTCTTCCTGTACGGGAGTATCTAAATTCCATAATCATCTTTGGACGTCGCCCAGTGATTGACCTTGTGAAAAATGTTAAGTATCCTGGTACATACATCTTCATTTAGTATCTCATAAGATACTCCCTTCTAATTTATGATATTAATAGGCATACCAATTTTTGAGTACATAAGAAAATATGCGAATATTTAATACTTCTGGTACAACTGATAGAATTAACTTGCAAAATAGTCACGAGGTCATCCATCTGAAGAATTGCCCATTCATATCTATTCTACGCGTGTACTTTTTTCATATTCAAACAGTACAAGTACTTTACGTATTACCAGCTTATATAAATATTTGACATCTCGTGGTGTTTCCTAAGATGGAATATTTATCGTTGGCATAATATACATATCTATTTTCAAAACTCAAATTCGGCTGATAAATCCTAAGGATGTTTTCAATACGCTTTGTCAGGACTCATAAATAGGCATCAGAAACGGGACATCCCATTGACATCTTATGCTGCCCGGGAAACAATCAAAACCGTCTATATACATATAGTCTATATGTATAGACGCATTTTTTTAAAGTGAATTAGCGTATATTAAAAATAGTTTCATTAACGAGTTTACAGGAAATTCATAAGATAATTAAAACAGATTATTTTTTAATTTTAATGATACGACCTATTATATACATAAAATCTTAATGCATTCCTCCAAGAATGTTATTCACCTTTTCATAATATAACAAATGCCGTCAATGTCAATCAATGGTGACATTAATACTGTACTAAGAAATAATTAAAGTTTATCAGACATCTAATACCTGCAGGGTAGTTTTATATATTTTAATAATAACAGTTAGTTTTGTAACGTTAGCTTTAAGCTAAATATGCTATTATGAAAATTCGAAACTTGCCGTTCCAATTGTATTTACTACGTTATATTGTTTTACCTGGAAAATATTTTACTACTTTTGTTTCCTTTTGAGTTACCCCTCGTATACATATTTCATTATCACTTAGTTTCATACTGTTGCCCCAGGTGGAAATAATATGATTCGATAAAGATATGAGGTGAACGTATTAATAATGATTGATATATCCGTTAGTGGTAGTACGTAGTACAATTAAATGATTGTTATTCCCATTACTCTTTTATAGCTTGAATGAGTTCATGTATCCCTGCATTATAGTTATGTTATGCAATGTCATGCATTCCACGGATATCCAATACCCTGAATCGCTCCTGCGGAATTTGATAAATGTAATCTAATTTGATCTGTTTTACCTACAATTATACATAAGAAACCAACTAAATGTTTGTGCTTCTGTATTACAATGATATTATTTGCATATGCTTAAAATTTTATGATAGACAGTGAACTCGACCGGGCTGTCAAACTTTGTTTTAAAGCAAAATAAAAAGGTGGTATTCAAGGAGCTTGGACATATGTAATTTAATGACGAATATAATAGATAATATATGTATTCATATTTCCTGCTTGTTATCTTCCAAGTACGTTGATAACTAATAAATGCTTCCTCTGGTTGGAATACTCGGATCCTGCGGGTTATGAACAGTTATGAACTAACCTCAATAGACTGCAAAAACCTTTAAAAGTATGGGAAACTATATTCCAGATATTGTGATATGGTGAGTTGTTGATTTTTTTAAATGAATTTTTAACTGTTTGATTGTTTATGAAAATTTCTTTTTTCTGGATCAGGTGATATTGAAGTTTCTATTAGTGTGCTTGCTTTTTGTTATTTATCTTTTACTGCCTGCCAGATATAACAGCGAGAACAGTGATAGATCATTATTAATTCTTTCAGAATGAAAGGTATTTAGTATTAGTAGTTTACTTCATACTGTTGTATCAGGTGCTTATAAAATAGGATGAAGATATTAATGAAGATTTTTTTAGATGTTCTGTACTCAATGACTAGTTAATCTCTTATAATTTTAATCAGTATCTTTATACTTCCTGAGATATAGGGATGATAATTTCTGGATTATGCTGATTGATTTTATATCTTATCGAAGAAAGTGTGATATTTTATTTGTTAAAATGTTGTTTCACATAAAGCATATCTTAATTTTGATAACATATACTTATTTGTCTAAATAAAAGCATCTGTTGAATATTATATATGATTTCCAATTGATTTGGTATATTAATTATATTTGCATTGTGTGTTTTCACAGCATACTGATATTATTCTCTCTGAGCATCATATATGGAACTACTCATTTAATTAAAACACTCACACAAAGTGAGAAGGAGATTTTAACTTCTACTTGGTCACATAATTACAGCTGGATCTTACGATTGTGCCTAAATTTGCTAGGTTACGCCACATTGCTGTTGCCAGGCTATCTGATATATAATTATGTTCGATGCAGCAAGTACCTGCAAAGAGGAGGTAAATTGAAATTACACAGAATAAATTTAATAGTGACTATAATGTAATTGCCTATATATATCTATTTTTTATGTATCTTCATAGGAAAAGGATGTATATCGAAAGTGGTTCACGCATGCTTCCTGGGTAGTGGAGAAAATGGACTGTTGGATTCAGCTGCATACGCATCAACATCGACTGGTACAAGTCATGCGCAGCGCACCTTTGCACAGGATGTGTTACTACTTACATATTGTTTTTTTGGATTGCAAATCAGTTACTTGACATGGGGATACTTGCAAGAAAAAATTATGACCCAGGTGTAAACTTTACAATCAAAGCATTATAAGAACCGGAGAACCAAATAATTGGTTTAAGGTTAACTGTATTAAAATATATACAACTGCATGCCATTCAATTAATTACCAAAGAATTACTTCATAGGAATATGTAGATGCAGATGGCAACAAAGCGCACTTTCAGAATTCACAGTTCCTAGTATTTATAAATAGAATCCTTGCATTTTTGATGTCAGGATTATATTTACTCATTCGGAGACAACCTCGCCATACAACGCCATTATATAAATATGTGTTTTGCTCCTTATCAAACATAATGAGCAGTTGGTGTCAGTACGAAGCACTTAAGTATGTCAGTTTTCCTACTCAGGTAAATCAAACAATCCTCTCGATCTCAAATACTTTAGGCTTTTCTATTACACCCGATTATACAGCAATAAAAGTAAGAAAAACAAAACTTATTTCAGGTATTAGCAAAAGCATCGAAGATCATTCCTGTTATGATAATGGGTAAAATTATATCCCGTACTACGTACGAATATTATGAATACGTCACAGCAGTACTTATATCAATTGGAATGACATTATTTATGTTGGGCAGTGCTGAAAATAAGGCTGGTAAGTTTCATTGAATATTCTTATTTATAAGTTTATTGTATAATACTGTGTCTCTGGTTATACGCAGGCGGAGCAACGACATTCTCTGGTGTGATTCTCCTAACCGGTTACATGGTGCTTGACAGTTTCACCAGTAACTACCAAAATGCACTTTTTAAGGAATATGGTGTAACAAGTGTTCAAATGATGTGTGCTGTCAACATGTTTTCTTGCCTTTTGACAGCAATGTCGCTCTTTCAGCAATCGAGCTTTGTACTAACGATAATATTCATGACCAGGGTAATATAGATATACAAATATATCTTGATTTATTGTCACTGCACTGAAACTCTATTTGTATTCTATGCACTTTCACTAATTAATTTTATAATATTCATATGATTCATTTCAGTATCCAAGTTTTATAACAGACTGTTTACTCATCTCCATATGTTCGGCAACTGGACAGCTTTATATTTTTTATACTATATCTAAATTCGGTCCTGTTACTTTTGTTATCATAATGACGATACGGCAGGTACGTGATATTTTGATGATAATGTATTTCTGTGTCATGATACATGTTGTCAAAGTTCTAACCGTTTCTTTTCTTTTTTTTCTTCAGGGTCTGGCAATCCTGTTGTCTTGCTTGATGTATCATCATAATATTACAGTCTTCGGTGTATTTGGTATACTATTGGTGTTTGGTGCAATGTTCCTACGAATTTATTGCAACAATCGATTGCGTGCTATTAAGAGACGCAGGACGGAGGCTACAAATATCAAAGATTGAAGTAATTTTATATGACTGTTACAGAATATTTTAAGTGTACAAAGTCGCTTTAATTCTCGACCATATTTATAATCTTTATGCAGAAGTAATAAGGCGGATCTCTGTACAGTTTAAACAATTGTGGTTGTTTATGAGAAGAACAACAGCTATATATACAATTTTTGAATCTTGAGTTTGTTCGACGATTTACATATCTGATTGAAACAATGACGAACTTGATAACGATCTTTATTTATTATGGTTACTCAAATGGACTTTAAAGTATCAAATTTTGATAGATAACAAGGTATCTCTTATTAACTTTATTATGAAGATTAATCATATCGATGTGACTACAATGTTATATTTTCATTGTGTACTTAGATAGAAAATACTGTATTCTCATATATGAAATACTGGATCGTACGAAGATATACTTATTTACGTTAAAGCTTGTTTTTAGCTATGGTTCTTCATTGGTATTTTAGAGATTCAGTAATTTTAACTATGCTTAAATTATTTATGTGGACCAATCAGAATCTTATTTTTTCCATTAAATATATTTATTATTTATCATTTATGACTAGAAGAAAAGTTATATTTGAACTACGAGCTATTGCTTTTTCTTGGACTTTAAGCATTGAATATTGCGCTAAGGCATTTAAGAAGATAAAACACAAAGTTTGTAGATACAAGGCTGAAAAATAGAATTTCATTTTATTTTTCGAGCATAGCAGATTTTACTGTTTTGTGTAGCGTCGTAGTTAAACATCTGTGGTATGTATATTATGAAAGTGGGCGATTTGTTTGCCACGTGGTATGCAAATATGATAGTGCATTGACAACGTGTAACTGTTCAACTGATTAATAAAAGAACAACAAACAACTTGTCTCATTGGTCTTTCACTAGAATTAAATGAATAGTGTGCAAATATATAGTTTTACATAATAAACACAGTGAAATAGTGCTGATGAGATTTTTACACAAAACAGATGTTACCCAATCCACGCATTTTAATATAAAGTCACATTCATAATGATTGAGATAACATGGTCACACAATAAAACATGATACATATTTGGAAAGGTTTCTCTTAACATTAGGCACATTTCAATCCTAGGAGACACGTATGAAAATCATACAATATACTAAAACGCAATACAAAAACCTTGGGATGTTGTATGTTAAGAACAATTAAAGGCCTGGAATGATTTATTAAAATGATTCCAGTCACTTCTTCAGGTATAAAGGGGTAAACAATGGTGATGTTGAAGTTCATTCTTCAGGAGAAGGAGGACGATAGAAAGCAATAAGGCACATTATGGAGATAATAAGTTCAGAGGCCAATACCACCAATTGAATACTACAAAGAATCATCTCCAGTCTAAGAACACGACACTGCCAGAATAGGAAGTACAATGTTGCTAACGAACTAGGAACCGATAACACAATTCCTAACAGAATTGGAAGGCCATGTTCAGTCAAATTTCCTTTTCTCCCAAGGTAGATCCTGCCACCCTCAGTAGCTATCAGGAACAGCAACAACGCAAACTCCAAATGCATCCTTCCAAGACATGGTGATTCTAGTTTTGCAGCTTTGACACAATTCATGCCCAGTTCACATATGGCAAACATTCCAAAATAGAATGAATTTAGATACATAAGAATTTCATATGTAAGGGATGAATTCACCACTGTCGGCATGTTGAGTGTTGCTCCGTTAGACTTTTTCTTGAACAGATATCAGGGTGACATGTCCCTTCAATTCTCTCACATTGAAGAATTTCAATTATTATTCAACATTTTCAATCTATATTCAAGATGCCGTTTACTACTCATTTTATCAATTCACCATAATATCAATGTTCCTTCCTTTGTTTCTTCTTGTGAGTATCCTCTTTCTTTTTTCTCTTCTTTCTCCACTTTAATTACGTTTCCTCTCTTACTCCTATCTCCTCTTACTCTCTTTGCAAATCACCGAGTCACTTTCTAGCATAATTTCGAAAATCGTAAAAATTATAGAACTATGGAAGGCTTTTTTATTTTTCCTATTGCTTATTTTTAACCTAGTCGAAGCTCAAGCGCTCAAGCACCTGCATTCAACTGTTCAAGGCCTCTGACAGAGGCCACTGGTGGTAGCTGGCAGCTGCTAGCTGGCTTATACGGGTGACTTCCTATTCTTTTCAAGAGAAATCAGAATTCTATTCTTTGCAGCTTCCGTACGATGGCACCAACGATCCATTTAACAAATATGTATCTACTTGGATCTCTGCAAGAGGAATCTATCTCCTGAGATACAAAAAAATTAATCGAGCAATACAATTAATTAGGAAATGTATTCCTACAGAAATTAACCGTATATTCACCTTTTAAACAAAATGCCACGCCCTAAACCAGGAACACGTTCGTCACGAACGTGACTGTAAAGGATTGATAGAAAAACAGACATGCATTTAAAAAATACACTAAACATATAAATTATTCAAAAATGGTAAACTGCATGAACACGTAGTAGAATATATGGAATATTATTGTGAAAGAGTAATAGAAACTTTTTATCATTTACCAAGCTTAAGGAAGCTAATGTGACAACTCACTCACCCAAATAGTCTGTTTCATTCCCCCGTAAGGTATTACTACGGTAAACTCAAAACCGCGTAATCGAGCTGAAATTTGTTTTACGTCTAATTTGTATAGCAGTACATCTCTCCACAAATTTTTAACATGATTCACTCATCAGTTTTCGAGTATTTCCGAGTTAATGTCAGAACTCATAACACGTATTCCCTATACCTGGCCAATAAAACGTGCATGGTTTTTTTTATTGCATTTGACTCGTCCGCGTAATTCCGATGAAAAACTAGTATGTGGCAAAGGAAAAAATTAGGAATTTTTTAGATTTTTAGTCAGAACTTTTTACTCATAGGTTTTATGGATAGACATGAAAGAAGTTCAATATTTATTACGAAATCTCTCGTACAACGGCTAGACAAAAGAGCGTCACGGCAACATTGCGTTTGAGACTGTATTCGGTGTATATACGTATACACTACTACATCCAATGTACATTAGTGTGTGCCTATCGATGCAGGGATGGGCGTGTGTGAGTGAACTGTACCAGTTCAAAAGTTGACGCTGGATTGTTCAAATCTTACATTGAAACTTTTGTTATTTTTCGGTCCGTAGTAATACCTTAAAATTTTATCAATCGATTGAATAACGATAATCTTTTTTCCTCCATAAAGATGTTCAAGTGTCTAAAAAAAACCGTTGATATCTTCTCAACCGTACTCTATAATTCTCTTTATAAAATTGGACGTAGTCAGCATTCTAAAATATTGTGAACCGAAATAAAATAAAGGTCATCATGAATATTTTCCAAGTTAAATTATGAGATTTTACTCGCCTTTAAAGAAATTCTTCAAACCAGCCTTTGCACCCTATGGTCGTAGCAACTGTATACCAATAAAATGTCGAGAAAGAAATTATCCCCATCGTCCAGGTCCCATAATGTTGCGTATACTGAATACTGGATCGTTAAAACGCGCAGGTTACAAACTCGTCGAAATATTTGTAAAGATAAACGACACAAACAATGGAGAAGTTTCTAACCCAGTCTCTGGAAGGAAAGAGAACAGAAATCTACTAGTATCCATCATGGAGACTTTTATGATAACAATTAGAATCATTGTGATAACGTCTGTCGCTTCTATTGTTTGTATTCTTTACGTGATTACACGATTCATTCGAACCGATAGTTTTCCTGATGTCTTATTAAAAGGTACGTAACAGCTATCGATAAAATGAAGCCATATTTTATGTCACTTTAATTAATTCAAGTTTCATCCGTCTACGTAGCTATGGAATTTCTTGGTCCAACGTTTATTAAATTTGGCCAATGGGTCTCGACGCGCAGAGATTTATTTCCTGAAGATATCTGCAATACTCTTTCTCAACTTCAACGCTATACTTCCGCCCATTCGTGGATCTACACCAAATCTTTGTTGAAAGCTACTTATGGGGAGGAATGGCGAAATTTATTTGTCAAAGTTTTTAACGAACATCCTCTAGGCTCTGGTTGTTGTGCGCAGGTAAAATTTTGTAATACTTTTATTAACTTAGAATGGTTTATATCTGAATATTATATATATTCATTCTTTATAAACCAACTAGACATAGACATGGAAGTCTTTTAATTTTAGTTCTGATATTCATAACATTCTATGCCACAGATATGCAGTCAAGCATATTAATTAAATAAATAATTTTTAAATAATATAAATAATTTTCTTAATTTATTTCCCACAGGTTTACAAGGCCTGGATAAATTTTGATGTTTCTGTGAAAATATCAGAGGATGCTCGTGTTTCGCCTCTTGTTGAAAGTAACAGTTGGATTATTATTTGTATATCTTTATTTCTTGCATGAGGATGTTTACTGTTTCTTTTTTTTTCAGTCGCTGAATACTTCTGCATAGGTCATCTCATTGGGTTTGTTGGTAACTGGAATAATGCAATGATAAAAACTTGAAGCAATCTCCTGTACATTTCATATGATTGATATGTTTTTTATAGACAAGTTAATCGAAAAACATAATAAGGAGGAGGAAGGTCAAACTTATTCCAGAAAAATACATCCCGTTGCCGTGAAAGTCTTACATCCTGGAATTGAAGAGCAGCTCAAGTGAGAGAACAAAAGTATGTTAAACTTGAAAATACATTATTTAAAATACACACTATTCACTCACAGAAGAGATTTGACGATTATGCACGTTCTTGCAAAGTGCGTCACTTACATGTTTCCAAGTGTACGCTGGCTCAGTCTTGCTGATTGTGTATCTGAATTTTCGCAACTCATGGAAAGTCAAGTAATTACATAAATAATTTTTAATAAAATGAATATAATAAACGGCCAACAAATGTTCATTACAAAAGGTGAATATGGAGCTGGAAGCTTTCAATCTTAAAAGATTTTCTAAGAACTTTTCAAGTACAAAAAATGTCATATTCCCATATCCATATCAAGAATTAACCCATCGAAAAATACTAGTGGAGAGTTACCACGAAGGATTGCCAATATCTGATTACCTTTCTGGCAAAAATCGTGGACTGCAAGAGCGACTGGCAAAAATCGGCGTGACAACTGTCCTCAAAATGGTCAGCACGTTTATTTCTTACACATTGAATCTATCACTGCAACCATTTAACTCATTTTAATAATCGTGAGATCATTGAGTTCATCCTGAACAAAAATATTTAACTCATGGCGATATTTTTTATTCGAGAATCTAGATTGATGACCTAAATCGTTCGTTTACATTTGTAAATCACGTTATTGCCTGGCTGTTCTAGAATCCTCAAGAAAAAGCTTATTCAGCACCTTTCTTATTTCAGCTCAATATTCCAAGCTAATCAACCTTTCCAGACAATTGTAATCATTAAGAAAAATAATTATACACATAACTAGTATGATCTAGGTAATCGTGTCCTATTTGTGGTAGGTTGCAATCCTTATAATTAAAAGTGTTACCTGCTAATGTCATAGAATTATCAGTGATTACTAGAAGTATGTCAAAAACGATTATCAACTGACCTACACGTGGGTGTTTTTATATCGTAGTAATCATTTGATTCGACAAGAGATCAATGATCTATACACGAAGATAATAAGTTATGATATTATTTCATTAATACTGTGTATCGTGCGTGATAGATATTCAAGGACAACTTTGTACACTGCGATCTACATCCGGGAAATATCTTGGTTCAGGAATCTCACGAGTCAGGCGATACAGACAGTATTTCAGGATTCAGAAAAATCTGGAGATTCAATCATGAGGATGCTGGACCAAGATTGGTAATCCTCGATTGCGGCCTGGTGGCTTCCTTGAACGAGCGATGTAGGAAGAATCTTCGCGATGTCTTCCGTTCCGTGGCGATGGGAAAGGTAAGTCTCAGGTTGCCAGCAGCGACCGAACAAAATAAAAAAATGGGGAGCAGCCATTTCTTTCACGACAATGATATATCCTACACAGGGTGAACTAGCTGCTGAGTATATTATGAGACACAGCATCCATTTGACTCCGGATCCTTTGGGATTCAAAAAAACCATGGGAAAGATCGTAGAGACTCACTTACGAGATCGCGTCAAACTAAAAAACGTAAGTATATTAATATTCGGTATTATTATATTTAATTTCTTGACATAATTTGAAAGCTAAATTGGAAAAACGGCCTATTAAGCTTGATGCGTACAATTTAAAAAACCAATCTGAGAATATATTTATTTAAAAAAAAAATAAATAAAATGAATATTAGACCATCCACTCATCTGGCTATGATAAGGAATGCCGCTTGTTATCTGCGATCGTCAGAAAGATAATTACCTATAATAATTTTCTAAATAGTCTCTCGCTTGACGCAATAGATAACGATTCGATTAAATCCCAGTGACGTATCACATAAAACCATGATGCACCCATGATAGCGTATATATACCTATACCATGGATGGTAAGGTATGATGGTTAAGCGATGCTGCGACAGGAAGACTGTACCAACTGTAGCCTTATATTTTCTTGATCCTTTTTCTTAAATAACTCGCAGGTGAACGTGAGTACCGTTGTGGCTGAATTGTTCTCGGCGATGATTCGTTACCAGGTGAAGCAAGACGGATCCTTCAGTAGCGTGATACTCAGCATGGCAGTGATCGAGGGACTAGGACGTAGTCTGGATCCTGATATTGATATCGTTACCGAAGTTCTGCCATACGTCCGTAATTAGCCTTCAATTTGAACAATTAAATGGTTACATGAAGATCAGGAAAAAGGAATATAAACAAAAGACAGTATAAAGTATAAAACCATGTGAAAAACTATCAGTTGATGCTCTACGTGAATTTAAATAATGTCACGGTCTGTTTGCATACGTAGTGTGATAAACGAAGTGTCATATTGTTGATAGAATTTAAATATTATAATAAAGTTTTACTGCACGTACGAGCTGGACGGACGAGTATTCGTATTTTAAAAAGAAAGATCAACCGGACCACATTGGCATTGCTGAGAATTCCGGCGAGTGGCCAGTTGTCCGTGATTACTTCCTGGTCGGTGGGCAGCCTCCAATACGTAAGTAAAGGTGTTCAGATATATTACACGTGGAATATAATATATAAGGGAGAATGTACGCACGTGTGGAGTGAACTTTGAGCATGCCAATGTCCGGATTATTGGTACGAGATCAAGAAGGGTGTTAAAGAGTACATCCGGATAAGATCGTTGAAATTAGCTGAGTGAACTAGATCATTGATCTAGATATTAGTCCCCGTAATCTTCTTGAACCTAGGATCATCGATCACGTTACAATTGATATACCAGATCAGAAGTGTAACATTTTTTGTAAATATTAAAGCAATGTAATACCAGTATCGATCACGTGATTTGTATTACATATCTTTGTTTTCTCTGTATATTTCTCTTCTGACACCAGTTAAGTTTTGTTCTGTGAAGTTTTTATTTCCAGTTGCTGACCCACGCAGCTGGATTTTTAGAAATATTTAGAAATTGTCGGTACTAATAAGCTCCTCCGCTTCGTGGCTTCCATTCCGTTATGACGTCATACGTGAACATACGTTGAGTGGAGCAGAGTGTTAAGATAGACGTAAGAAAGGGTTGTAATCGGTTTAATCATCTCGTTCTTGTCACTCTGGGCAGTATTTCATGTCTGCTCCTTACTAAGTTGAATCGTCTGTGCTTTCATTAATCTCTCAACTGGAGAGAAGGAAGGAAAGAGAAGAGTAGAGGAGATAATGCCTGGACAGAGGAAAAAAGAAAAATGTTAAAAGCCTCGTGAAATCAGTATTGGCAGTCATTAAATCCTACACTCACCTGGTGATACACTGAGCTGTCGTATTCGCGATCCTAGAATCCCTGACGCTTCATTCTGTTGGTCTGCCGGTGCATTATCTCTGGGTAGAGCAATTTATATATCTCGTGTAGTAACGCTACGACGAGGAGATATTCTAGCGGTGTGAAAAGAGAGTAAGAGAGAGAGAGAGAGAGAGAGAGAGAGAGAGAGAGAGAGAAGAAAGAAGACTTAGAAATACCTTAGGACATTGCGCCTTGAGCATACTTCCTCGTACACCATATCATATCTAGCATAAGCCACTCTGCGCGGGGTCTTAGGATGTTGTATCGTTTTGTTTCACTCGATTCGAAACGAGTTTCAATCGACGTCTCACTCTACGTGCTTCCGCCCTCTTCTCGTCCTCCTTACACCACAGAAAGAACGACTATATCATTTCCCCTGGTACAGAACATCGTCCAATACGCTCTATGGCGTTCTATTGTATTAGAGTTATCAGAGATCATTCGGTACGTCTGTACGAAGGTTAGAAACAGAGTAGAATAGTCGAGAATGTCTGTAAAAGGAAAAGCCAGAGAACAAAGTAGATCAGGAACGGCAGAAGAAAGGAGCTAGTTTTAACATAACCTTTGAATTTTCTTCGATTTTCACTCATATATAAATAGACGTCTCCGGATACGATTAACAAGACTCCTAACCACGTGCTCACTTCGTTACGCATCACTGACGTAACCTCTGTCTTCTCTTCTTCATAATTCAGACTTCCCTACCACCAGGAACTCATTCTCGTCCAGAGAATTCACGCATGTCACTCCTCGTGTCTTGGTCTCCTATGGACGCCTAGTCACGCCCGGCACGCTGTCCATCTTTGTTTTGTTCTTTATTCTCTCCCCCTCTCTCTCACTCTCTCTCTCTCTCTCTCTCCAGTCAAGCTGAGCTCTTCCCACTGCCACGGTACGAAATACATAGCCGATGTATCAGAGTCATGGCTATATCCCCACTACTGATTAATATCTCTCTCTTTCTCTCAAAGACATCGGTCTCTCTTCCTCCCTCAGATCCGTGCAGTCGCTCGTGTTCTTCTTCAAGCCTCCGTATTCACACTCAGTCTCTCTTTTCCACTCAAGAGGATCCTCACTGAACGACTAAATGGTCGGTGTGTACGTTGCAGTCCCCAACCCTTGAGCGTTGAAGAAAATCGTGTAAACAGAAAGACGCGAGATGAGAGAGTGGAGCAGTGGAGTTTGTCTCCGACCGCGGAGACGAACTGGCCGTGTGCCGTAATATAGTTATTTGTTTTTCTACCCCTATGGGAACTATCGGCCACGGTCGGGAGACTCGAGGGAAAATACGAGACGGAGAAACAGAGAAAAATAATGATAAACTCGCGTGCGGTCGGGGGGACAAAAGTGCGTCGAAAAAGGCGCGTAGTTTAAATTAATAATATGCGAGTGGGACGCTTTTACATTTTGATATAAAAAATCTCTCCGTAATTTTCTGGTCCGAGAGTCGGACTCTGCGTGACTCCTGACAAACGGCCGTTTCATTTTTAAATTACATGGCGCCTTTTTTTATTATTAGGAAAAGTGACCCCTCTTCCTTCTTGTTTACGTTCTCCGTGGTGCTGTATTAATTCTCCTAGGACAATCGAGTTCAAGTTTCACGCAACATCCCTGTCTGTCTGGCTGCTCCTCTTCTTCTTCTTGCATCCCTTCCACTTCCTCCTTTCCTCTCTCTCTCGATTGTAGCTACCACTCTTAAACCTTCTTTCTTTCCTTCGCTCTTTCAACTCCCTCTTACCTTTCCTCCACAGACCGCCTTCTTTTCCTCACTTCGCTCCTGCCCCGTTCTTCGTATTTTGATCTCCCTCTTGCCCGGTTCTCTTCGAAAATAGGCACTTTACGGGTTTTTTTGAGGTTACTTCCATAAGAGACGTCTGGATTTTTAGTACTCAGAGAACAATCCTCGACTTCTCCCGTGAGTATAGACAGTACACAATACTACGTATATCTATCATACGAAAGGAACTTCCTTCATAACCTGTCACCGTTATCAATCATATCACTCGTTCATCAACCGTTCCAAGTGTTTATTCTGACTTGAAGAAAAATCTTTCTCTCGAGCATCTTATTTATTAGAGTGAAATAATTTGCTAGTGTCGTTAAATACGTGTCTATTAAGTGTCGTTAAATACGTGTCTATTAAGTGTCGTTAAATACGTGTCTATTAAGTGTCGTTAAATACGTGTCTATTAAGTGTCGTTAAATACGTGTCTATTAAGTGTCGTTAAATGTTAAATACGTGTCTATTAGTCGTTAAATACGTGTCTATTAAGTGTCGTTAAATACGTGTCTATTAAGTGTCGTTAAATACGTGTCTATTAAGTGTCGTTAAATACGTGTCTATTAAGTGTCGTTAAATACGTGTCTATTAAGTGTCGTTAAATACGTGTCTATTAAGTGTCGTTAAATACGTGTCTATTAAGTGTCGTTAAATACGTGTCTATTAAGTGTTGCTTTAAATCTATTATCATCTCATCTGAAATGTAACAGCCTCTCTCGAGAGGTCAATAGCACCTTTCGCCCGGCTTAATTCGAGTAAAGTTGTAACGACGCTGCCAGGCAACAGTAAATCGGAGAACCGGTATCTTAATTTACGAACTAGCTGATAATAAAAATTATTGCGCGGCAACACGGCGACTTGCGTAACTGGTCCTTCTCCCACCGAAGCTCATCAGCTTTCTAACATATCTATTAAATCAGTTTAGAAAATTCAATTCAGTTCTACGTCTTCACGTATCATAGTTATTTGTTTTACGACACTTTGTCAATTTCTGTCTTCCTTTATCAAGCTCCTTTTGAATAAGTGCTTGATAATTAATTCTACTCGAAGTATAAACCAATTGCTTATTACTTGCTACGTCCAGCGGTGAGTTTCACGATGTATTTTAATTGTTTTAAAATTGTATCACTTATCACACACACACTATATAATTCAGTTTCTAGATTATCGATAATCAATAATAATAAAATCTGATAGCACAGATTGTTCTATTAGCCAATTTGTTTCACTGGAAATATGATACAATCGTGATTAGGATTTTTTTTTCTTTTCTCAAACCCATACTTGCACAGACTCACTTCTACATAGATTACTTATCATGCTGTTATCAAATGTAAGTAGTTATAAACTCCTAGCAAATGGGTCAGACGAATGAGATAATGAATCGTGCACTGTCTCTTCACGTTTACTGTAAAATTATTTAGAGGCGAGAAAGAAGAAACAAATAAATATATACAAAGGATAATAAACGAACCTGTCAAAATTCGAAGGAACAGGCTCAAGAAGTACATAGTGTGTAGTTTGGTTAATCTGATTTTGAAGATCGTAGGAGCGTCACGTCGCAATCCTAACGGAAATATTTTCGTGTCTATGAAAAAATATGTACGAAAAATTTCATGATCTGCGAAAATATCTACGAAATTCAATTACTGTTTCATGAATAGTCCTGGAAATTGGAACTGTTTCCTGGATATTTGTACAGGGAGAGAATTTTCGAGTAAATATTGCTTTCGAATGATAAAAATTATCTACGAGTTTATCCAGACAACGCACAATGTCCAAAAGTCGTTTGTAGGATGTCTAACGACACAAAAGGTATCTTTAAGTCATATTAACTGTCTGAGATAGAAAGACTGAGACGTGCCGGTAAGGTAGGTAGCTTATTACCGACGGCGTAAAATTTCATCGTAACCACTTCTTCCGATATCCCTGTCATAATATTAATTGTCAACAGCGTTTTCAAATTATCATTAGTTTATATTTAATTGACCTGGCACGTGTACCATCGAGGATAAAGCTATAAGCAAAGGGATACTAAATCGAAGACAGTCTTACTTCGGTAGCGTTACACACAGTTACCCACATTTGCCATCTCTCCACAGTTTCGATATCAGAAACTCTCGCAATTCAAACAGCAGCATCATCTCACTGATAATGTAGTGGGCGACGCCGGCGTCGTGATGGTTAATAACCGCGATTACAATAGCATGTATAAGCTTTCAAAGGCATCTTCGACCAAGAATAACAAAAGGAATTCGTCACTGCTACCTTTTAAAAACATTTTTTAGCGTTCGCTGCCAGCATAAGAGTTAGTGGCGTTTAATTGAGCGTTTAAATAAATTTTGACCGTTACGTTTCAATTGGGCTATAGTGCAGTCACACCGTATGTATATTATTACAGGATACGGTTCTCCGCAGTAAGGGGTGCGTTTATGTCTATGTATACTCACGCAAAGCCTATGTATTATTTGTTTTGTCTAATTGTTCTACTGATTCTTCTTACAGGGGGACTATCGCAATTTGATATGATGCTGCCTGGAGCTTGGTTTGAATTGATAGCAGCGACACTATTTGCGATTTTGTTACTGGCAACCAGATATCGACCACCATGGTGGTTCTGGAACGGAACTTCAGTCAAAGCCGGATGTGAGTAGAGTGACGGGATAAATGGAGTGATAATCTAAGAGATCAGTTTAGGTTATAACGTGATTTTTATAGACATTTTTATGTAGGCATTTAGCGAACGGGATATTTTCGATTTAAGGTCTAGTATTATTCTGATTGACAGGTACGTCCGAGGAAAAGTTGAATAGACGTCGTAAGACTGTTAAAGATGTTCCTGGACCGTTCTCTTTGCCGATCATCGGTACGAGATGGATTTTCTCGAATTTTGGAGGTTATCAAATGAACGAAATTCATGAAGCCTACAAAGGTAAAGACTTTGGTGTTTGACACCCTGCGCACACTTCTTTACCGACAGAGCCGTTTGATTCCTATACAAAAATTCATGTTATCTAAATGTTATACCGACGACAAATAATAGTTAAATTTAATTATTGACTTTATTATAAATTTTTTAAATCATTTTTTGAATATCGAATCTACAATATTTCTCTGCGAGTGTGGTGACAAGCTATTTGCTACATGATCGTTCAATTGATTTTTTAAGTTATCTGATAATAACTGATTTAAGAGTAGATCTCAATCGACGCTACGGCCCTTTATGCAAGGAGGAGGCTCTTTGGAATTGGCCGGTGATTTCTATTTTTTCTCGTCGTGACATCGAGACGGTGCTAAGACGTGCTTCGAGATATCCTCTGCGTCCACCTTCAGAAGTCATTTCGTACTACCGACAATCTCGGCCAGACCGCTACACCAACCTTGGCCTCGTCAACGAGTAAGTAGATTCGTTGTCGTCGATTCATTTAATGTCGACGTTTGATTATGCGAGTGGCTTTGCCCGAATTACAGTTCTTCGAAATTTGCGGCTTCGTCTAGACATATCTGAATTTATATGCATGAATGACTGGCCTGTACGCCCACTCGTCTCAAATTAGAATCTTAAGCAGTAGGATTATACATCCTTTTTTTAAATTATTATTTAACGGCATACACAATATGTTGACGACGGTTCTTATTATGCAGGATAACCTGTTATTCTCGATATTTGGGAATTTACGGAAAAATCAATGTATGCTTATGATCTCAATAGTAGGAAGGATACAAAAGTTTCTGTTGTCCCATTGCGCTTGTCGTCTGCGAATGTACTCGACCTTTAACCCGTCCCAGATCTTGGCTCATTGATTATGTCTTTATTGAAAATACCCCCTTGCAACGTGAACCAATGATCTTCGCCGTTTTCTAAATGACTGAGTGAAATGATTTTTTAAAATATTAAATCTTTGACAATGCTATATATTCACTTGGGCACATAATTTTATTCGTCTAGAAGGGCTTTTGAGTGTATATATATGTCTGTTGACATACCACGAGTATTGTGATAATGAAAATATTCAAGGCCATGGATAATTTTGCAAACTTAATACTATTCTCTTGGTGTCAAACGAAGAAAACAATTGAGCTGTCAAAGAGCTAAGAATAAAGTTAAGTTTCTCTCAACAGGCGGGTAAGACTCCCATAAGATATACTTTGGTCAATTATTTGGATGGATTTTGGCCGATTAATTTCCACATTTGTAGTTCCTAAAGATCATAACGTAACTTCAAAATTCCAGCAAACACAGTTATATCCGTAATTTAAGATCGAATAAAGGAGGAGGACGCGTTATTGTAAATTGTGAATTGTGTCCAAGAAAATATGTCCGCTAGATGGCAACACGCGCATAATCAACGCACAAGTAAAGTGTTTTTCTCAACTGTATATATCAGACTAATACTTTTGTACTACATATTTTATGAAATAAATTGGTAATTCCAAAAATGTTACTCTAAAGGAGGAAGGTCCATAAGGCCGGTTTTCGGCCCAAATCTAATTTGGGTAAAAATGAATAAAATAACTTCCTGTAGTAACTACTGTAAAAATTAAGTCGATTCCACCCTAAACGGACCACCCCCAACCCCCGTAGCATCTCCATATACTCCTTATAATAGTGAAAATACCATCACTTAAATAGCAGCATTTTTGGAAAGATTCGTCTTTAGTAGACTAGTATTTTCTTAATAATTCAATTTAAATTATTTTTTTACTACTTTTACTCTTATTTATTATTTTTAGCTTTTTTACCCCCTTGGTGGAGAGTGGAGGGGGGTAGAAAAGCAAGGGGTGGGCTCTTAATACAGTATCTGTACTTTTACGTGTGACATATGATTTCCGATGAATTTTTCTCTTGTAAACACGAATTTGTGGTCAGTTTTGCTCCATTGCCCTTCGATTTTTAAATAATTGCCAATAATCTTCCGAAAAAATCTATCAATTCTTCATAAAGTACAGGCTTTTAAGGAATTGTTGGATCTACAAATGCAAAATATTGTTACGAAGTATTTTCGCCTTCTAATGACAAAACTGTAGACATTATAATTATATTAGCACGGATTCGTAATTACAAGAGAAAAATTCATCGGAAATCATATGTCACACGTAAAAGTACAGATACTGTATTAAGAGCCCACCCCTTGCTTTTCTACCCCCCTCCACTCTCCACCAAGGGGGTAAAAA